AATTTACCAATCCCCTGGATGAAGATTCCTCTCCGACATGGCTTTATGTACTCTTCCAATCCATGTTGCTTTTGGTCTTCCCTTTTTTCTCCTTTCTGATTGTATCCATTTCAAGACTTTCTTCGGTATTCGGTCCTCACTCATTCTTTCTACATGCCCATACCATACCAGCTGTCTTCTCTCGGACTAGTCATAATATTGGACTAGTCCATAAATATTTAGTTTTAGACTAGTTATTGGATTACTATTAGTATTTAGACTACTATTTAGTTTATTTACCGACAACCCCCACTTTTCATACTCGTTCAAAAGTCTTGTTGCCATAAATTGTAGGTCTTCCTTATCTTGGGCCACTACCACTTGATCATCTGCAAAGTGAAGGTTGTATAGAGTTGTTTCGTCGTTAGGTGGTATTCCCATTCCTCTGCACAACCTTCTCCATTTTCTAGGGCTTCATTCAGATAAATCTTAAATAACATCGGGGATAGGCAGCAACCTTGTCGTAGGCCCTTAGTTACAGGAAAACTTACAGATAGCGCCGTACCAAGTTTTATTATTGATGTTGCCTCATTATATAGCTGTTTAACTGCTTCGTTGTGTTGTTTATACATAGAGGATTTTTCGAGGACTTTCCAGAGCTTTTGGATCGGAACGGTGTCATACGCTTTTGTAAGGTCAACAAAGATGTGTAGTAGATGTACATCTCTATTGGTTGCCACTTTTTCATTTATATGGTCCACTCACGTTAGTCCCGTACGGAACCCTGCCTGTTCTTCTATCTCATACGATGCGTACTCCATTTCAATTATATTTCGCAGTATCTTTCCATATATAGTCTACTCATACAATTATTGTGATCGCGATGCATCTATAATTGGAGCATTCATCTCTTTTTCCCTTTTTGTGGATTGGTGTTATCCACGCTTCTTTCCAATTTTTTGTGCTTTTTGTAAGTCATTATCGTCGATAGTTATGTATTCTCCTTATATGTATAGTGCAACGTTTACGGGAATATAAAATATATTTGTCTCTGTCTCCTTTTAGTTCTTTTGCGTAGTGTTCTTTCCATTGTTCTATAAGTATCGGCTATAGGTATCGGTTCTAATTTAAATTATTTCTTAAATAACCTCTATTTATCATTTTCACTGTTTTTGGGATTACGTACCTCGAAAGGAAAAAACGGAACCGTCATAAGATCTCTTTGTTGCCCGTCCATCTGTCTGTCAAGACCCTTTATCTCGAGAACGCCTGGAGGTATTGAGCTGAAATTAAAACTATATAGGCATGGTGCCTTTCAGTTGATTTTAAAAATTCCGACCGCAGCGCTGGATACGGAAGAAATCACAAGTTTTCGGCTCTGTATTTCAGTTTCAGTTCCGATGTTGATCGCATTCAAATAATATTAAAATCGTGGCTTTGTCGTAATATTTAACTATTTCAGTTTTTAATAGTGCAGTTATTGAAACTATAAAACATTCAAGTACAAGGTTTGTGTGATGATAAATTTCGAGTAGGAAAAATTAAGTAAAAAAGAACCTGAGCTGGTTTGCGCTTATACAAAATTCCTAAGATTTTTATTATAGGAGCTATTAAATCGCAAACTGGCTATTCAAACCAGGGTTTGAAAAAATCATGATTTTTTTAAAAAAATAAAAAAAATCAGATTTTTTTTATTTAAATCGGGTTTTTTTTATTTAAATCAGATTTTTTTGATTTTAATTCAAAACAATATATAAATCGGATTTCCAAATGACTAGGACTTATTTCCAATTAAAGTCCTATCCTAAATGGCTAAATCTTAATAACTCTGAGCGATACCGATAACATTAACAATTCTACGGGGCGTGTCATTTTTCCACATCGGTCACCAATATATTCCGCAAAAAAGTCGCTCGCTTCAGATCAAAAGGATTTTTTTACAAACGTCTCAAAAGTATTAATTTTTGTCATTTTAACGGCTATAGGCATAAAAGTAAAGCACTGTTACGCCTAAGCACAAAAGTACAAAAATATATTATTAAACTGATGTACTGTAGAAATCGTTTCTCGATTACTGGTTGTATTATTTGCAATGTTTGAAATTGGTTAAAAAAATATTTGTAATGTTTTAAAAAAATAGTGTTTTATTCAGAGTAAAAATGTACTTTTTGTGCCTCCTTGTAACGTCAGAATAGCTTTACGATGGTCCTTCAAATGTACAGCATCGTCAAAAAAAGTATAATTTCTACTCTTAATAAAACAATACACTATTGTTCGGAAATAGTCTTAAGTTGAGAATGAAATTAGTATTATCTAATGTCAAGTGTAAAGTACTTACTGCAAATCAAAATGTCGGTAAGAATTTGGAAACATACCAACGTTTCAAAAAAAATATATAAAACAACATATTTTCTGACAACAATTATAGATTTTCGGGAATGAAGATATGGTCTCTATATCAGAAGAACCTAGTTCTGCACTAGTCGGCGAATGATATGTATTCGAAAAGCGAATTTTTGTCACTTATAAATAAATTTTAAAATAAAATCCTGCGTTTAGCGGTCTTATGGATTCACACGAAATTACTTCAAAAATCGGTTCAACATTTAAAATGATGAATAGATATTTTTATATATAGTTTTATAAAATTTACAATTATTTTTCGATTTATTATTTGTTATAGAAATATTTTTTATAGTTTTCTAGGATAAATTTTTATAACTTTTACAGTTATTTTTTGATTTATTACAAAGTTTCAATAAAATTAATTTTTTGATTTAAATCACATGATTAAAATTAAATAAATCACGTGATTTAAATCATTTGATTTAAATCATGCCAACCCTGATTCAAACGCAGCGATTTTAAAGTAGCAATCGCAACCTGCGACTGGCTCTCATAGGAAACTACGATTGCGATTGCGATTTCTTCTATTTGCAAGTTTCAATTTAGGCAACCAGTATTTACTTTACAGCGATTTGCGACTTTGTTGCGATTTTGCTGCGATTGTGATTTTGTAAACTGGGACCGTGATTTCTATCTGCGAGTTGAATTTTTAGGAGTTGCGATTTGCGATATTGGTGCGAATGTAATTTTGTGTTCTATTTAAGTATTTTCTAGTAAACTGCGATTGAATTTTCTCTCTAATATTATTTATCTTTAGAGAAGATGTTTTCAAGTCAAAAAAAATATATAAAACAACATATTTTCTGACAACGATTATAGATTTTCGGGAATGAAGATATGGTCTCTATATCAGAAGAACCTAGTTCTGCACTAGTCGGCGAATGATATGTATTCGAAAAGCGAATTTTTGTCACTTATAAATAAATTTTAAAATAAAATCCTGCGTTTAGCGGTCTTATGGATTCACACGAAATTACTTCAAAAATCGGTTCAACATTTAAAATGATGAATAGATATTTTTATATATAGTTTTATAAAATTTACAATTATTTTTCGATTTATTATTTGTTATAGAAATATTTTTTATAGTTTTCTAGGATAGATTTTATAACTTTTACAGTTATTTTTGATTTATTACAAAGTTTCAATAAAATTAATTTTTGATTTAAATCACATGATTAAAATTAAATAAATCACGTGATTTAAATCACGATTTAAATCATGATTTACATTATTTGATTTAAATCATGCCAACCCTGATTCAAACGCAGCGATTTTAAAGTAGCAATCGCAACCTGCGACTGGCTCTCATAGGAAACTACGATTGCGATTGCGATTGCGATTTCTTCTATTTGCAAGTTTCAATTTAGGCAACCAGTATTTACTTTACAGCGATTTGCGACTTTGTTGCGATTTTGCTGCGATTGTGATTTTGTAAACTGGGACCGTGATTTCTATCTGCGAGTTGAATTTTTAGGAGTTGCGATTTGCGATATTGGTGCGAATGTAATTTTGTGTTCTATTTAAGTATTTTCTAGTAAACTGCGATTGAATTTTCTCTCTAATATTATTTATCTTTAGAGAAGATGTTATTTTCTAGGGCCACGACTAATAATATGCCGGATGTTTCTCAAGAGTGGTTCACCTCTATAACTTTTTTATTTTTCTGATAAAAAACGAGATTTAGTATGTTAGTACCTATATGACATAAATTTGGATTGACTGACGTATTCAGTTGTTTTCGGTCACTTCCTGTTTCACCAGAAATGACTACAAGTTTTGATTTTTAAATGACACCCTCGGTATTTTTTTACTTTATTCGATAGAAAATGACACTCTGAATAGAATGGCATATCATATGGCAACTTTTTTACTTTTTATTTTCGCTTAAAAAAATTGAATTTTAAATATCAGTCTAGAATGTCATGGCTGTGTAAAAACACTAATTTTAATCAAGATGCCCTGGAAAATAGACTTGATCGACTTGGTTCATTGGCATATTTAGAAAAAACATTTTTTTTAGAAACAATTTGGTTTGGTACATATTAAAATCGCATCGTCACAGTCGCTTCGATTTAAAAATCGCAATCGTAGTTTCAATTGCGATTGAAGAATCGCAGTTTTCCTCATCTCTACTACAGATGCCCGAAGCGTTGTTGCCGGACCCGTATAAAGTAGGTAATAGGAAAAACTTTGAAACATGGCAACCCCTATTTGCGAAAACTTTTTGATTGGGACCCTGTTAAAGGTGTATTCCCCTATTCATGAATATACGTAAAAATTAGGTTTTGATTAAAAATATAGTCGTTATTAAAAATATATGAGCGTAATAATCCTGAAGCTGGATCTTAGACTATATGATAAAGTGACTTGGTGGAAGAATAATAACTTAGCTAATAAGCTAACACAACAATTTGTGTATCATATGCTTACAAAAATCTAACTACAATGTTCTAGTTTTTTTTTTAAACTCGCTTTTAAACTCGACTATTTTTTTACAAAAAAAACCAACATATTTTCATACTCGACAGAATGCACCACTATTTCCTCGTACCCAACCTTCGACTACACGCTACTGCTTTAAGACAATTACCCGAAGTCGTTTATTAATTATTTACGCAAAAGAAAAAAGTGCCTTTTCAAGTACAAATTCAGCAGGAAAATGTATCTCAGTCCTAAGACACGTTCGATCTAGTAGATTCAGTCTAAGCCGGTAAATTTCACGGACTCGCCATGATCTCGGCCTACGTTGTCCCTTGTGCTATCGCGTGTCTTTTGGTGTGGATGCTGGCATCGCTGTTCGGCAAAAGAAGACTGTTTCTGTTCGCCAGGGATTATAAAGGACCACGATTTTATCCTGTAGTCGGCAACGGGCTACATGCCATAGAAAAAGGTACATTTTTTGGAATACAAACTTTGTCTTTTATTTCAATCATCCTGTATTAGTGTATAGGGTGGGTCAAATTGGACGCTTTTAAAGGGAAACGCCCTTTTCTATAGGAGATAGACGAAAACTAATATCGGTGTCTGGAGCTCAATTTTCATCAAAAACATGATGAAAAACCGCACATCGATATGTGTTACCGTTTCGGAGTTACGGAGTGTTTTTCAAAAATGTGCATTTTTAACAAATCGCTGTAACTTTTTTGCTATGGAAAATTTTGTATTTCGATGAAAACATTTCCAAAGCACCTTTTTACGTAGAATTTAATGGTTTAAGTATAATTTTTTTTAAATTAATAATTTAACAGTTATCAACAGAAAAATTGATTTTTTATTTGGGACACCCTGTATATTTTTAATTAACTGAAAAGAACTTAAAATTACATTTCCAAAAATATAGCACACTTGATGTTTTGTTATAATCCCCTTCGAAATACAGAATTTTTAAAAGTTCGCCACTTTTAACTAGTAGGCTGCGGACCCCTTATTGATGATATGCCCCTAATGGAACTCGAAAACATATTTTTCCAGTAAGACGAGGCACCGTCTCAGAACACTGAAGTTATCAGCAAATTTTTGCAGCCAATTTCTAGAATAATTGAATAGCTAACCTAACCGCTAACCCCTAACCTAAACTAAGTCCCAACCGTTGGCCGACGAGGCCACCGGACTTAGTGCCTATGGATCTAATCCTATGGATATCTTTGCTGAAGAATAAAGGTTCTTATTTTGAAATTATCCGTAGAATCTAGACAATAATTAGAAGTATTTAATAAGTATGAGAGGGTACTTTCATCCCCCACTGAGTTAATGAATTCCGCGAGATATGTTCAAAAACGGCCCCGTCTGTCCATAACAGAAGACGGTCGATATGTCGAACACATGTAGCAAAATCTCATATCCTTTGCTATTTATTTTTATTGCTATTAGATATAGTTTAAATGTGTTCATGTTGGTTAAATATAGTTTAAATTCTTATAAAATTCTGCATCTCTCATTGCAAATATTATTGTCATTTTAATTGATGCTCACAGCTAGAATATTTCTGCATTACAGCCCGCGCAGTTCAAATCCTACTTATTTAAAGTAGCCGAATTTTTATAAACTCTATATCTCGAGGAATCGAGCAAAATATCAAGTGTGCTATATTTTTGGAAAGGCAATTTTAAATTCTTTTCAATAAATTAAAAATATACAGGGTGTCCCAAATAAAAAATCAAATTTTCTGTTGATAATTCTTAAATTATTAATTTCAAAAAAAAGTATACTTAAACTATCAAATTCTACGTAAAAAATGCTTTGGAAATGTTCTCATCAAAATACAAAATTTTCCATAGCAAAAAAGTTACAGCAATTTGTGAAAAATGCACATTTTTGAAAAACACCCTGTAACTCCGAAACGGTAACAGATATCGATATGCGGTTTTCACTATCATGTTTTTGACAAAAATTGAGCTCCAGAGACCAATATTAGTTTTCGTCTATCTGCTTTAGAAAAAAGTGTTTCCCTTTAAAAGCGTCCAATTTGACTCACCCTGTACACTTTCTGCATTAAGTACAATGACTTACAATTTAACTTACCAAAAGTCTTTGTCCACACAAACTTTGTCCTTTGTTACAGAACATCCTGTATAAGTGTGCACTTTCTGCATTAGTTACTGTGTTTTAATACAATTTAATTTTTCTGCATTTTTATCGGGTGAATTGCAATGGGAGGCTTGTAATACGAAAAGGTACATTGTTTGGAATTGAAACTTATTTGTTCTTTATTACAAAACATTCTGTATTAGTGTACACTTTCTGAATTACATACAATATTTTTTAGTACATTTTAACATAACCAAAATTATTTTACTTCCTTTCTGCAATTGTATCCGGTTATTGGCTGCAATGTTTTAATATAATTTAACCTAATTGATATACCGGGTGCGTCTCAAAAGTGACTCACCCCTATAACTTTTTCCTTTTTTCACATAAAAAACGAGATGTTAGTATATGACATAAATAAGCATTGATTAAAGTATTCACTTATTGTTGGTCACTTCCTGTTTCACCGGAAATGACTTAATTTTTAAATGACACCCTCGATATATTTTTATTTTATTCGATAGAAAATGACACTCTGAATAGAACGACATATCAAATGTCAACTTTTGACATTTTCGCATATGATTTATTTGAAATTGGGCGCATTCAGTAAACACACCGGTTACTCCACCGGTGCAGAAAATTAAAGTGAATACCAATGGTAACTCACCGGTTGTGGTCACCGATCAGTTGAGAGCCTACCGTATTTTGTTTCCGGTTTATTTACGTATCGGTAATTTAATCGTTCAATGAAAAGTTATCTGTAGGTCTTTACCGGTTAATACCGGTGTGTTTACTGAATGTGCCTATTGTAACATGCGGTTCATAGTTCATAACGACAATTTCAGTCGAAATACCAAGTGTGTGGTACCAAATTATTCGTAAAAAATGCTTTTTCCAAATAAGCTAATGAGCCACCCTTGTTGCATTTGAAAAAAAATGGGATAAGCTTAAAAATACGATTTGGGCATCTTTTAACCGGCCCACAGTGGGCAACAATCCAGAAGTATGTTGCAAAAGTTCTTTTTTTGTTCGACTTTATTCAAATTTGGTAAAAACATTCTATGCCCGTAGGCCGTGAACCCTGTTAGTTTTGGCTGACTTGAGAGTGGTTGGGGGTGGTGGAAGGGATTCGTAAAATGGAAAAATCATCTTTTGACTAATACAGCTACCAAAATGCGGTAAGAATATTTTACATTTCACTAAATTTTACGATTTTTGGCAGAGCAAAGATGAAACAGACATATATTGAGCAATTATTACTCCTCCGCCATATACAAGGTTTGTTTTATATATTGACATCCTCTGTATCTTTTTTATTCGACGTTTTCGAAAAAAAGTGTCTTGAATAAAAGTTTGGTCTCGAATACATTTTTCAAAACAGTCTTCTTTGCACATACAGGGTGCCTTAGAAATTCTGTGTGTGGCTCAACTTTCTTATTTCAAATTAGTACCCAATTTTTTATTTTATTTTTATTTTCTCCTAAAAATCCTAACTACATTTTTGTAGCATAGCCTATACCTAATTTGAAATAAGATAGTTGAACCACGCCCCGACTTTTTGAAGCACTTTGTATATGCGAAATAGACTTTTTTGGCAAGTTTATTCAAAACCACTTTCATTTGAGACAGTTTTCGGAAACGTCAAATAAAAAAGATAAAGGGGGTGTCAATGTATAAAAGAAAACCCTAGTATACTAATCCAATCGAACTTCTATTCAAGATTGTTTGTCATTTGAATAAGTTGGATCTCTAATAATACCATACAATATGTGAACAATATTTTATTATTATATTTTAAATAAGTAACAATATTCTGAGAATTAAACAATGACGATTTAGAAAATAATAGAACTTATATGTACCTATTAAAAATATCTAAATTTTATTATACCACCTACTATTTACTGATATTTTGTTTTATAACAGCTGGAAGCAATGGTCACGAAGTGCACATTTTTAAATCTGAAAGAAAAATCCATTTTATTTAATTTAAAAAATTAGGTACTGTCAAAATTTGTCAATTTGTCAAAAAATGTCATTTGACATTTATGACATACTTCTTTGGAAATCTTGAGAAAAGTTACGTAACGTTATATTTCAAGTTCTTCTCTAGCTCTAGCTACTATAACAATTAATTTATGAGAATTATCCACATACAGGATGTTACTATACACATACGCATGGAGACTTACGCTTCCAATAATTTAATGTTGCGATTTTTTGCGATTTTTTTGACTTAACTTTTCTAAGATAGAATATATGCCACTATCAAAAAAACCTTAAATGATTATGTTCTACTTTGACCTTTACGTAGTTTTTATCCAAAAAATCAAAATAAAAGATACTTTTTTACTTACCTTCACATTAAATTTACCGCCACCGAGAATCTACGTAAAACACGTTATGACAATTTTACAATAATTATTGACAGTAAGCTAAGGTCGTCCGATTCAATTGTTATAATACTGTGTCACTTGAATGCAACGCCTACTATTTAAAAAATTGTAGAAAAAAGGCAGTTATTGGACACAAATTAACTGAAAATGTAGGTTTTGCGCAAAGTTCGTTTTACAGCCCCTCGAAAGAGACTCTGAATATGTTTTTTTGTTAGTTTTATGTGGTTTCCTCTTAACTAATATGTTTTCAATTTAATGTTATTGCTATAAATGCTAACTGTGGATGTTATTTTTTGCAACTTGGTTTGGACATATTGCCTACTGTGCGGCCAGGACAAGACTCGAAAAACATTAGACGATCAAATATATTTTTCCAAGGCTCCTTCACTATAAATTAATATTTTTAACACAGCCATGGCACTCTAGATTGAAATCTAAAATACGATTTTTTATAAGCGAAAATGTCAAAAGTTGACATATGATATGTCATTATATTCAGAGCGTCATTTACTATCGAATAAAGTAAAAATATGCCATTGCTGCCATTTAAAAATCAAAAATTTTAGTCATTTCGGGTGAAACAGGATGTGAGACCAAAAACAATTGAATACATCAATCAATCCTAATTTCGAAATCTCATTTTTTATCTGAAAAAATAAAAAAGTTATAAGGGTGAGCCACTTTTGAGACACACCCGTTATTCTGTGCTATCATTCAATTTAAGCTTAGTTTTTTATGCGTCGAAAAATTGGATACATGAAAACCAGCTGAATCTAAGAAACTATCTACATAAAATTAACCAAGAAATTCGTAAGATAATATAATATGATCGAAAAAAAAACCGCGTCAGCGATGGCTATGAAATTAAGATCGTTGTCATTTTATATGTAAAATTATATGAAGAATGTCATCGATCGTCATTTCCAAGCCAATTGGATGTCGTTTTTTTTTCGATCATACGGTATTAGCATCGATGCAAATGTTAAACTCTAACTTTTTAAAACCTATAATGTCATTTTTTCTCAGAAAAGTCCGAAATTCGGAGGCATAAAAACCAGGGTTGGCATGATTTAAATCGTGATTTAAGTCAAGTGATTTTTTTTAATTTAATCATATGATTGAAATCAAAAAAAAATTCATTGAAACTTTATTATAAATCAAAAAATAACTGTAAAAGTTATAAAAATATGTTCTAGAAAACTATAAAAAATATTTCTATAACAGATAATAAATCGAAAAATAATTGTAAATGTTATAAAACTATATGAAAATATCTATTCATCAATTTAATTGTTAGACCGATTTTTGAACTAATTTCGTCTGAATCCATTAGACCGCTAAACGCAGGGATTTATATTAAAAATAAGTAACAAAAATTCGCTGTTCGAATACATATCATTCGCACAGTCTAGTGCAGAACTAGGTTCTTCTAATATAATCTAATTTTAATAATAATAATAATCTAATCTTCATTCCCGAGAATCTATAATCATTGTCAGAAAATATGTTGTTTTATATTTTTTTTAAAACGGTTGTATGTTTCCAAATTCCTGCCGACATTTTGATCTGCAGTAAGTACTTTACACTTTGACATTAGATCATAATACATACTAATTTCATTCGCGACTTAAGACTATTTCCGAACAATAGTGTATTGTTTTATTAGGAGTAAAAATTATACTTTTTTTGACGATGCTGTACCTTTGAAGGACCATCGTAAAGCTGTTCCGACGTTACAGACAGGCACAGAAAGTACATTTTTACTCCGAATAGAACATAGATACTATATTTTTTAAACATTACAAATAATTTTTTAATCAATTTCAAACATTGCAAATAATATAAACAGTAATCGAGCAACAATTTGTACACTCGTTGAGAAAAAAAATTTGACACTTAATATCAATTTAATAATAACAGTGCTTTACTTTTATGCCTAGGCGTTAAAATGACAAAAATTAATACTTTTGAGACGTTTGAAAAAAATTTTTTGATCTAAAGCAAACGACTTTTTTGCGGAATATATTTATGACCGATGTAGAAAAATGACACGCGCCGTAGAATTGTTAATGTAAAAGAGGTAAGACTAGGACTTTAATTGGAAATAAGTCCTAGTCATTTGGAAATCCAATTTAAATATTGTTTTGAATTAAAATAAAAAAAAAATCTTTTTTTTTTATTTTTTTTAAACCATGATTTTTTCCAACCCTGGTGAAAACTGATCTTTAAATTACTTATTTAGGAAAATACAACATGAACTATTTTACATGTAATTCTACCGTTATCTATGTATATATTATGTGTGAAAAATAAATCGAATGCAAATCATATGCAACATGCGATATGGTCTGATACATGCATTAAATAGATTGGAGTTATTTAATACCCTAGACTTTTTCTCCAGCTATAGATAGAAATTTTTAATTGAATATTTATAACCTTGCTCGGGTTATGGGGAATTACTATGACTAGGAAATGCAGTTATTTCAATAGAACAATCAGTTCATGCAGTCCTTGAGACTGATTCAGTGGTAGAATAAATTTATTACCGATTTGATATTTATGTATGTACCTACAAAGCGGTTTACTCTTCAGAAACAACTTTTAAGATATCAGAAATAGTTTTTTTTTATAAAAAGAGTTTTTGTTACACAGTGTGTTTCAAAAAATATGTGCCATCTCTCATAGGGAGATTCCTCATGTAAAAATATAATTTATTTTTTATATCAATATAGGTCCGATTCTGCTTTTGCAATCTTCATTCTTTCTTCGATTTATTATATTTTTTATCCATAGCAAATTAAAATTGCCTTATATCTATCAAAAATAGTAGATAAAATAGTACTTTAACCGGAAGGGTAGATTAAATGATACTTTAACAGCAAGGATAGGTTAAAAACTTTATTTGTTCTCCTACGTTTTTTAATTGCTTCCATTTTTGAAAATGTTCGTATTACTTTTCATAAGTTATTCGGGATTTAAATGGAAGTAGTTTGGATATAGCTTGATATAGCGTTTGTCGCCTGAATCTGAATAGACAGTTAAAGCAAGGCACGATACGTATACGTATCTCTATACGTAACGCAGAAACCTACGTTATGTCTGCCGTTGCGTTGTCGTGTAAACAAGAGTTAAAGCAAATATTTACGTAACGCAAATGTAATAATAATATAATTCTAAATTATTTTGTGAAACAATTTATTTAATTTTAAAACTGAAAATGGATATCTATTATTCCATTGATCCCACATTAAATTTAAAAAAGTTGGAAAAATGAAGAAAATTATAATTGGAAATTATTTTATTACAGAAAGTAGCTCTTACAACTTATAATGCTCTTAGCAATAAAAAATATTAGAAAACAGACACAGTTTTATGATTATTTATTAGATTCCATCTTTTAGATCCTCATGTGGATTTTGGCGAAGAACTAGAATTTCATTATATAGATTCCAAAATGAGTTTATTATGATGCTTAATATTTTCATACTAATTTATTGTAATAAAATAGGCCCAGTTCTGTTATACTGGCCCCAAAATTTATGAAATAACTTAATTACTAGCCAGTTGTGGAAACGAGTTGTTTGTGAATTTGTACGTTCGGCATCATTCGGGTGAAAATCGAAACTCCTTCGGCTCGATACGTTTGCGTTTTGTACGTACCTAAAGTGCCTAGGAAAGTCTTATGGAAGTGACAGGTTGTAGCCGAAGGTCCAGTACTAGACGCACGAGGGGGCGCAATTAGCAAAAAAAATTACAAAATTTAAAATTTTACCTCTTTTTACCTGGCTTTTACCGTCAAATGTAAAATTTAACCTGTCAACAGTTGTCAATTTATGGTCAATTTATTTTTTATCATAGACAAACAAATAAAAAGAGACTGACAAATCCCATGGTAAAGAGTGGGACCGCGTTACCGTAGCGCAACTCAGAATAACAATTTTGAAACCAATTAGCAGGACCATGGCAGGACGTACGTCTTTATTGCTATCTTTCTTTATTATGCGTGTTTTATATGAAAAAGAAAGAGATAGGTATAAAACGTATCCTAAGACATTATCGCACATTCTGGCTGACGGAAAATTTAAATTAGCCTTTATTAGTAGTATTCTTTCATTCTGAAACTGAAAATTTTCACTTAAACTGATTTACTCCCTATACCACGTAAAGGGAACGTGGTGTAGGGAATAAATCAGTTTAAGCGAAAATTTGCAGTTTCTTTCAGAACGAAAGAATACTACTATTATAAGGGAAATTATAAAAAAAGCAAAAATTGTACTGTTTTATAAACGTATTTATTTATAGATACATAAAAATAAATAAACTTTTTATAATATAATAACAAAAAATAACAGTGTTTATTCCACCCACCTACCAATTTTAAATGCAGAAGAACTGACTGTTGCAGGAAACGATCGGCCAATTTTTTTAAAGGGCATTAAAAATCTCATTTTCGAAAAAAAACTGCCTAATTGCAATAACAAAGTGAGTATCCAAGCAAAGAAGACTTTACGAGAATCATGATCCTGAACCATTTTTAAGTCCAGTTTTAATCCTAAAACAAAAGTAAAATAGGTATATTAATAAAGTTTCTGGTTACTATAAACCAGCTATAAACTACCTACCCAAAAAATGAAAAAAATTAATTGTATTAATTTGTTATGTTAAGAGAGAGGACTTCTACTTTTTTCTTAATAAGATGATAAATATAACTACTTACTTTTATTTTACCGGGTGTCTTTAACATATCTATCAGGGAAAGGGGGCACCAATACATATAAAAAATGGATGATACTGGCTCCTGCAGCAAATAAAATAACAAATAGTATAACCGAAAATTATAAATAACAAAATATAGATACCTATATGGAACAAGGGAATTTGTTCCCTATCCATATTCATAAGTCAATAAAATGGAGAGTTTAGAAAAAAAGGTAAATCACCAAAAGAAAAATTAACAAACATGACGAATTGTCATGATGTTGACATCTTGGTTGTCATGATGATGAAAACGAAAGGCGATTGTTCTAATTTCTATTTAGAAATTACGTTTTATATGGTTGCTTCTTTCTCTCTTGTTATATTAGAATGAGATAGTGGGCCCAATAGACGCAATGCGCAGATCAACATAAATAGAACGAAATTTTGCGTTCTGAGTTGCGCTACGGGAACGTTGTCCCTCTCTTTGCCATTTAATTTGCCAGTCTCTTTTTATTTGTTTGTCTATGCATGACAGCCGCGGCCATTATTATATGACAGTCGAACAATTTAATTTTTGAAATAGATAGCCACATGTCTTATCTTTATGGCACAGTGACTGTGGTAATCACTAAATTTGACGTTTAGACTATACACATATTTTTGACAGATAGTTTTTTTCGTCAAAAAATTTTAAATATTGTTTTTTCTTAAAAACGGTTAATGTTAGGTATAGAGTGTTTAATATCAAAATTCATAAAATTTTACAGAGAATTTAAATATGCAATAAAAAATGGGAGCACCCATTTAAAATAAGAAAGTTGCTGTCAACAAAAGTTACTGTCAACCGGTATTTCCGGAAGTGCCGCCATATTGAAAACATTTTTAATTGGTAGATCTTGTGTGTAATGATGTGCAAAAAATCTCCGATCTAGATATTGTAGTTCTCTAAAAACTTCTAATGGCACGCTCAGCCTGGGACACCCTATATGTAATTTAACAGATGGATTTCTTTTTTTTAGATTTCTTCAACGGAATTCAAGACCACATCAAAGATGGATTACCGTCTAATCTGTGGCTGTGCCACGAATATTATTACATCACCGATAATGCTACCGAGATCAGAGAAGTTCTAAACAATCCCAATTCTTTGGACAAGATGAAATTGTACGGATTCATAAATCTGGCAATGAAAGATTCTCTACTTCTTATGCCTGGTAATCTTACTGTAATGGTACTTAGTGTTTTGCGTTGCGCTAGCTTTCGCTGAGCGTCGGGCGTCGAGTTAATTATTTTGTTTCGGCGAGATTTGTAGCGTTCGGTGGCTCGACATCATCGAAGACCAGGCAAGACATGTACTTTGGGACGCAAAATTGTTACAATAGTCGTGTTCGGCATTATACTCTGAGAAATCTAGATAAACAAAGAACAACAGATATAAAGCATCCCAGAGGAAAAGAGAGGAAAAACCTGTACTTTCTCTGATATTTGTCAAAGTTACGGCAAAGTATTTTTCTAAGTGTCATCTTTTTGATCGACCTGAAAACCATAAAATAATTAACTAGAAAGAAGTGTCAACTCTGTGTTAAATCTTGGAAACACGATACGCCACCGAAAGCCTTCGTTGTCGTCTGGAGACCTAATTTTCCAATTGACAGGTTGAGATGATGGTTTCGTTTTTATTTCCGTTTCCGGTTATTCAATGGCGGGCCCTCTTTCAGTTTAAATGTATTTTGTACTCTTTCTTACCATAAATAAAACAAAAAAAAATTATTCAAACATATTTATTTGAAATATGAGACAACGTGACTAAATAAATATAAAAAATAAAGAATTGAATGATTTCTACAGCAATTACTTAATTATATGCAATTTTAACGTAAATTAGTAAGGTATAAGCATGACTTACAGTAATTTGTAAATAAATACACGTATTCACAGCCATCAGAGACAAAAAACGGGGGCAGGGACATGAAAACGGGAGCCCTATACAAAAACCTGAAAACAGAAAAGCAAATTTTTTTATAGTAAAATTAACAATGTAAAAATATCAATAGGTATAAAATACAAATATACTGTTTAAAGTAAGCGTCCATTATTTCCAAAGAGACCTGGTCTATAAATCAAAAAGAAGCAAAAAGAGACTTTTAGTCGGATAAAAATCGGATTGTATCAGTCAGATTTATTGCATTATTGACAATAAATCGCACATACTGGAGGTAACCTAGCTAGGTATATTCTTTGGAGGTAACTAATGTTGGCTATAGTTAAAAATGATCTTACCTTGCTGTAAATTGTTTCCATTTTCGAAAAAATCGCCGATCATAAACATAACAAAATTTTCTTGCATCTAAAAAATACAGAAATAGTGTTTATTTACTACCTATTTTTAATATACATGGGACATACCTAGTACTGCAGAAACGTCTTTTTCTCCAGGATTTTTCATGTAATATATATATTATATATGCTTTATTACCTTTATATTTATAAATTTCTACCGAAATATCAAATTGAATTTACAAAACAAAACTAAACGGAGGGCACGGAGAGAATTAAAATGGTGTCGAAATTTGTTCTAGAACAAATCTGAAGTTGTCTCTGAAATCTGTCAATTCTAAACTGTGAAGTTAGACAATAGTTAGAGAGAAACATTGCTGTCCTTATCTAGGCGGCCATACTTGTCGTCAGGAGATGACAGGAATGACACTAATGACTGTTTCCAATTTTCCTATTTCACTGTCACCCCCCTACTGAAAACTTCGAGCAAAAAGATGACACTTTCAACAATACCCTGATATATATCAGAGACGATACAGGTTTTCCCCTGGAATACTTTATATATTTATGGTTCTTTTTTTATCTAGATTTCTCAGAGCAGAATGCCGAGCTCAGCTAATATAGAAATATAAACGTCCGTAATCGGTTATTTGAAGAAATCATATCTATCTCTATTCTAAATTTTTGAAACTTTTTTATAATATATTTATTTAATTGTCTCTTTATTTTTTTTAGGTAGGTTATCCAACTTTTTTGTATATAATTATAACGTTTCTAACAGTAAAATTAAATAAACTTCTATCTTTAAAGGCATTTTACAAACTAGAAATGTAAAAAACAGTCTCACAAGACAAGCAAGAAGACCTGGCGCTTGCCTGAACGCCTAGACGCGACGGCGACGCGAACGCGACGCAACTGTCGATCACAGCTGTCGATGCTCTCAGCCTGAACATACCTTAAGGTAAGACGCACATTGGGACGCATGCCACGCAACCCAAGCAAGGCAGCGCTAGACAAGTTTTTGTAACACAAGCAAGTTAATACCTGTCCGCAAATTGAGACGCAACGCAACACAGGCCACGAATGTGTTGAGTTAGTCGTGCGTTACTTTGTAGTCGAGACACAGATCTCCTTGTGCGTGCGGCACATTTACATGCAGTTTTCAAGATGAAGTAAAAAATAATAGGCTCTATGATGCTGTGGAGTTCAGAAAACTGCTCTCTATTTTTAACCGGAAGTAGTTCGAGAACTTCGCATCCGACAATTCAAATGTCAAAGCGAATTCTCCATGAATTAGTCGTTTTTGATGTAATTGCCCATCCAAAAAGATTTTCGGCATTTTTTCACATCGTATAGCAGGACTTCTGTTTCCCACTCTTCCTCCAAATCTGACTCAGATCTAAGGTCTAGTAAATATTCTATTTCAGAAACAGCCGACATTGTGTTACTTTGGTTTTTCCAGGAACAAACTAAACCTAAGAAATAATATAATAAGATTTGTGCTTGTAAGCGTCTGGCTTGTGCTGCTATATGCGCTTCTGACACAGCCCACTGTCAACTTGCGTGGGTCGCCTCGAGAAATGCCTTACATGGGTTGCGTAGCATGCGTCCCAATGTGCGCCTTACCTAAGTCGGCATGAAATGCTGTGGTTTTGCTATACCGGGTGCGTCTCAAAAGTGACTCACCCCTATAACATTTTTATTTTTTCAGATAAAAAACGAGATTTTCTATGTTAGTATATGACATAAATTAGAATTGATTGACGTATTCAATTGTTTTTGGTCACTTCCTGTTTCACCGGAAATGACAACAACTTTTGATTTTCAAAAAGGCATCCTCTATGGTATTTTTTTACTTTATTCGATAGAAAATGACACCTAACCTAATCTAATTGAATAGAATGACATATGATATGTCGATATATGAACTTTTGACATTTTCGTTTTAAAAAAATTGAAGCTATCTCTGACGCCGTTTTTTTTTCTCGATAGTATGGTATTTTTATTATGCATTATTTCAGTGGACCTGTGGAAGAAACACAGAAAATTCTGTTCGAGGAGCTTCAGCCAACCTGTCCTAAACAGTTTTGTACGGTTTTTTTACAATAATTCTGTTACCCTAAACGAAGTACTCAAAGACGCCCATAACAAAGACACATTTGAAATATTCGAAAGATATACCTTCGAAACGTTTTGCGGTAAGTATAATCTAAGAGTATTTTTTGTTATAATGATTGATAAAAATATGAATTCGACAAGAGAAAAGTTTCTTTGGATGTGGTATACAATGATTCAGTATTGAAACTAAAAGAATTCCCGACTTCCATTTTCTTTATTTATTTTGGTTAATGTAATGTTTAAGTCAGCAGGATCACTGGCCATGATCAAGTATACACACAACCAAACTTATATGGAATCATTTATTATTTTTCATAATTTTTGAGACGTATGAAAATTTTGTATTTATGAATAAAACTCAATCCTTACCAATGACTTTTAATGAAAAATAATCCATATAGCAATAAAAAAAATAGTCAGTTCCCAAAATAAACAAAATGGTATTTTTTGGGTTCTGAAACAAAATTAAAAATTAAATTTTTAATGGCTCAAAAGCAAAAACAAAAAGAAAATTGATAATTTTAATATTCCTTGTTGCCACCTCTAGCCCTTATGCAAGTTTCGATTCGCACTGGCATGCTTCTTATTAAATTATCAACGTTGTCTTGGGATATGTTTTCCCATTCTGCTAATGCTACATCAATAAGCTGTGCAAGATTTCTTGGATTGTTTCGACGAGCTCTAACCCTTCTTTTGAGCTAGTCACACAAGTGTTCGATAGGGCTTTAGATCTGGTAAACATGCAGGCCAGCCCAAAACTATGACACCTTGACACTATGACGTTTCAAGACATTCTCTAGTCACTCTGTTGGTATGGAGAGGTGCACTATCGTACAAGAAGTTAAAATTATAACCAATTGTAGCTCTATAAAGACTAACGATTGGGGTGCTAGACACAAGTCAACATATCTCGACCCGTTAAAGTTCGTTGAAGTGGTAACAATGAAAAACTCATCCGAAAAAAGAACATTTTGCCAATTCTCAGTTGTCCAGTTTTGATGTTGATGGCCTCAATTTAGCCGGTCAATTTTATTTTGCCGAGATAACTGTGGGATCCGTAACTCTCTCCTACTGTAAAATCCTCGAGCACGAAGCCTTTTTGTTATGGTTTCAACTAAAACGTTTACATCCTGTAGCTGCCAGAAGTTGTCTTTGTAGCTCTGGATGAGAAACATTGGGATTTATTCTAGCAATTTGGTCCACAAGGCGGTCTTGTTGTTCAGTCAGTAACTCTTTGACGACTTTGTCTGGGCCTATCCTTGTGTGTTCCTAATTCCAATACCTTGCATATGTTTTCGATACAACACCCTGGGTAACGCCTACTATCTCTGCTACATCTCTTTGGAGCATTCCTTGTTCGGTGAGAGCAATAATTCTTCCCCTCTGTACATCTGTTAATGCAACATAAAGCATTTTTTTGGATCGAATGAAAATTACCGGACAATCGTGATTTTACTACTGAACACAAAATTCAAAAGAAAATAAATCGCAGCAGTCGTTTATTCTTTATTATCATGTTTATTTACATCAAAAAGCCTTATTTTAAAGTTGTATACCAATTTTTATCCTAGCAAGAAATTTAGTCAGAAATAAAGAGCGATTCCATATAAGTTTAGTTGTGTGTATACTTAGTATAAACTTATACCACAACTTATACATAGGTATATCACTAAACCGTTATCAAGTTCATACAAGTACCGTATGATCGAAAAAAACGAGTCCAGTTGGCTGGAAAATGACGATCGAGGCAGTAGCGGACTAGGGGGGGGGGGCGAAAGGGGCGGTCCGCCCCGGACCCCTTCTTCTAGGAGGCCTGCAAATCTTAATAAGTATTTTTTTATTCAACTGGCAAACAGGCCAATATGTGTTCAGTAATTATATAGCAATTTGTAGTTACGAGAATGCAAACCTTAAGTATACGCAAACTAAACACAGTATAAATGGAAGCAGATATTTACTTAATTATCAGTTATTAGGCCCCAGTAATTGTCAATGGCATTTTTCTATTTACGAAATTAAATCAAGGGGTAATTTTCTTTGTTTAGAATATCGAATAACTATTATTTTTTATATTCGAATAATTATTATTTATTCTTGGACCTATATAGGAGTATACCGCGATTTTGTAAGGGGCCCCTTACAAAATCGTGGTATTTACCTGGAACGGTCGCGAAAGTAACGCGGCTTATATGTGGAACCGGTATTCCCATCACTTTGTCATGATATATTGCCATCAAATATATGCAAACATTCGCTCGGGGATTGTTTTATTACGTCAAATTGCATTCGTTTTTCAATTTAAATGTATTATTATAAGCTTTAAAAAAATTGATGTTATCGTTTTTGGGGCCTTTTTGGAGCTGGGGCCCTTAATCCTCTGGTCGGGGCCCGTCGGGTCCCTACATAAAAACAGCAATGCCGATGAATAACATATTTATATCTACAGTATGTCCGCGGATTGTCTTCATAAAAATTTTTGCTTGTTGTAAAATGGTCATTCCTGTTTATACTTTTCCAAATTTCCATACCGTTTTAGACTTTGAGTTTTAGAGAAAAATAAAAAAAAACATGAAAATGTAGTTGAATTTTTGAACTAGTAAAAATAAAACGCCTTTCTATGGTAATATAATGTCGTTCTCAATTTTTGATAGATTATTATTGACATAATTTTAATTAAAGTTATATTTGTTGCTGTTTTAAAATGTTAAAGAAGCACAACATTTATTTAGTTCAATGCTACGGAAAGGGTGATAATAGCTATCGTAAAATGTGATACTTCAACATAAAAAAATATGACGTTAATCAAGATTAATTATAACGATTTATCAAAAAATGAAATCGAAATTATATTACCATAGCCTTTTAATTTTTAGGACTTTTTTCCTCTTGTAATCTGTGTCTGTCTTTTCCTCTGGGTGTCCCAGAAATAAGTGCTAGTATTTTCACTGGTAGTAGAGTTCAACCCCAGAAACACGCATATGATATTTTTTGGGGATTTTTTTTTAGTTTTTAATTAAAAAACATAATTTCTTGTTAATATGACAACATAGGTATTAGATTAAATTTACAAGAAAGAAAATCCAGAAAAGATAAAGTGGTTCTCAAAATTTTAGCAAATTTTCGAAGTAAAATAACTCCGTTATTTTGGACTTATTTGAAAAACGATAAAGAAAAAATATGTTTTTTTATCTACCATCCCTTAAAATACTTGCACTTATTTCTGTGACACCCTATATATATATATATATATATATATATATATATATATATATATATATATATATATATATATATATATATATATATATATATATATATATCGATTTTATTACAATTATTACAGTATATAAATACTTGAAATTTGTCAACCATTATTCATACATCATTCAATCTTTACAAAATGTGCAGACCAGGGGCCACATTTAGCTTTGCCGCCCCGGGCCCCCGAAAGGCTTAGTCCGCGACTGGATCGGGGACATTTCCCATATAAACTTATATATATAATCAGCGATCTTCATTTCATAGCCATCGCTGACACCGTTTTTTTTTGATCATACGGTATAAACTTAACGGTCAGTAATCCCTCTAACCTAAACGTGCCTAAACGTTGTGTTAATCAAAATAAATAAAGACAATGGAAGTCCAAAATTCTTTTAGTTTCTACAGATTCTTTTTTAGCTCATATGCCTTGGTTAATTTTTAAGAGCGAAATGAACTTGCCACAAACAATTTGTAATTTTTTCAATTATCATTACATTTTGATTACGTCGATATGTCTTTTTTTTATTTAACATTTATTTATTTTGTTGTAAATTTCTTGTATCATTTTTTTTTCTCTTTTTCTGGAGTTAAATGGAAGAGCAGAACATAATAATTTATGTTCTGAATTTCGCTCCATTTTCCACTGAATTTGTTTTATTCTGTAATGTTCATATCATTGTGTTCATTATATCATTACTTCTCTTGTATTTATTTTTGTGGGAAATCAGCTGTCATAACTAACGTCTAAACAAAGCAAAAATTAAATAATAAAATTATTTTTTTGATAATATTTAAATTAGTTTTCACTAAAAAATTGTTGGATCAAATAAATGTTGTTTTCCATGGCCACAGCTTATTCCCTAGTCAGCTAGTCATCTTCGCTAGTTTTTAAGCACCCGCTCTTCACCTGCTGCGCCATCTATACTAATATATAAAATCCTTAAGTGACTGACATACTGATTAATCACGATCCTGCTCAAACCACTCAACGTAAGAAGCTCAATTTTGGCATACAGGTTGATTCTAGGGTGTAGAGGTTCGATAAGAAGGGATTTTTCGAAATTCCAGTTCCAAGAGGGTGAAACCGCCCCTCAAATATTACAATATTTTTTATTTAAAAAACGGTCAAGTTTCCGAAAAAACGCTTAAACACGTATATTTTATTTTGTTTTTTTACATATTTTAAGATTTTTTAAAAATGTATACAGGGTGTTTCAAAAAGTTTGGTCATTGATTAATCACGATCCTGCTTAAAGCGCTTGACGTAAAAAGCTGATTTTTGGAAAACGGATTGACTTTAGGGTGTAGAGGTTCGATAAGAAGGGATTTTTCTAAACTCGAATTCTAAGGAGGTAAAACTATCCCTCAAATATTAAAATATTTTTTATTTAAAAACCGGTGAGTTTTTCGGAAAAACTCTTAAACACGTATATTTTATTTTGTTGTTTTACATATTTTAAGATTTTTTATAAATTTATACAGGGTGTTTCATAAAATATGACCATTGAGTAATCACGATTCTGCTTAAACTGCTTGACGTTTAAAGCTGATTTTTTGCAAACGGATTGACTGTGGGGTGTAGAGGTTGGATAAGGAGGGGTTTCTCGAATTTCAAATTCCAAGAGGGTGAAAACGCCCCTCAAATATTACAATATTTGTTATTTAAAAAACGGTTAGTCTTTCGGGAAAACGCTTGGACAAGTATAATTTATTTGGTTTTTTTACATATTTGGAAATTTTTTAAAAAATCATACAGGGTGCTCCAAAAAGTTGGGTAATTTCTTAACTACGATTCTGCTTAAACTGCTTGACGTAAAAAGCTTATTTTTGGCAAACGGATTTTTCGAAAAACAAATTCCAACGAGATGAAACTACCCCTCAAATATTACCAAGTTATATAATAATATCGCCATATTGTTTTTTCTCATGCTGACATAAATGTGAGAAAATTTTATCCAGTTTGTATGTTAATGGAAATTCTTGCTTTGCTTTACCATCACCATTACAATGATTAATTCGACGCGAACGAAGTCGATGGTACCGGCTAGTAATCCCTAAAAATATATATGTTTATCTTTAATATATCGAAAATATACATTTAACAATTTAAAATATAAGCCTATACTTACCTGAAGACCCAATCACAGTTAATTGAAAAATAAAAATCAGGGCAATGATTGCCGATTTAATTTCCACTAAAAATCTTTTGGTTAACGTCACAATGAAGTTTTCACATATATTTGCGCCATACTAAATTCAAAAAGCTACAAAATCTGTTGTGTGCTGAACTAGTAGGTAGCCATATTAACCAGATAGATACAGTTTCAATAATTTAGTATTCCAAATTACCAACAGTATTTCACATTGCCCTCACTTCCTCTAACATAAGATAAGCGAATTACGTAGGTAGGTAAGCAGAATTTCATGTAAATGATCGTATATCGACTAGGTGTCTAATAAATAAGTTGTGGTACGACTATGAGTAAACACTCGTCGTTTGCAAGTGATTATTGTAGTCAAGGCATTATGTTACTATTAGAATAATTAGCGAATTACGTAATCGTTATGTGTTCTAATACTGACCTAGATGTTTAATTTTAATTATAAACAATACAGACACAAAAATATAGTAATTCATTCGAAAATTATGCTAGATGGTTACTTTAAAATACGTTAGCACGTGTCCTTGAATATAATATTGAATAAATAATCTTAGTTCAGCTCTCCGTACTTAGGAATTAAAAGTATTATTAATAAGAACATTATAATACATAGTATAGTAAAGGCGGTATATAGTATCAAAGATAGTCAGCCTCATATAAGATTTTTTTATTTATTGATTTAGCAGCGAAATAAAACACTAACCAAACGAAACCAAACCACCCTGTATAACGTAAACATTTATAAAAAATGTCTATACCTGTGAGGCAGATTCATTTCTCCAAAAAATCCTATAATAATATATATATATCGCCACTACAAGAAAATCGACAAAATAAAATAGTTATTTTTTGTAAACAGTTCTTCGTTAATCCCAAACGGAAACTACTTGTCAGAAGTTAGGTTTACAGATATACAAATTTGCCTAACGAACAAAAAAATGCTTAACGGAAGCAAAAAAAAATACAAAGAATAAAAACTATTTAAAATATTTAAATTCAACTATTCGAGAACACTTTAGTTTTTTAAAACAGATACGTCTACAAAAACCGTTGACGTTCTCTTAAAATGACATTATATCAAGTTAAACTTCAAAATTGACAATTACTACCTGATAACAAATACTTAATAAGGCAAAACCCTAGGGTAAAACCAAAAAGCCCCAAACTTTCTGTATGATTATTTTTAATTTTTACGTATATGTTATGTTTATTTATGTTATGTTCTTTAAAATCAAAGAAGCGATTGCGATACATTACTAACATCTACAGATGCATGAGCAATACATTTATTTTTATTAGATTGTATTAAAAAAGCCTCTTTTATTTTTCTTTTAGAAGCTATAGCTTCTTTCCTTAGCTTCTTTCATTATAATTTTAGCGTTATTAAAATTTGTTCTGTGTCCTGTGTCCCATGAATGCTGACAAATCTTAGATTTGTGAAAATCTCCGTTTCTTAAATAATCTTTATGTTCTTTAATTCGAACATTTAGTAAAAAGAGGCTTTTTTTAATACAAAATACAATCTAATAAAAATAAATATATTGCTCATGCATCTGTAGATGTTAGTAATGTATGGCAATCGCTTCTTTGATTTTAAAGTATAACATAACATAAATAAACATAACATACGTAAAAATTAAAAATAATCATACAGAAAATTTGGGGCTTTTTGGTTTTACCTTATCCGGTAGTAATTGTTAATTTTGAAGTTTAACTTGATATATTGTCATTTTAACAAAACGTCAACGGTTTTTGTAGACGCATCTGTTTTAAAACACTAAAGTGTTCTCGAATAGCTGAATTTAAATATTTTAAATAGTTTTTTTCTTTATTCTTTGTATTTTTTTGCTTCCGACGACGGAAAGAGGTAAGCTTTCCGAAACGTTAAGTATTTTTTTGTTCGTTAGGCAAATTTGTATATCTGTAAACCTAACTTCTGACAAGTAGTTTCCGTTTGGAATTAACGCAGAAGTGTTTACAAAAAATAACTATTTTATTTTGTAGATTTTCTTGCAGTGGCGAAATACCCATATAGGATTTTTTGGAGAGTAAACATCTATTTTTTAACTTATATTTTTTTTTTTCAGAGAGCGTTGTAGGTTACGAATATAAAGCTCAACTAAACCACAACTTAAAGTTAGTAGAGTCGTTGGAAGAGTAAGTCATTTTTAAAAATGGCAAACAACACAATAAATTTTTTAATTTTTCCAGACTACAGACATTGGGCTCCCATTTAGTAGTGGCATTTCGATATATTCCAATCGTATTTTGGCTGTTCCTAAGCAGAGGTAGAAGAGCCCTTAAGATTATAAGAAACGTTCATACTACTATTTATAATGTAAGATCTGGTCGGTGCATATTGTGATGTAACGAATTTTCGCATTCGTATTCAATGCCTTCATATTCGCATATTTCTCGACATTCGTATTAAACTATCATGTCCGAAAAGAAATGAAGAGGCGGCTGCAATAACTAGACAGATCTATTTTAATAATTTGGCTAGCCAATGTAAGCAGCTCCAAAATAAACTAAAAATACTAATAGCAATTAAACTTTTAGAAAACGGTTCTTTTTAGAACCTCTTTTGGTGCGAAGTGTACAGGGTGGTCGAAATTTGTCTGTTTTAACAGAGAAAACCTATTTCCTGACTAGATAGGCTATATAATGGCGTAAACCTCCTGTTGATATTTTCACTGCCAACTGAGATACGGGGTCTTTTTGAATTTTTTACCATTTTGAAAATTGCCCATAACTTTTTATTTCGCGGTATAATAAAATTCTGTAAAAACGTTCTTAATGCATTTTTTTAGGTATAATTCAGTGGCGTAGTCAGTTTTTTTCTATACTTGCTGTTTTTGTCAGAAATGATAAAAAAATATATTTTTTTAAATGGAAATCATAGTTGGCTATGAACTTAAAAAATGGTGGCGTTTAACCCTTTCCAACGATATAAAGTTATGAGTATCTATTTCTAAGAATGAGAGAAATATTAGGTTTTATATCTTTATATCGAAGCGGGCCTTGATTTTGTGTTGATCTATTTGCCTAGTTATTTTTTATCACCATTTATATTCTATATTATTATTTATCTGCATAATTAAAGACTTTTGAAAAGGTAAATTAACATTCTATATTATTAATTACAATTGAAATCGGTACAATAAACAAAGAACAAAACTAAAAAAACGTATTTTTGAGGGACGAATGTAGTTTTCTAAAAAAAACCTCAAAGATGTTCAAACAGCACCTCCTTCTTGAATACACAATAAACATATTTTGCGCACAGCGATTTACAGCGATTATTAGGCGAACTGGTGTAATAAGTCCAACAGCTTGCCTAGTAGCCTTCTGCAATTCTTCTGTCGTCCCAACGGTTTTTCCCTTATATATAAGGTCTTTTAATTTCCCCCATAAAAATGTCGAAAGGGGTTAAATCACAGGACCTAGCAGGTCAAGATATGGGGCCCCTTTTTCCAATCCAATTCTCTCCAAATTCTCCATTAACAGTTCAGTTGTAACCCTGGCGTTTTAATTATAATTTGTAATACTAATATAGAATGTTGATTTACCTTTCAATTTTTTTCAAAAGTCTTTAATTATGCAGATAAATAAAAATATAGAATATTAAATTGTGATAAAAAATAATTAGGCAACTAGGTCAACACAAAATCAAGGCCCGCTTCGATACAAAGATAAAAAACCTAACATTTCTCTCATTTTTAGAAATAAATACACATAACTTAATATCGTTGGAAAGGGTTAAACGCCACCATTTTTTTTAAGTTCATATCCAACTATGATTTCCATTTAAAAAAATATATATTTTTTATCATTTCTGACAAAAACAGCAAGTATAGAATAAAACTGAGTACGCCACTGAATTGTGCTTAAATAAGTGCCTTAAGAACGTTTTTACAGAATTTTATTATTCCGCGAAATACAACAGTTATGGGCAATATAATCCAAATGGTAAAAAATTCAAAAAGACCCCGTATCTAGGTTGGCAGTGAAAATATCTGCAGGCGATTTACGCCATTAAACGTGTCTCAGAAATCGAGCCCATGACATCTATGTCGGTTTTGCTCTATCTAGTCAGGAAATAGGTTTACTCTGTTAAAACAGACCAATTTCGACCACCCTGTACAAGATAATTATTAGCTGAATAGTCGTAAAAAACTCGTCTCAAAACTCTCTCGCAAAAACTCGTTATTAGAATATTTTAAACAGGAAAGCGGTAGTAATGGCCCTTTATGTCCCTTAAGTGCTGTTAAGGTGAGTTTTGTTGATGTAAATAGGTAATATAATTGTTTATATATTTAAAATTAATTTATCTTTGTTTCCGAAAATATTTTGATTAAAAGAAAACATGTAAAAATAGGCAACGCTGTGCCGGTTAAGCTTAATCATGATCATGTGACTAAATGTTTATTTGATATGAACTATAGTAATTTTTTGGCAATAAATAACTCGTATTCATATTCGTATTCGCGAATATTGTGAGCAGATATTCGTATTAGCATTAGGGATGGTTAAAAAAGGTTATTCGTTACATCACACTGTATATTATCATCAAGAATTAATCAAGTCTATTTTTTAGATCATCGAAGAGAAGAGAAAATCTTATTTTAAGGAATCAGGTAAGACTTGTTTCTAGAATAAGTTTTGAGGTATTAAATTTAAAACTAAAAAATGTTTGGGGTTTGTCCTCCTCCACTTTATTTATGAAATTAAAGCACAGATTATAATCTTTGTTTTTTCTTTATTGTTTTTCGAGGTTCCAATTTTCGGAATTGGGCACTAGTTAGGTTACTAGTTTGCGCACTTATTACTTATTACGTACTTATTACCTATTACGCCCACTTATGGCCTCTAAAATTGTGCACAGCGCCTGACCGCCACAGTTATTAGAGAGATATCGGAAAACCGAATAGCGTCATTCAGTATTTACGCGTACCTTATCATGGTTACGATATGCGCGAGTCAATTTTTAACGCAACACCCGCTAATAACGTTACCGCCTGACGTAATTTGCGGATCAATTATACACCAAGCGCTCTTTCTAAATAACCTCTGATAACGTTTAAAAATTGCTTAAATGGGCATGTGCGGGTATTTGACAAACGGAGCCGGCCGGCGAGATCTTTTATTTTAGGTTATGTTTGAATTGTTTTGAATTATTGCTTTAGTTTTATTAGGTAATTTGATATTTAAGTAGCTGGGATTAGTTTAATTAAATAAATATGGCTCAAAATATGGATTCCACCTCTTCCAATACTAAAGAACCTATAAAGAGTCTTAGGTTTACAGCAGATGACGACTTAGCCCTTCTAAGAGAATTTGTTGCTTGTTGCCCTAAACCCACTGGCAGACGTTGAACAATAAAGCACTGGAAATAAGCACTTTAGCCCTTTAGTTTTAAAATACCTAGTAAACAAAACAATTTCAAAGTTTTAAATTCAAAGTTAGGTTAAGTTTAAATAGCGGACGCGACACGATCAGAATTCTTTCCGATCCGATAACTATAAATGAAGAGAGTTTGTCGCCCACTAGTCCGCTGCGCGGCGCGGCACTGGGAAGAGAATTTTTTCCGGCTGCGAAGGGACTGCACCCACTATAGCGCGCTTTTGAAACGCGGCAACGCTATTTAGTTATAGTCTGTAGTTTATTTTTTAAAGCAATGAGTTCAAGTACGGACGAAAGCGTATTTTTTGTGCTCTTCTAACAGTGGAAGAGGATAAGGGGGTGAGGAAAAGTTTGGACTCATACGATTAACAAAAAAAGAAAGAAGTTTGGAGAATTTTACCATCTTTTTCCAGATTTAATAAAAGACAAAATTATTTTTTCAGTATTACAAAATATAAAGGAAACATTTTACGCACTCCTCAATTGAGGGTTTTAGAAGAAAAAACACCGGGTATATCTACTCATCATATTTTTTCAGAAGAGACAAATTACTAATATTTTTGATAATTCTTATTTATTCTGATGTGTATATTAGTTATGTGGTTAAAAAAACCCTGATCTTTTTTATATATTTAGGTAATTAGAATTTAAAAATTGGAGATTGTCACTTTTGTTAAAAAGTGGAGATTGCCAGTTTTGCCTCTACATCCCTCAATTATATTAAATCTTTGATAGAAAGGCATTTCGTCCATCTGCCTCTAGTGAGGGAAGACTAAAAAAAATATCATGTTCCTTTATGAAAATCGATTTGCCTAATTTACCTTTAAAAATACAATTCTGCCATTGATACATATCACTAGTTCCTAGTCAAAAAGCCAACTGAAAAGACTCGAATGCAAAATTATTTCCCTTGTGAGTACGCATACTGCAACGCGCCGAAACGCGGGAGACGGAAAAAAGTTGCTAGAGAAGTCTTCCGGCTTCTTGACGGAAATCCCGCGGCGCGCTTCTGCGCTGCGCGCTCTAATGTACATTGGTCCATTTAAATACATGGCAAGCAGACAAAAGAAATTTCCACATGGCGCCGCGCGGCGCCGCGCCGCGGGCTAGTGGGCGACAAAATACCACCTCACGTAAAGGAAATAATACCTGGCCTTATTAACGTCCATGCACGCTATTCGGTTTAGCGATATTTCTCTATTACGCTGTTTATTGTTATTTTACGCGAGTTTATTTTTGCGCACAGGAAATTTGACTCGTTTGCACATCGTCATAAAAAACAATTTTCGTACCACGAATTAGGGACAAGATTTTTATCTGTACACTTATAGGATACCTAATCTGTGATTAAAGTCTGTGGGCAAAGTCAAGGAAGGTTATTTGGACAGACAGCATTCAAAAATGACAGAAAATACATGAATTTCAATATCCAAAATTTTGAAAATATTTGCAGTCGATTTCCTTATTTTTATAAATTTTTCGTGTAGTGTCTATAGTCGAAGAGCCGGGTGCAAAAACATGTAAGAATTTTGTGAAGGCTCATATTTTCAAAATCGATTGCATTTTAGCGTTAAAAAGCAAAAGTACAGTCAGCAGTTCTAGTCGGGGACTGTTTTCTGAAGGCTGAAAATTTGTAGATAACATTCGAATGCAAATTTTTAGATATACAGGGTGTCCCAGGCTGAGCGTGCATTAGAAGTTCCTAGAGAACTACAACATCTAGCTCGGAGATTTTTTGCATATCATAGTTTCACAACGAGATCTATCGATTAAAAATATTTTCAATATGGCGGCACTTCCGGAAATACCGGAAGTTGACAGCAACTTTCTTATTTTAAATGGGTGCCCCCATTTTTTATTGTGTATGTACTTAAATTCTATGTAAATTTTTATAAATTTTGATATTAAACACTCTATATCTAACATTAACCGTTTTTGAAAAAAAAATATTTAAAATTTTTGAACGAAAAAAACTTCCTGTCAAAAATATGTGCATAGCCTAAACGTCAAATTTATTGATTACCACAGCCACTGTGCCATAAAGAGAAAACATGTGGCTATCTATTCCAAAAATTAAATTGTTCGAATGTCACATAATGATGGCCGCAGCTGTCATAGAATTGAACGATTAAAAAAGTATCATAATTTTTTTTTTCAAATGGAATCCCACTTTTTTTATTTCTCTAGTGAAAAGGCTGTTTAATTCGTTACTTTTTAACTATTCATGTTCCTATACCTAAAAGAAATCGTTTTTGAGTTATATAAGATTAAGGTCGATTTATAAATTGAAAACGGTGCGGTTCGACGTTGCGGTTGCGATTATTTCTATTGGCTATTACTAACGTTTCAAGGTCAACGTTCCTGTCGAAGTTAAATATTGGTTAATTTTTGACGTAAAACGTCAACAGCAACAACAATCGAAAAATTTATAATCAATTAAACATCCTGCGTATAAACAAACTTTTTACCTACCGTAACGTCGGGCGTCGACCCGCAACGTTTTCAGTTTATAAATAGACCTTTAGTTTTAAAGCGTATATTTTTCTTGATTTTAACCAGTAGCCTATGAACACAGCTTAAGTAAAAAACAGCTCGGACAGTGTAGCGTGCCGCTTTGATCTTTTTACGCTCGGATTTGCGATTCGAAAGAGGGAGAACTCTAGAGCGGCGAGCTCTCTCGCCACAACCAATAGCCACGTAAGCGGCAGTCAGCCCAGAGATGTATTAAAAAATTTTTTACAGGTGACGTAAAAAATTATTCGACTGGTGCTAGAACATAATTTAGATACACGTTTTTTAAATTGTTGACTTTAAATAAATATGCATTCTCAAAGAAAAACATGTGAGACAGTGTTTAAATTTATAAAATTAAACGAAAATAATAATAAATTTGAATAAACAATATTTGGCGATATAATTCCGGAAAAAGCCAAACCGCTCCGAAATTTTCAACAGTTTTGGGTCGCGACCGTTGCAAGAATAGCGCCAAATAGTGTTTGCATTGTCCTTATGGGCACTTTCCAATCTAAACTTGTTTCATTTATCTATGCGTTATCGTATGAACGGGTCCGTTGACGGGCTGAAGTAAAATATTTACGGATGAAAAGTGGCGCGAAAATGCTATGACCAATCAGAGCACCGTCGGACCATCGTATCAACGTATAACGGATGCATGAAAATCAAGCTTAAGGAAGGAGTATCATGCTATCCATGTATTCATGCTTGGTGGGCGGAAAAAGGACTCTAGGGTGGGGATCCTTGACAGTTCTGTTTGACGATTCGTTTGACACATTTGAATTTGATTTGAAATTTTGTGGATTCGTCAGTCTTTACGGAGTTTATTTTATGTTATTTATTATTTATTCTACTACTAATAGTTGTATAAAGGTAGTAAATCTAGATGGAAATTGTGGCAGAATTTAAATTAACAGTGACACTATCGCGATTTGTCGAAAAAGACTCTAAAATAGTTGGTTGTGTAGCGTGTGATAGATCTCGGCAAAAATGTGTGAAATAATGGAACAACTTTTCGCTAGTAAGTGACTATATAATATACATACGTGTAGTAAACCGAGCATTTATGAAATTCACTTAAAATAACTAATTATATATTTTTTCTTGCATTTTTGCTTTTATTTACTACTTGTCAAAGATTAGATGTCAAAGAATTTAGATACTTCAATTTGACTAGAGTATCCATAGAGAAATCCTAATATTTAGCTCTTTGAATAAGAAGACTAAGGAAGGAGCATAATGCTATCCATGTATTCATGCGTGGTGGGCGGAAAAGCCACCATAAAAGCTCTCTAGGGTGGGGATCCTTGACAGTTCTGTTTGACGATTCATTTGACACATTTGAATTTGATTTGAAATTTTGTGGATTTGTCAGTCTTTACGGAGCTTATTTTATGTTATTTATTATTTATTCTACTACTGATAGTTGTATAAAGGTAGTAAATCTAGATGGAAATTGTGGCAGAACTTAAATTAACAATGACACTATCGCGATTTATCGAAAAAGACTCTAAAATAGTTGGTTGTGTAGCGTGCGGTAGATCTCGGCAAAAATTGAGTGAAATAATGGAACAACTTTTCGCTAGTAAGTGACTATATAATATACATACGTGTAGTAAACCGAGCATTTATGAAATTCACTTAAAATAACTAATTATATATTTTTTCTTGCATTTTTGGTTTTATTTACTACTTGTCAAAGATTAGATGTCAAAGAATTTAGATACTTCAATTTGACTTACCTGCTTCAGTAGCGTATCGGATGTTTATGGTTATAAACTCAAACTCTTGCATGTTTTTGCACCCGGCTCTTAGACTATAAAATTTAACTTAATAATCCTAGTTAGTTTTATTATTATTAGTTAGTACTTTTATTAATCCTTATTTATTAGTTTTTAATTACCTCTAGTATAAGTGATTTGAGTTAATAATACCGTTTAAGATCGAAAAAAAACGTTGTTTGGAAATGACCATCGATGATATTTACCATATAATTTTATATATAAATTACAACGATCTTCATTTTCAATCCCACTCTGACAGGCTGATTCTTTTTGATCATATAATATATTAACATTTCCAAAACTCTGACATTGTTAAAAAAATGTCATACCTATGTGGCAGATTCATCACCAAAAAAATCCTATATGGGTTTTTCGCCACTACAAGAATATCTACAAAATAAAATAGCTATTTTATGTAAACACTTCTGCGTTAATCCCAAACGGAAACTACTTGTCAGAAGTTAGGTTTACAGATATATAAATTTGCCTAACGAACAAAAAAATGTTTAACGTTTCGAAAAGTTTGTCTCTTTCCGTCGTCGGAAGTAAAAAAATACAAAGAATAAAAAATAAAGAAAAAAAACTATTTGAAATATTTAAATTCAACTATTCGAGAACACATTAGTTTTTTAAAACAGATACGTCTACAAAAACCGTTGACGTTCTGTTAAAATGACATTATATATCATATGACATTATATTATTATAATAACTATTATATTATTATAATGACTTATTATATATAATGTCATTTTAACAGAACGTCAACGGTTTTTGTAGACGTATCTATTTTAAAAAACTAAAGTGTTTTCGAATAGTTGAATTTAAATATTTTAAATATTTTTTTTTCTTTATTCTTTGTATTTTTTTTTGCTTCCGACGACGGAAAGAGATAAACTTTCCGAAACGTCAAGCGTTTTTTTGTTCGTTAGGCAAATTTGTATACCTTTAAACCAAACTTCTGACAAATAGTTTCCGTTTGGCATTAACGCAGAAGTGTTTACATAAAATAACTATTTTATTTTGTAGATTTTCTTGCGTGCTGGCGAAAAACCCATATAGGATTTCTAACATTGTTTTTTTCACTCATTTCGAATTTTCGTCCTGTATTAAGTTTTTCTTTCAGTATGTTATGACAACGATGCACTTCCTTTGGTAGATTCCATGTTATATAATGGTTTCAATAATAAACAGATATTTGACGAAGTATTCTTATTTATTTTAGCAGTAAGTACGTTAATAATAATGATTTAAATCGTAATATCCAACAAAGCCCAACCTACACATAACGTTTTACCTTACGTCTTACATTTTAAGTCAAAACGTACCAAGTAAAGCATTGTGTGTACACAAAAACTACTTTACTTAAAATAAATTGACTGGCGTTTTGCCTACACTGAAAAAAAATGAAAAAGGATGTAGGACTGGAGAATTAGAATAAGTGAAATATTAGCTTTGCGCGTTTACAAATTAAATTTAAATCATAGCAGGACGACGAAAGACGTTTCTAGACGAAGTATTTTCCTTTTTCATTGACAAAGAAAACGTCGGAAAACGTCATGTGTAGACTTTAATTCTAAAATTATTATAATAGTAATAAAAAAAATGTTTTTAGGCAACGGACACATCAGGCGGCACATTAGCCTATTTTTTTACATTATTAGGAATGCACCAAGACATCCAGGTAAAGATTTTCTTATTGATGTCTCTTAATTTTTCCATAGTTCTGTTAATTCCTTAGAACAAAGTATACGAAGAGGTCATGGAGGTAGTGGGACCTCACAGGCCAATCTACCAAGAAGATCTTAACAATTTAAAATATACAGAGCGTTGTATTTTTGAAGCCATGAGAATCTTTCCTGTGGTTCCGTATTTGGGTCGCTACGCCACTGCTGATATACCAGTTGGTAAGAACCTCTTTTGAAATTAAGAAATTTTATAAAATCGTTAAATAGATTTTGTAGTGAAACTTCTTTACGCGCGACGGGGGTAAAATTTCAAGGCCGTGGCACGACACGGCCTTGACACATGAGCTAGCAAAATAAAAACACTAAATCACCACAATACACCAAAACACTTTTACTTTTACACTGGACGCGCGTTTCGCTAACCATGTTAGCATCATCAGCAGATGATTATAAACTACATGAGCTAGCGAGAAAAAAAAGTAGTAAGTCAATGAGGAAGTTGAGATGAGTGTTTGGAGCGTCGTAACTCGGGTCATATATCCTATGTGAGCTAGGGGACTGAAACTCGGAATGTAAATGGAGCTCGAAGAACCCCATCTTTTCATGGCATTTTGACGACGTTTCGTGCACTATGAAACCCCATCATCAATAAATCGAATCAAAAAAATCGTGTGATTCGTTAGTTTTGACGTAAGAAACGTCAAAAGCTATGTGAGCGACGGTGCAGACGGTCCCATCCTGTAAAGTTGGATACGATGCCGACGTTTCGTTTACATCTTCATCAGGATGGGTCTAAGGATTTGATATTGAAGAAAAATGTGGGTCGATTTCGGCATAATTGGGCTACAGGATGATGCCCTCGACGTTTCGAACCGATGCGCGATGCCTCTAAATGGACGAAATCGTCATAATTTTTTTTTATTTTGGGTCGATCAGAACCAAACTCGGCACGTGGATAGAGGTACCCGAATGGAGTCCTCAGACGGACAGACAGACAAACGGAAGTACGAAGAAGTTTAACTTTAAATATGCGCACATACAGGGTCCGGCGATAGTACATCTGTAGCTCCTAGAATAAAAAATTTGGGAATTTTATTTAAGTGCAATCCTAGAATATGTATGGGAATGTATTTCAGGAAAAATATTTTAACTTCTATAGAGTGGCTCAAAAAAGTGTGAGTGGATCGGGATGATTTTTTTGAAATAGAACACCCTGTATATTATTGCATTTTTGGCCTCCTTTCAGATCACTTTACGTAATCCTAAGATATGAGTAAATAAATTTTAATAGTTTCAGAGATATTAACAAATAAATAAAAAATCTATATTTTCAACCTTTCTTAAAAAAAAATATAAAAATACAACACCTGTCATGAAATCAAAACTATATTAGATATTTACTTTAGATGGTCTGCACTTAACTTTGCTATAAATATGGTAATCGTAAATCATACAGGATGTTCAAAATTCTACGGCAAACTTCCTAAAATATAAAATATTTTTTCTCCGTTATTTCAAAGGGAACACCCTGTATATTATTTTTTCAGTAGATAAAGAATTAAAAAATAAATATTTTTCGCATTTAGAGTATTTCAAAACTTTTAACGGTTTCGCAGATATTCGCGGATTTATATTTCATATGGCATTTTTTACAGTACATTTTTATCAAAACCACCCAATGATTTTTCTCTCGTATGTTACCGTTTTAAATACAAAAAATGTTTATTTTCTAATTCTACACCCAACAAAAAAATAATATACAGGGTGTTCCATTTGAAAAAACAAAGAAAATCAGATCCTCATACATACTTTAAATTTACACTTAAATTAAATTCCCAAACTTTTTATTCTAGGAGTTACAGATGCCCGACGCACTATTGCCGGACCCTGTATAGTACACCACATAATTTTAAATAGTTATACCTAAAGTCTGTCCAACGAATCACGGAATATTACGACCGACGACGTCCAAAAAATGATAGAAAATACCGTATGATCGAATAAAAACGGCGTCAGCGATGGCTATGAAATGAAGATCGCTGTCATTTTATATGTAAATTTATATAGGAAATGCCATCGATCGTCATTTCCAAGCCAACTGGACGCCGTTTTTATTCGATCATACGGTACTATTTACCAGTAAAATGCCAGTAAATTAAAGCAACAGCAACCACTGTCACTGTCATATACAGGGTGGTCCGAACTGTATTCCGGAAACTTCGGCAGCATATTCTGCAGATAAAAATAAGTAAAAAAGTTCGTATAAATGTATGTCCTAAAATGCTTACTTTCAGAGATACAGGGTGTAGAAGTTTCATTTTTATTTCGATTTTTTCTAAATAATTTCTGAAGTAACGTCAATATTTGGATTCCTACGTAAAAAATATCTCTTTGTAAAAATCTCTACGAGCAACCGTTCTTAAGATATTTAGCATGGAAATAGACAATACATGTCATTATTGAGGAAAAATAATCACGTTGAGTAGATAGTTATCTCACTGAAATAATAAATTTAGGAAATTTTTATTTTTTTTAAATTAATCATGAATTTTTTTGCAAAAAATGATGATAAAACAGTTTCTGTTGAACTTTTGGTATAAAAACATTTCAAATTTATGATTTCAATCTAATAACTGTTTAGTCAACATGTTTAATTTATGTCAATGTTGACAGGTATTGATAATTTCAATTCCAAATATTTCGAAAACCACTACTCGTAGCGATTTTTACCAAGAGACCTTTTTCACGTTTAAAAAGTCGTAAATGTATATTTTTTTACTCAGTAGTTTTATACAGGTACGGACGAAAAGTTATTACTTTTCAAACCAGTTAAAAGATATGTAGGTGGCGCCCTCTACTAGTAGGAGTCATAATGACATCAAAATCAAGTTTCTCATGTCAAAAAACTCCCAGACACCAATTTTCATCCAAATATTGACGTTACTTCAGAAATTATTTGGAAAAAATCGAAATAAAAATGAAATTTCTACACCCTGTATCTCCGAAACGAAGCATTTTAGGACATACATTTATACGAACTTTTTTACTTATTTTTATCTGCAGAATATGCAGCCGAAGTTTCCGGAATACAATTCGGACCACCCTGTATATCTTGAATGTTTTTTTTTTATTTATAGGTACTAAAGTAATTCCCAAAGACACGAACATATTTATCAGTATATTTAACGTACATCGCAACGAAAATTATTATCCCGACCCTTTGAAATATGATCCAGATAGATTTTTGCCGGAGGAAATTGCCAAACGTGACAGTTACGCTTTCATTCCATTCTCAGGAGGTCCACGAAACTGTATAGGTTAGTAAGAAAATGATCAGTTTAATGGCCCTGTATATTCAAAATATATTTACAGTTCATATCAAATAAACTTTTAGTTACGTGATTAAGCTTGATCGGCACATTTTTTCTTTTAATCAAAATATTTTAGAAATCAAGTTGCCCACTTTTACAGATTTTCTTTTAATTAAAATATTTTAGGAAACAGAATAAATTAATTACAAATATATAAACAGTTATTATTTACATCAACAAAACTCACCTTCTTAACAGCACTTAAGGGACCTAAAGGACCATTACTACCGCTTTCCCGTTCAAAATATTCTAATAAAGTTGCGATGAGTTTTTTGCAACGTCTATTGTACCGCGTCGCACTAAAAAAGGTTCTAAAAAGAACAATGTTCGACGGCAAGTTAACACAAAGAACACAATTCATTTAAACATGATTTAAACCAAAAACTCGTAATACAAAACTAAAGTGTCAAAACGAATGACAATGTCAGGAAATAAATAAATAAATGTGGCAACTTGACATTTTTCCACTTGAATTTCCCGCGGGATATTTAAATTCCATGGATGGCAGCAATGAATTTAAAAATCGCGCTCTCGATTACGTAACTAAAAGTTTAATTGGTATCGAATATATGTAATATTGCCAATTACTGAAGTTAAGGGACGTTACACAAAGTTAGTGTTTGGACCAAAGGTTTGGACGGACGACTGTCCAATCACTTGGGGTGTATTCCGTTGCTTACCTTGGTTATGGTTTTATGTTCCGTTTCTATCGGTTTCCTGAAAGTTTTCTTATTACGGAACACGGTTCTTGGAAAATTCGGTTATAACTGTCACCAAACTAACCAGCGCGAGAAGGCTGGTTTTTCTGGTCTTGTTTGTTAATCAATGTCATTTATGTGAAAGAAATCAAGCAAATATTGGATGTTCCAGTGAAATTCTCATTTAATTTCTAAAATTTGTAATAATATTTTGTATTTACATCCCAAAGCAATGGAGGTAGGCAGTAAATGTAAATAAATTTCATTAACTAAATAGAATGACTTTTTAGGACCATTTAAACTTATCATGCAGCCATTGTTTCTTAAAGTCAGGGTACATTTAAAGAAAACATGAAAAACAAGACAACAAGTAATCGTGAACGTTTTGTAAGCTATAAAAATATTAAATATTGATTAGATTTGTTTATTTATTATTGATCTGTTTTAATATTGGACCTGCATATCTTTACTTGAGCTGTCTAACGAGTTTAACAGTTTATTAATAAAGTACTTTTCAATATTAAACTCCATTGAAAAGAAGAAGTAAATGTAAAAGCGGAGAATAGGTACATTAAAAATCCATAAAAGATAAATTTGATAATAAAGGTATTGAAATTTAGTAAACGTCAACATTTGACGTTTCCAGTATTTTACCAAACCGTTCCGTATCAAACCGATGTTTTTCAGGAACCGCTCTTTACCGTATTTTACCGGTCTGGTTCGCCCGGTTTTGCAACGGAATACAGCCTTGATGTAACTCCCTTGGACAGGGTGTGTCATATTCGCGTGTTTTATCGGATTTCTCGTTTTTGAGAAAAGCTACAAAGATGCGGTTTTCAACGTCACTGTGCTACTTTTTTATGAAACTAAAGATATTACACACAAATTTGTCCTATCCATTTTAGTTCCTGAAATACACGACGAATTTGAAATTGTTGCATTTTTCAGCCCCCTTCATATCTCAGTTATCTTATAACTTATGGCAAAGATGAAAACAAGTCCCATAGAGTTTCTCACATAGAACTCAGTGGCGTAACTAGGTTTTCGCTGGGGGCTGTCGTTCTTGAAATAACATAACACAAACTCATATTTTTTTTAAAAGGAATATCCTGTATGTTATATTCATATACAAGGATATTATTTTCTCATTTTATTTCTCTTGTTATGGGCTTTCCAAAAATATAAAATAATCTGTACTTGGTTTGATTTGATTGTGATAAATAAGATAAAAATGCATCACAATTATCTGGTTAAATTAAATTAAATGAAATAATAATGGTCTTTTAAACTAAGATGATATAGATGTTAAACAGTTATATACATAATACATTTATTTACTTTATCTGTGCAAAATAAGAATAGAGTATAATATATTTTTAGAAATCTCATAAGACAAATAAAATTTAAAAAAATAATATACAGGGTGCCTCATTTAAAAAAATAAACATAAATTTGGGGTCGTTTCGAAAATAACAGCTCTCAGCAAAAAAACAAGTTACGTCACTGAATTCTAAGTGAAAAACTCTACGCAATTCAGTTTTCACCTTTGCGATAAGTTATAGAATAACCGAGATACGAGGGGAATCAAAAAATGCAAGATTTTTTCAAATTCGGCCTCTATTTCAGTAACCAAGTGGGCTAGGACAAATCTATGAGTAGCGTCTTTAGTTTCATAAAAAAGTACAGCACAGTGATGTGAAAACCGCATCCTTGTATCTCTACTCATAAAGGAGGAACCCTATAAATCACAGGAAAATGGGACACCCTGTACACTGTATTAAATGAGCATTGAATTGTTAGTCAGTTTGTATGAAATAAACATAATTTTTCAGGAAAAACCTACGCACTAATGCTATTGAAAACCGCTGCGGCCAGTGTTATCAGGAACTACCAAACGTTTTCCGATTATAAGTCAGTCACTGAACTTAATTTTACGTCCTGTATATCTATGAAAACGGTGCACAAGCTTGATTGTAGATTTAAGCCAAGGATACATCCTGAATAGAGAAAACACGTCAGAAAAAAACATTTTTGTAGGCAATCTCTCAGTTTAATTCTCCGGGAACATTGCTGCTAAAATATTTAAGTGATCGTACCCATAAAATATCGTACCAAATAAACTTTTAGTCACGTGATTAAGCTTGGCCGGCAGAGCGTTGCCTACTTTTGCATATTTTCCTTTAATCAAAATATTTGAGGAAACAAAAATAAATTAATTATAAATATATAAACAGTTATTTACATCAACAAAACCGACCTCTTTAGCAGCACTTAAGGGACATTACTACCGCTTTCCCGTTCAACATATTCTAATAAGGTTGCGGTGAGTTTTTTGCTTGTTTTTTGCAACGTCTATTAAGCTATCTAGTTAATTATTATCTATCTTGTTCACTTCGCACTAAAAGAGGTTCTAAAAAGGACAATCAACTGCAAGGTCTGCTAGTAAAAAAATTTAAGCTTAAAGTCATCTTAAAGTATCTCAACACAATTCATTTAAACGAAAAACTCGTAATATAAAACTAAAGTGTCAAAACGAATGACAATGTCAGGAAATAATTAAATAAATGTGGCAACTTGACATTTTTTACATCACAGCTACCGCCCAGTGGCGGATACAGAGGGGGGCCCACGGGGCACGCCCCCCCCCCCTAAAATCTGTAAATTGTGTTAAAATTAAAAAAAAAATTGGGTGAAATATTAGGCTTTTGGGTCAAAAATGGCGCCCTAAAAATAATATTGTACATTACTTTTTATTTTGGCCCACCCCCAAAAAATAAATTCCTGTATCCGCCCCTGCTACCGCCTGAATTCCCAGCGGGAAATTTAAATTCCCGGTTGGCAACAATGAATTTAAAAATCGCGCCCTCGATTACGTAACTAAAAGTTTAATTGATATTGTTTTATTAATTTATTTTGTTAAGGAATCATAGAGACAAATTTTTCTGTATCACGGAAAATGATTTATATATTTCGGAACCTTTTGCTTTAATCAGCAAAAATAATATCTTTGAAAACTCTATTTAATGTATTAAATAAATGTAAAAGATATCTTTAAAAAGATTAGAAATCCAGATTTAAATATTTTAATAGTTATATTCCCCCAGAACACATTTTATTGTTGTTTTTCATTTCACTATTATTTTTCTTTGAATCCTCTTCTATTATTCCTTTTCTATAATAATATAAAATCAATGAATATATTCGCTGCAACTTTGTGATTGGCACCCTGTTAAAAGTGTATTCCCCCATTCATAAATATACATAAAAATTAGATGTATTAACTATATGATGAACGTACTAATCCTGCAGCAGGATCCTGTACTGTTAATACTGATATCCATTGAGATCACTGTAGAGCAATAAACTATTAAACAGTATTTAATTTAAAAAATAAAGTATATTTTAAAGATATACCGATTTGGTCATTTAAGAAGTATTTTAACGTGCAAGACAGTGATGTAGGCAGCTTAATGGAAAATCAAACGTATTAAAAAGAGATAAAAGTTGGGTTGATACATTTCGTCTATGCGATATTGCCGGATTTTACATCAAAAGTTCAAACTGCACAAGTACGCGTTTATGGAAAATGTTGCATCTAGGGTTGGAACCTTATTTTTCACAATTAGTAACTCATTTTACTACAGATGTCAATGACTAAAGAATATAAGGACATGTAACGCCCCTATACGGGCTGCAGCAGAATTTGTGACCTTAGACGCCTTTTCTTTTGGTGGCAAACAATAAGTTGGTGGCAATCAGTTGGTCACCAGCGACAATTTTAGCAATTTTTAATAGTTCGTGTGTAGTGAACTTTGTATAAACTTTATTACAATGCTGATTAGTTGTTCAGCTTTCAAATGTAAAAGCAGCAGTGACAAGAAAGAGCCAGGAGTTACGTTTAATAGGTAAATAAACAATACGATAATTATTTTTCTGATATTATATGTACTTGATGTGTGCTATACGTCGATACTACCGTATGATCGAATAAAAATGGCGTCAGCGATGGCTATGAAATGAAAATTGCTGTCATTTTATATGTAAAATTGTATAGGAAATGTCAGCAATCGTCATTTCCAAGCCAACTGGACGCCGTTTTTTTTTCGATCATACGGTAGTTTTGTACCTTTTGTTAACATTTTAATACGTTTTTTTCGTAATTAATTAGTATGCTGCCACCGCCTACATCATAGGCGTAGTCAAAACATTTATCAAAAATATAAATAACTCTTCAACTTGCTAAGTTAAGAAAAAAATATGGCCACGGCCCTGTTTGGTGTCATGGTAACAATTTGCTCTCGGGTGTGATTTGTCCTTGAATTCTTTAGTCATTGACAGATGTAATAGATTATATTATCTTCATTTCAGTAGTATATATGAAAGTTTTTAAAATAGTTTATTTTTTTCTACACAAATTTTCCTACCAACATAAAAACCGGCAACATATGCCGCTTTTGATTTTGTCTCTCTGTTTATATTATTCTGTCTTACACTTTAAAATCCAGAGACCACACTTCTAAAATGACCAAATCGGTATAAGACAATTGTGATGAAAATATATTTATGTTTATATTTTATTCTATACTATAACAATAAATAATAGATTAAATAAAGTGTAGTTATGTTATTCCTTTTTAATTTAAAAAACTTATATCCCAATATTAGAGAACAACGGCATACGGTCGAGTCGGCCGCTGCTGCCACGTATACGTAGACGTAAAGCATCGTGTATAAAAAATAAAAAATATAAGAAATGCGCATGCGTACGTAAACGTTTACGTGTTTGTAGGCCGACTCGACCGTATGCCATTGTTCTCTATTTATATAAGACTGTCCAACGAGTCAGGGAGGACCTTGACAGACAATAGTTATTGTCATAAAATTCTATGGTCGTTCTATAGAATACTATGTCATTCTACATTCTATAGTTAATATTTTACTTTAATAATAAATTATATTGAATAATTTATTAATGTTATTTTTATTTTATTAAAATTGTGTTTAATAAGACTGCATTGCAACTGACAAAATATCAAGATATAACTTTTAGGCACGATTCTTACTATACCCTCCCGCCACCGCTACGTCGCGCGTCGAGCTAGTTGCCGGCCACCACAGTAAATATTCTTAAATGGCTAACAATGAACATATTCACGCTACCCGTAACGTCGCCGTCCCGTGTTGGCAACGTTCATCTCATTTACTGCATGCTTTCTGTCGAGACGGCGCTGGCGGCTCGCCGCGCCGTGAATCACGATCAGGGCAGCGATAACATGAGCGATCATTCTTACAGGATAGCTCACTACATATAGGTGCGGCGGTGAACGTGAACGCGTTGGTGTGTGCTAGAATGATCGCTCATATTATTGATCGTGATCGTGATCGTGATCGCGGCCGTGATCGCGCCAGTGTGCGTACAGCTTTAATCGGCACTAAAACGGCCTACACACATTTGCTTACAAGAAAAAAAATCAGTGGCGAACATGTTTTTTTTTTAGAAAAATATACTAGTGATAACCCTAAATATGTCGAACTGTATTCCGGAAGCATATTCTGCAGATAAAAATAAGTAAACAAGTTCGTATAAATGTATGTCCTAAAATGCTTAGTTTCGGAGATACAGGGTGTAGAAGTTTTATTTTTATTTCGCGATTTTTTCCAAATAACTTCTGAAGTAACGTCAATATTTGGATGAAAATTGGTGTCTGGGAGTCTTTTGACATGAAAAATTTGATTTTGGTGTCAATAAGACTCCTATTTGTAGGGGGCGCCAGTTACATGTATTTTAACTGTTTTGGAAAGTAATAACTTTTCGTCTGTACCTGTATAAAACTACTGAGTGAAAAAATATATATTTCCGTGAATTTTTACCTAAAAAATGTCTCTTGGTAAAAATCGCTTCGAGTAATGGTTCTCGAGATATTTGGAATCGAAATTATCAATACCTGTCATCATTAACATAAATTAAACATGCGATGCGTTGACTAAATATTATAGCTATTAGACCGAAATCAAAAACTTAAATTTTTTTTGTGCCAAAAGTTCAACAGAATCTCATTTTTTTGAAGAAAAACTTATGAGTAGTTTAAAAAAATAAAAAGTTCCTAAATTTATCAATTCAGACCAAATAAGTATGTACTCAACCAATTTTTTTACCAAGAGACATTTTTTACGTAAAAAATCACGTAAATATATATTTTTTCACTCGGTAGTTTTATACAGGTATACGGACGAAAAGTTATTTACTATTCAAAACAGTTAAAACACATGTAGGTGGCGCCTCCTACAAATATGAGTCAAATTGACATCAAAATAACCCCCAAGTTTCTCGTGTCAAAAAACTTCCAGACACCAATTTTCATCCAAATATTGACGTTACTTCAGAAACTATTTGGAAAATTTCCATGATTTTTTACGTAAAAAAAATATCTACGAGGTAAAAATCGCTACGAGGAACCGTCCTCAAGATATTTAGAAGCCAATATATATATATTTAGAAGCCTGGGAACAGCCAATACATGTCATTATTGACAAAACAAGTTGAGTAGATTTTTTTGACTAAAATGATAAATTTAGAAATTTTTTTTAGACTTTTTATTTTTTTAAATTAATCATAAATTTTTCTTCGAAAAAATGATGATAAAATAGTTTCTGTTGGACTTTTGGCAAAACATTTCAAATTTACGATTTCAGTGTAATAACTATTTAGTAAACATGTTTAATTTATGTCAATGATGACAAGTATTGATAATTTCGATTCCAATTATCTCGAGAACCATTACTAGTAGCGATTTTTACTAAAAGACTTTTTTTACGTAAAAATGTTCATAAATGTATATTTTTTTCCTCGGTAGTTTTATACAGGTGCGGACGAAAAGTTATTACTCCTCAAGCCAGTTAAAAAAATATGTAGGTGGCGCCCTCTACAAGTAGAAGTCATATTAACATCAAAATCAAATTTCTCATGTCAAAAAACTCCCAGACATCAATTTTCATCCAAATATTGACGTTACTTCAGAAATTATTTGGAAAAAATCGAAATAAAAATGAAATTTCAAATTATCTCCGAAACTAAGCATTTTAGGACATATATTTATATGAACTCTTTTACTTATTTTTATCTGCAGAATACGCTGCCGAAGTTTCCGGAATACAGTTCGGACCACCCTGTATATACTTGTATTTTAAGGTAAAAGATAAAATAAAAAAAATCTAAAATAAAAAAATATAATTGTTTAAATTACCTACTAATAAAAAAATATATACTTAATACTTTATATATACTTTAAATGCACTCTCAGAGTAAGTCTAATTATATATTTATATATACAAACATAATATCTTCAATCAATTCATATAACTTTTATTACTTTATTATTACCGATATGAGAATATCTCGAATACAAAATAAAACGGCAAATATACAAAGCGACACGTTCAATAATTTATTAAGAGTTAACATTAAATATCCTAAAAATATTTACAATAACGATTTTACGTCTGACTTTCAACAATAGAAAAAACGAAATTTATACATCCAAATTTCAACAGTGAACCGTGATTGAGAATCGCTGAACCCTCCCAGCCACGCTTTAAGTCTTCTACGTTAGCAGTACAGCAGCATTCCATTCTGTAATTTTTAAAATACTTATTAAATAACAAAACACCAAGTTACCTTGAATGACATTTTTGAAGTGAAACTTCTTTACGCGCGTTGGGAGTAAAAATTCAAGTCCGTGACACACAGCCTTGAATGACAGCATGCAAAACGGCTGTAACGCGCGAGCTAGCGAGAGGAAAAGTGATAGAGACAGCCTTGCCACAGCTACCCCATTCGGGGTAGATCTACCCTTTTGTAAAACAATATAACCCCGTTATCTCGTGATAATCTACCCCGATGAAAAATAGGCTTGTAGCAACACTGGGTAACAACACAGTTTAAAGAATATAAATATATCAGTTGACCCACTCTTCGCCCGTATCAAAATTCCTCCCGCCGCTCCCCGCCTGTCTTGTAGACTTGGGTCAGTCTACATCCGTTGCTCGACGTGTACACAGCTTTCCAAGTTTATTTTAGTTTTGTTTTCGGTCCGACGCATAGGGTGAACCAAAAATAGTGTTTTAGTTGTTTTGTGAATAAAATGTCTACTAGAAATATTTGTGCAGTGGATGGTTGTGAAAGTAGAATGACAGACAATATATCGTTTTTAGGTGCCCAAAAGATGAAGGGAGGTATGTGTTTATATAGTATAGAATATTAAGTATATAATAATTAAAGTATTAGACATATTCAGTATATTATAATTATGGAAACCTAACTATGAAAAAATGGTTTTAAAAATATACATATAAATTAAGAAAATATTTTACTCGAAATATGCACAAAATATTTATTTTTAACAATTAGTTTATTATTTTAGTAGATATTTTAGAGTAGTAGTAGATACTTTACTATTAAGTTTTGGATTTTGCAGTATTTACCGGTTTGCAAAGTGCATATTAAATTATTATTTAAGATATTTGCATTTTTTTTAAATAGCATGTTTTACTTTTTAGATGTTTGTTTTTAACTTTAACTACCTACCTGGAAAGTCCAAATTTTATCGTCAGGTAATAAAAATACGTGCATACAACTTCTTCTGCTATTGACAAGTTTTTTAGAGTTTTTACAAAATTTTATGTATCAGTAAATATAATAATTGACGAGCACATGGGAAAAACGAGATCCAGAAATGATAAATGTTCAGGAAATCGTTTTTTTTAATTGAAATTACGCATGGACTTTTATACCCGAGTTTATATCGTTTTTCCCATTTTTAAATGCCTGTTTCTATGTGGCCGTTATCGATATTCTCGTTTATTTAGGTACCAAAAGGTGTAGCTTTTTGGTACTTCCATTATTTTTCCCGTGTGCTCTTCAATTAGTAGTAAATACTGTAATAAATTATATTTGCATATTTCTTAAGTTATAGCATGTTTTGCTTTTTAGCTGTTTGCATTTAACTTGAATTATCTACCTTTTTATTAAAAGGTAATAAAAAGTACTTGGATACAACTTGTCTTGCGATAGTCAATTTTTTTTCAGTTTTTACTAAATTTTATCGAACAGTAAAATTTATTACACAATTAACTACTAACAGTCATAATTACTGTTCATGATAATCATAAAATTTAGAAAAAAAATCCAAAAAAATTGACAATGGCAACACAAGTTGTATGCAAAGGTACTTTTATTACCTTACGATAAAATTTGGGCTTTCCGGGTAGGTAATTAAAGTAAAATGCAAACATCTAAAAGCAAACCTTGCTATAATTTAAGAAATATGCAAATTATTATTATATATATTAAAAAAATTAACTTATTATATTTATTTAGTATACATTTTTCATATGGGGTTTCCATAATAATTATTAATAATAATTACCCCATTGACAATTCCATATTACAAAGTATTAGGATAGAATAATATATCTAATATTTTAATATTAATGTATATTTAATAATAAACACTAATTTATATTGATCAATTATTAAAGACGCCTAAAACTGTTAATCAATAAAACTAGTACTGTATTTTTATTTTTCTACTTGCTATATAAAATTTCTTAGTATTTTTAGTTGATCCCTCGTATACGGCCAGCGTTCTGACTGATAAAATAGCACTTCCGCTGCACCCGGTAAACGTACAATTTTTTTGTCATCCCTAAGGGTCACGGGCCGCCTTTGAAGTCAAAATAACAATAGAATTCCTTAGAGTGGGCCAACTGATATATTTATATTCTTTAAACTGTGGTAACAATCTGTGCCATTCGCACCTAAGAAAGTCACTATAATAAACTTGAAACTGTACCAATCTTGATTTCATACATATTTTCATCAATAGGTTTGTAGCTTCTGAATAACGGTTTAGGTAAAGCATATAGCTCATTTGCCAGCTCAGAATTAGAATTTAGAGTTAGTAACTCGTATTTTCATTGGAGGACACTGTCTTATTTATCTCAAACCATTAATCAACGAGAATATTCGTATAATTTGATAAAATTACTGTAAATCATTATAAATAACGAATTGTTTGTAATTGAGCTGTAATTTCTGTATTACTAATTCGGTAAATGGAGATAAATAATTGTGATAGATTAAAATTTTATTTTAAAATAAAAATTTTGTTAACAACATTCTGAGAATTCAAAGAATGAATTGAATAATGACAAGACAAGTGACATCTGTCTAAAAAAGACAGAGATTTAGAGAGACAATTTGGTTATGTAAAATTTAGAGTGACAATTTTGATTATGCAAAAGAAATATTGGTTGCCTAACGATTAACATTAATTTAAAAATAAATCCCTAACATGAATAATGAACAAAACATTTAAACAAAAACAGACCACAGACTATACAAAACAAATTGTTAGTTAGTAGCAGTTAGTAGTAGTCAGAGATATAGATGTAGTAGTAATTTGGTTTAATGGCCACAGCTATCCGGCCGGGTAATAGAATTATCGTTTTTTAATAAGAATTAAAAAAAAAGAAAATTATAAAGCTAGAATAATATACAGTTTTATATTAACTCTATTTTTTGAATTTTCAAATCCTTCAATTTAATAGCTGTTAGTAAGAAGTTTCACTTCAAATATGCGCACATAGTGCACACACAATTTTTGTATTAATTGTAATAGTATTTTTTAACACATTGTGAATGATCGTAAATTTTTAAGTATAAAGTATAATTGAAACCACAAATTTATTCCACTAACAGTTATTTCAAAATAATAGAACCTGTTACCTAAGTTAAGACGTAGGTTTAAAAATTATTGTTTTATATAAATCTCCTCTAATTCTAACTAGTTTATAACTCACCGGTCATTCCAATCGGCGGCCATTTTAGTCTCCCCCTTCTTGTTCTGCACTGGTATCACCACTTCCGGTCTGCCAAGTTTTCGTTTTCTGTTAATTACCTCCCTTACCTGCGACTCTACACTTGCGGCCTATAAGTTATAACTTTCTATATATTTTATTGATGATTACCATATTTTATTTTGATAAATAAAAATAGGAAAGTTCGCTTACCCCTCAAAAAACAATAACGAATAATATAGAGAAAGCAAATGTCAAAACAAAATGAAGTCCCTCAACAAGACAACTGTTGTAACAATATTTGGGACTTTCAAACTTGAATATTTTATATACAGGGTGTACTTAATGACATGCTAATATTTATGATGGTGATTCTAGGGCTTATTTTAAGCAAAAAACATCATATGAATATGTGTCCTAAACACCTCACATTTTTAAGATACAGAGTGGTAAAATGTTCTAAAAATGTTTTTTTTTCATAATAACTCTTATGTTATTATAGTTATCTTTATGAAATTTTATACACGTCTTCTAAAAAACTGAAGACTAAAAAATTGTTTAGAAATGAAAGAATATTTTGAAAAATATTGAATATAATTTTTATTCTAAGAGAAGTCAGTGGCGTACCATTTTTTCCATCAAAAATATTCAATGCATACCCCAAAAAAATACAATTCTTTGTAGATCAAAATAGGCATTTTGATGCTTAAAAGGCGTGTATTAATATTCATAAAGATATCTATCATAACATCAGAGTTGAAATAAAGTTTTTTATGGAAAATTTTACCACCCTGTATCTCAAAAGTTAAGACGTTTAGGACACATATTCATATGAAGTTTTTTTCTTAGAATAGGTCCAGGAATCACGCCCTTAAATATTAGCATGTCATTAAGGAACACCCTGTATGTTTAAATACAAAAAGATATATTAACACTCATACCCTTTCTTCCTCTGGCGATGGAGAACCATTCTGGGCTTTGTCATTTTCCGTAGTACCATTTGTCATCGTAGTATCACCCGTTCTCTTGACATTAACATTATTAGAATACAAGACGTTGTTCACATAAGTCCCACTAGAGGCGTAATTAATCAATTCATAACTCCTAGTGTACTAGAAAAAATAATGTTATTAATTACATTTCAATCAAAACATAAGTTTAAATAAAAAATATTTGAAAGAAAAACAAATCAGATGTATTCCAGTTAACGACTGATAGATATCTAGAATACTTACATCATCAAAGAAAATGGTGGCATGTTTGGGGGAAATAAAATTACAATAACCAAATTTCTCCAGATCTACATCATTGGAAGAACCTTTTCCAACGTTGAGGACTCTGTAACGCATCGCTACAGCTTCTGGAAATCTTGTTGAAACTGTAGGTCGAAATCCCATAAAACTAAAAAAAAATAATTTCTAGTGTTAAGTTTAGTTAGACCCAAAATTATTCTACGTACATGTATAAAAAACCGCTATTACACTATCAAATTTCAATGTTAAAAGATATTTTATAAAACTACACATTACACATTACATTACACTGTCAAATTCTTTGACAAAATAAAATGAAATTTGATAGTGTAATAGTAGCCTAATACAAATCATCACTCATAAAATATGTTTTCCTTATTACAATATCAGCACTATACCTGGCATCATGTCTCACATCAGTAGGGTCCACTTCTCTCGTTCGTACGTTATAAAAATGTTTAGACACAACAGGACACATCATAGCTCTAGCCCTAATATTAGAACACTTGGATCTATACTTCTTTTTCGGACTAGCGAAAACCCTAAAAAATAAGATTTATACAATGTGTTTGGTATTTGTACACATATTATATAGCCAGAATTTTCCCAAGTGCATGAATTAAAGCGACAAATTCTCTCTCCGACTTATATGATCGCCATAGATTTACTCCTGGACATGAAAATACCGACCCAAGACTCTCTGTTGTCTATAATATACCATAGTACAGACTTACATGTATTTTAAATCTCACTCAAATTCAATTACAACTATCTTAGGCCCCAGTACACGTTTGCCCAATGAGTTGGGCCAACGTGTACAGAACCACTTGGCGTTAATTGGTGATTGGCAGCCAGCGTTGGTTTACAAACCGAACGTTGTCGGTTTTTCGTGAATACATCAAAGGACCTTGGCGCGATATACCAAACAGCGTTTACACGTTGGTCGTTGGTTGAGACTTGTTTGTGTTTCGAGTTGCTATCGGAAGGAAGTACAGTACAGTACATCTGCTGGATCTGTGTCTGTGAAAGGAATGCGGACAAAAAAAATTTAAATAAACAGCAATATATTTTATACGTCGACTTGACGAGTACGTCACCGCAAATCGCTCCACCCACTCATTTTATTGGCTACTTGCAAATTTGTCGAAATTTTATTGATGGGACGCGTCGTCTAATTTTTTACGAAAAACATCGGGATAATATAGTTTCCCCTCTCACGGATACCCCGTAGCTACAGAACGGACAGACGTACTGTATACTTAGTGCTCGATTTTTGTGGAGAAAAATTCGATGGCCACTACGATGGCGGTTTGGAATAGCGAAGAAATTTTAAGGTTTATAGATTTGTACCAAAATGAACCAATAATATGGAATCCTAAACATAAACAACATAAACGTCTTTTATGCCATTTTTTTTAATCACTTTCGTTTGGTGCACCTTTCTATAAAAATTGAAAGCACTGTACAAATAAATTGCCGCGGCTGCGGTGGTTCCACATCCATCCTTCTCGTCTATAAACGGCCAATGCAGACTGAGCAACTTTACCAACGTGTAAGCACTGTACGTATTTTTGGCCCAACTCATTGGTCCAACTAGTTGGCCAAACGTGTACTGGGGCCTTTAGACAAATATACTTTACATACGACATTATTTGCTTTCCATAATGGCTTTTTAAGCAACTATTTAAAATACTTTTTCAGAAAATAACCACTTTAGTTTTGAGTGAATTTTACATTTTTAAAGTGGTCCTGTATAAAAAACATTATGCTTAAATTTTGATTACACAAGTATACACGGTTTTGGACCTGAACAACTAAAAGCAATTTCTAAGATAATTTTTGGAGCTGAATCCAAATCAGCAGTTCATTTTTTAAGATTGGTTCTAGTTTTCGAAATATTCAATAAATTCATTACTTTACTATTTTTGATCGTTAACGGTCATTTATTGAATTAAACAATATAAATCCGAAATGAACAGAGGTTGAACTGAGTCTTTTATACTGCTATGAACAGAGGTTGAACTGAGTCTTTTATACTGCTTGGGATCTGTTTCACGGATTACGGTCCAACAGTAATCGCTCATCATGCCTTCGTCCCAAAATCCTTGGCATCGCCTTTCGATTTTTGCTATATCTTGGTGTAGCCGCTCTCCTTGCTCGTCGCTCGTGTCGCCCAAGTTTTGTGGAAAAAAATCAAGATGTGAATGCAGAAAATGTACCTTTAAAGACATTCGAGCTCCAATCTTGTGGTAATTTTGCAACAAATTGTCGATTACTTGCTTGTAATCCGGTGATTTATGATTACCGAGAAAGAAGAGAACAACACTTTCAAACGATGCCCATGCTGCTGCCTCATCAAGCGTTAAACATTTTGTAAACGTTGCGTCAGCCATTAGTTTTCGAATATCAGGTCCGACAAATATTCCTTCTTTGATTTTTGCGTATCACAGTTTTGGAAACAACTTGGTTAAGTACTGGAAAGCCGGTCCTTCGCGACTGAGCGCTTTGACAAAGTTCTTAATAAGGCCAAGTTTAATGTGAAGATGGTGGCAGTAAAACGTCCTGTCGGTTTACAAGTGGTACAGAGGACACATTTTGTTGTCCTGGCTCATAGTGGGACTCGGCCACACCGAAAACTAGAGCTAATCTTGACAAACGGATTGAAGATCTAAGTTCAGGGCATCAAATAACGTTAAGAATCGTTCTCATCTGCTTGGGTCCAAAAGTTGACCCGAATTTGTAAGCTTGTGTTATTAGCAATTTACTGAACATACAACTGTCAAAAATAAGAAAATAAGAAGCTTTTTGTTTTATGGGTATCCAAATGGCTGTATGTTAAGTCAAACGCTAAAAAAATCAGGATATACTGAAAAAATTCACTGATAAAAATGAGTGGTTTGCTTGAATACATTTTTTCAAATTATTTTTTACCAAGAAAAACTAAAAAGGTGTAATATATGCACAGAAAAATACCCTCTCATACCCCTGATAGTCTAAAATGACTCAAAAGTGATTTATTTCTAATCTGGTACTACAAATCACTCTAAAAATAGTATAAATGCCTAAATAAAGATATAAATCCATGGAGAATCGATGTTTTTTCTTAAATTGATATTATATTCGTAAGGAGATTTTCAAAGAAAAAAAAATTGAAAACATTGAAAAAAGGCAGTTTAATAGAGTGTTTGTATAATCTTACAATTAGACCCAATTTGAACGATGCATAGCGTTCAGCAATTCCTTTTTAACTAAGGTTTTTGCCAAAAAATCGGGGCAATTACAGAGAAAATTAAAAATTATTAATTGTTGTTTGTACTTTGAATTGGAACAGCATATTTATTCTATTTTATATATTTCATTCCAGTAATGCAAAAATACCCCAATTTTTATTTTATACCACCCTACATTAAAATAAAAGTACATTATTTGTTTTAACTTACACACTTAACTGTGTTTAAATTAAATATTAATATTCAAAACCGCTAAACATACGTACAAAACTCGCTTAGAAGTAGTTTTTTTACGCACATTCAAAATATACATTTTCTGAAGCTACTATACATTAAACTGGTAAAACAAAACATAAATCCTTACCTGCTGATCCTATCGATATCAGCGGGCGTGAGCAGTTCGCTGGGTAGCGGCATTTTACCGATAGTCGTATGATTATTCTGCCCCTGATTCGAATGGCCGAAAACTTGCTGCAGCCGTTGAAAAGCCAACAATTTGATCAGACGGTCGTCCAACTGCTTCAATTCGGATTCCACTAAAATCAATTATTGCTTTGATCCCTTTCAATTCCGAAAAGAACTATCGGTAACGATATAACAAATATAAAATTCAACTTTTCCAAAAAACTGTCATTCAATCATTCGTTGATTAGAATGTCAAAAATGACAGTTGCCGGTCATGGCTTACTGTGGCATGTAAGTATATTTAAGATGAAAATTAATCGATTAGCCACTTTGATTAGCCATAATAAAGGCCATAATGTATGTATTTAAAATAGAGATAAAAGACCAGAAGGGGAATAAGACATGAAATAAAGATAATTGTACATTTTAATGATCTTTTAACGTTCTCCACTAATCATATCACGATATTTGCAAGTATATAAAACCGCACCTTTATAACATGTCTAAAAAGTTGATATTTTGTTTATCTTTGGTGTAGATGAAAATTTACAGCTATCGTTCATGGATTTATAAAAGGCACAAAATATAATATACAATATATTAAAGAATATATCTTTTTATTCCTTTTATTTTTAAAAGCAACATGGATTGGAGGAATACATAAAGCTATGTCGGAGAGGAATCTTCATCCAGGAGATTGGGAAAATAGGAAAGGCTGGCAACTGGGTACCGGAAAGCATAGGACACATGAACCCGGTTTTACATATATCTTTTTATAATAATTTATATCTAGTATTTACTGGAAAAATTTACCAAAACGGCATTATTTCCACATTTTTTTGATTATTCATTTATATTATTATATTTTCTATTTTGATACGATTTTTGAAGCTACATCATGTTCCTTACAAAAAAGAATAATAAAATAAAACAAAGATAACAAAACCGTATTTATAAAGAATTGGCGTTATTGATTTTTTGAGTAAATTTAATTCGATTGACATATCGATAACAACAAAGAAAAATTACGGAAATGTATATTTCTTTCACTCAGTAGTGTAATACAGATACGGGCGAAAAGTTATTGCTCTTCAAAACAGCTATAAAAGATGTAGGTGGCGTCCCTACAAGAGTCATACTGACATCGAAATTTCTTATGTCAAAAAACACCCAGACAACAATTTTTATCCAAATATGGGCGTCGGTTCAGAAATTATTTGGAAAAAATCGAAATAAAAATGAAACTTTTTTTTCTGTATCTACTGCCGAAGTTTCCCGAATACAATTCGGACCACCCTGTATATCGATAGATGAATTGCGACAACTTATCGATTTGTAAAATCCATTTTCACTAGTCAAGAAATACCGATGATGTCCTTCTTATGGAATGTTTAAGTATAATCAACTAATCAACACAATTTGTTGAGAATACTAACAGCCGTAATCATAGTCGACCGCCAGGCGCCCGCTGGCGGGAGCTTTCCGGAAATTCTTCATCTTATTCAGAGTCGAGCGCTCTCCGAGTAACGCGTGCGCCTCATCCGTCATATAGAGTAACCGCTCTCGCCGGCGGGCGGTTGGATAAGCATTTTTTTTCCGTTTCATAGTCGATCTCCACGCGAAGAACACTTGCGCAGTTTAAACCCCATCCGGTGGCGTATTTTCATAATATACCATGTAGAGAGCATATGGTCTCTAAGCTCCGCCTCCAAGCTTAGTTTAGCATTGAAGATGTCTTTAACGCGGTATAGAATAAAATAGGACCACGCGCCAAATGTGGTATAGTATGGAGTCGCCTTCTCAGCGTTACAACGTGATATATGTCACATTCTTAGTCGCATCTTGTATTTTGCATTGAATTAGACAGTTTGCGACCGTTGCGAATTGTAAACAAGTATCAGGATGGCTGAGCAATGTACGTTAGAGATTATGTTAACAAATATAAAATCTGAAGTAAAATTGTGGATATAAATAGTAATTCGGCTTCACAAGAAGACCAGGTATTCACCAAAAAACAGTGCTGTAAGTAACACTACATCTATATTTGTCGGGCTGCAAGAATTTAAGGAAGACAGTTTTGAAGCCCAACATGCTTTATTGAAAACAAATATAGAAAAAAGTACTAGATTTAACAAAAAAAATAGAAAAGTAATCAGATGCTAGAAATATTAACACGGTTTAATAATGTCACATCATATTGACACTGTGCAGCAGTTAAAAACATTTCTCAAAAATACTACAATAAACTGTAAAAAAAGCAAGTAGTATATTAAAGTAAAACCAAGAGCTTTATCCAGAAGAACTTGTTGTTTGCACTCAAAAAAAAAGGCTATCAGAAGAGAACAGACTAAAAAAATAGTGCGTGAGCAAAAATATTACCAAAAATACACTAAATACCAAAAGACATTAATATTTAATACTTTAAACTAAAGAATACAATCTAACAGGAAATAACAATGTTTATTTTTATTATTTTTAAGTGGCTGATATTTTAAAGAAATTAATATAATATACATTATTTAATAATTAAATGTTATTTTTGTTGATATTTTGTTTGTTTTATATTTGTAGTCATGTTCTTAATGTAATGATAAAGAATAAATACATACCGCATGATCGAAAAAAACGGCGTCCAGTTGGCTGGGAAATAACGATTGATGACATTTCCCATATAAATTTATATATAAAATAACAGCGATCTTCATTTCATAGCCATCGCTGATGCCGTTTTTTACCATACGGTATTATTTTATACAAATGAATATTACTGTTTATGCTATCAAAAGTAACGCCAGTAATGCGACTACGAACTATAATTTCCTATTCCTTCTATACCGTATTAGATACATCTTATTACTACTGAACTAAGCTTGTGGGCGGGGCTTAGAGACCCTATGCTCTCTACATGGTATATTATGGAAATACGCCATCCGGTGACATTCGGCCGGCGACTGGAGCATGTTTCATTACATTTGAGGCATATGAATTCCGTTCGTCTATTTGACAATTTAAATGTTTTATTATTTTGTTTTTGCTATGTTTATAATTTTTTATTTTTCCTATTGTTTTTACATTATTACATTACTTCTCTTTGTAATTTACACAAACTGGAAAAAATATACCAAATTCACAAATCATGCATCAGTCATCTATACAAAACAAAAATAGAGCCAATTTAAAAATATAAATTACTTCTACACTGGTCACATTTTCCCTTAAAATAATTTTAAAATCCTTTAACACAGCACCAATAGGTTAAGGGTAAGATCTATAAAAATTTATAAACGTAATAAAAACGAATCCATAAAACTTTCAAACAACCGAACAGACCTACGGAATTCCCCCTTATATAAATTATTAACTTAATACCCTTTTTATTACGACCCAAAAATATACCTAGCCAAAAAATAGGTATATAAAAAATTGTAAGTCTTTTTACTATAAGACCGAATTATAACAAAATAATGGACACATAATAAAATATTTAAATTACCCTTTTTTCTTTTTAGAGAATGTTAAAGTTCGTCTAACCGATTTTGTGTAGAAAACGGAAGAAAAAATGTTCCCTGTTGTTAAAACCCTCCACCCGAAGTGAAATTTTGTCGGCGACGCGCCGTCATTTTCGCCAGCCAGCGGTGCGCCGGCGGCTGACTATGAAAGAGCTTTTTTTCTCTCCTGATATCCAAGCGCTCGCCGGAGAAATCTTCGGCGAGCGCTTCTTTTCGGAGGGCGGCTGGCGCTCGACTATGAATACTTTGAATTTAACAAATCTAGATAACCATATCCTAAGGCAATAAACTGCTCAAGTTAGCCATGATATTCGTTTTGTTAGCCATGATATTCGCAAGATTCCAATAATTCAAAACATTTTTATTTCAACTCAATTTATTTTATAAAAACATTTTCATAAAATAAAAAGGTTCTTTTAAATAAATAAAGTGATCAAACCCAGTATTCCTGAATTCAACAGCAAACACACTTGCCACTGAACAACGACCGGTCACAAATGAAAAACAAAGATGAGAAATAATAAAAAGATTTAATATTATTATAAATATCCAACACTCACCTTCATCTCCAAAACATCCATCCATAATATCCTTAATAACAGTCTCTTCCTTTTTTAATAGTTCCCTCTCATAATAACCGTTATTCAGCTCAAACTGTCCATTTTCCTTCGTCCCGTGATTCGAACAGTTCAAATTGACGTTGAACACGTTACTGGTGTAGAACGTATTGTTGGTTACGTTCAGTAGAGTACCCGGTGAAGAGGAATCGGCAACGCTGTCGGTATCATCCGTGCCGTTGTCGGATTGTGCGCCAAGAGGTTTACAATCGTCAGGCGATTGCGTTCTATTCGGATTACTGAAAAAATATATTATTTATTTTTATTAGACATATTTATGTCTAATGTGTAATTTAAAAAGATTTAAAGAAAACAGAACGCCTCTGACAAACCGGAATTTAGGTCTTAATGAACCTTACCGATCGCGCTTATTTTGCTGATATGCTTCTTCCTTATTCTTTTTTTTTATATTTTTTAAGAGAGGCATTTTTTAATTAGAAGCGCTGATCTAATTCCACATAATATTTTTTCAAACTTTTTCCACAAACTTTTTGGTACTCACTGTCAGTATACAGAAAGTACAGGGAGTACCAAAAAGGGTACACACTGTATACTTTAAATACTAATTAGGAGTAGTGACATATATTACAGAGGGTGGTATGAATTGTATTCAGGAAAGTTCAGCGGCATATTCTGCACATAAAAATAAGTATAAAAGTTCATATAAACGTATGTCCTAAAATGCTTCGTTTTGGAAAAAATCTAAATAATCTTATAATAATATCCAAAACATGTATACAAACTTTATACTTATTTTTATCCGCAGAACATGCTGCGAAAGTTTTCCGGATACAATTTGGACCACCCTCTATAACTCAAATTTCTCAAAAATTGTGTAATCATTTTTAGGTACACCCCAACAAATACCAGAAAGCTTTGCGCAGGCGTATTCTCGGTTTTGGGTCGGGTATTTCGCGTGCAATCTAATAAAAAAAAACCCAGAGTTTTGCATACGTGAATATTATTAAATTCCTATTTCAATTCCTCCCATATCAGCAAGGACTGCAGTTTCTATGGACAAATTTGGTCGATTAAACAATCCTAAATAGTTTACAGTTTTTAAACAAACTTTTTTAACCGGTCTAATTTGTCCATAAAATCGTTAGTTTCGCGGTATCAATTTTGACGTCACTGCAATATTTGCTGGCATTGCTTTAAAATTTGGCGAACGTAGTCTTATTGGATAGTTTACAATAATTATTGGTCATGGATGCCTATACAATGCTACACATTTTTATGGTCGTCAAGTTCTGCACAATCAAAAATTTTCTTGTGGCAACCCTGCCGCAAAAGCATTAAAGTAAGGTTATGGGTAATGCCATTCGCACGTATTTCACAAGTGCAAAGCTTTCCCACATATATTGTTGGGGTGTACCTAGACACGCTTCTTCATTCAACAAGCTTCTAGTAATAACTATAAAGATTTTTCATTACTGGAAAATGATAAAATAGTTTAAACATACCTTACTTCACTAATATCACAATTTTCTTGTTTAATCTCTTCAACGCTTTCACTATCTAACTCTTGCTTAACTTCTTCCACTGCATCTTTATCTTCCTCTATTTCAGCTTCACTTTCTTCCATCACCTAAACATAACCTTCTTTTTATAATTTTTCAATCAAAACATTTAACAAATACAAAAAAGTGATAAAATAGAACTATAATCTTCATTATTGACAATAAATACCTAAAACAGAAATATACTTTTTAAATTAAATATGTCAGGCTCACTTCTTGCAGTTTCTTCTTTCTGTAAACATTCTCTATTCGAAGCACGTCTTTTAGGCTGGGCAGCAAGTTTACAGGTTTCTTATAATGATACTTAATCATCTCCGGTACCTGAACCTAAAATAATTCATCTTCAAATTTTAAATATCTGACACATAGTATATAAAAGAGAAAAATTCAAAAGCCACATTGATGCTGTTTTTTTAAGTACCTTGGGTTTCTTGGGTACAAATCTTTTGACCCTAAAAGGTGGATTTTTTCTGTGTATCTTTCTAAAGAATTCAATCTTTACAGAATCTTGATCCACCGGCACAGAGAATTTATCCCACAATTTGACTCTTTCACAGAGAGAAACTGATGTGAGAAGATTGGAGTCCTAAAAATAAAAAGAAGACAAGATAAAAATAATACCAGAATTGTTTTATAAGATTAAAATATACCAAAGTGTGTTCTACATGCTGCGGACACATCCAAATCCCTGCAGGTGGTGCAGTAAGAGGTGGGTCTAGACAATCCAAATGGTAAAATGATGGACAAAAATCACAAGCCATTAGAGGAGCAATTCTACATGACTTCCCACACTCTGAACACTTTCTAGCTGGTAAAGGTACCAGTCCATTAGACAGTTTTTCATGATCTCTCTGTTTTAGCTTTTTAATTAACTTAATATTCTCAACTGAAATGATAACATAATTCACTTAAGAAATAAAATTTCATTTTATAGACATTTTACTTTTTTCAGATCCAGGAAAAAACATGTTGGGTATGCTCATAGCTCTGGGCAATTCAAATTGTTTTGGATTCATTGCATTAGCTGCTTCGACTAAAACATCCATGGGGCTGAGCTTAATTTTTTTTGCAGGCTTTGAGCTTAAAAGACCAGGCGATGGAGTGCTGTTTGACCTTCTTCTAAGACAATTAGTTTGAACCTGTTTCTTTTCATATATACAACTATGGCACAACCATTCACCTTGCGGAATATCTTTAAAATCTAAGGGAGGATCACTAAAAATGATTTTATTACTTGAAAAAACTCTTATCTGTTTAAGGTTTAGGTACATACTGGCATCCTAAATGAAAACTGCTTGGGCACTTATCGCAACAAATTAAATCACCTCCTTCACCGCAAGCATCACAAGAATCATGGTTGTGGCCTTTACCAGGCCGTTTAAAATAAGGATGTTCAGATTTCTTCTCCTTTTTCTCTTTTTTGTCACTATTTGGAGGGGCTATAAGAGCTTGGATTTGCTGAATACAAGAAAGATAAATTTACAATCAACAGCAAACATATTAGGTACGTTATAGAGTCTACAGTCTCTATTGTACAAAATATCTCTGCTCAGAACAAGAACTAAAAGCTGTGAGCTAATAGTAGTCTCAAAGGGAATTCAAAAACTCTCCTATATGTAAGCAATGAGACTAAAATATTAATCATGGTTCCAAATGAATAAAAATCGTTAATTAATACATCCCTACAATATCACAATGACTTCAATAAGTTCATTTTAATGCTTAATGATATATAATTAGCATTTTCCGCCATCTTATACTGGCTAGCATTACAAGTTTTATACAAAAGGACTACACTTGTACTTACATCCATAAGCCCTCCAGATGTATCTAAATCATATACACAGTTAGACATAATGCTTCTCGATTTTATACTTGCGTTTTTATAACAATTATTATTTCTATTCTTGATACAGTTCTAATTTAGTCTACAAAATAATATGTCATTACTTGGACTCTATTCACTTCACACTGCAATGTTTCAGAACCATATTTAATAATCTCTTATCTTAGCTTATATTATTTATGCTTGTCTTCTCATCTTGCTGTTGAATATACTGATTTAAAATAAATAAATTGAATATAAAATACAATGCTGGTTGCAGATACCTCTCAAGACATTTTCTTTCTGAATTCTTTTCTGGCGCCTTTTCCGGTAAGTGAGCATGCGCAAACTGGAATAAAAAAATTATTGGTCGTTTTATTATTATTATATTTTTTCCGAGCCGCTATTTCCCAAACGATTTTGTTGGATATTCGATTCATTTTTTTTCAGATAAAATTTCAATAATAAACGTACATTTCAATACTAGTGATTAGTGATATTGATAAATCGCTTCTGATATCGCATTCTTCTATAAAGTCCCTTACCTTGGTTATTTATTGGCCAAAAATAATATTAATAAGATAATATATAAAAATAACAACAAAATCATTAATTAAATCGAAAAAATATGCAATACAAATTTAAAACCAGTTTAAAATTATAACCAATAACCATAGATAAGATACTGTAGCTCAAACTATTACAGCCGTAATGTGAAATCTGTGGGAATGTAAAACCTCTAATTATCCTCTGTGGCGAAACATTAGAACTACCGAATCTGTGGGCAATAAGGCCACAGAAATTAAATAAGAAGAAATTTTTTTGTCTGGACAGTGTTGTCAAAACTCTGTGAATTTTTTATTTTTTTAAATTTTTAAACATATCTCATACATTTTTATAATAAATTTTATATCATGATAATATAAATTCTGTAGTATTTTAAAAAACCAAAATTATTTATTGAGAAGAATAGATTTCTCTTATATATTCTTTTGAATTGACATCATTGCTAACCATGGATAAGATGTTGCTAACTTTCAAATTCAAAGGCGGCCGGATATTGGGCCGGATAGTCCTGGAGAGCACGGTCCTGAAGCGGTGGCCGTAAAACCTAACCAAAGAGGGACCTAACAACCAAAATTCAAAGCCCAATCAAATGTGTTCTATGGCTTGTTTACAATTATTTGTTTTGTTTTGTTGCGTGGGCTCTTTGGACTAAACGGTCTTATTTTTATTTAAAAAATAAGAATTTAAGTGTAAAAATGGATTTGTTAATTGCCTTGTCCTTACGAAACTTAAGTTTGTAGATTCTATATCTTTAATATGTATAATACCTTCATTGATTAATTTTAAGCATTACAGTAATTGACACTAGAAAGCAAGGTACAGTAGGTACAATTATTAGAATATGAATAAATTTATAACAGCTAATAATTACAGATATTTTTAAATTTTAAACATGAAGACACTAAATAATGTACGAAATTCAAATCACAAAGTAACAGATTATTTTACTGTAAGAAAATCAGTTAGGAAGACAAAAAAGCAGATGTTAAGGGAAAAACAAAAACAATTAGAATACATGGTCATCTGTGAAATGGAGGATGGATTAGAAGTGAGAATTCATCTTTAAAATAAAAGCAGTTATATGTATAGCATGCTGTTTTAGAGTCGTTATACAGAAGGTAAGGGTAGGGGCGTTTTTGCAACTAAGGACTTTGAAAAAGGATCCTTTGTGGTAGAATATAGTGGCGATTTTATAAGTTTAATGGAAGCTAATGAAAGAGAAGATCAGTATTCTCGTGACGAAGCGACAGGTTGTTATATGTATTACTTCAAATATAATGATCAGACCTTTTGGTAAGCCCTGTTTCTTTAATTTGTTGAGTTATAACTATTATATAATTTATACTACTTAGTATCGACGCAACAAGAGAATCGGGAAGAATGGGTCGTCTAATTAATCACTCTAGAACAAGTAGCAATCTTTATACAAAGATAATATTGGTTGATGGATTGCCTCGACTTATACTCATGGCAAAAGAAAATATTAAAAGAGGCCAAGAGCTACTTTATGATTATGGAGACAGAAGCAGAGAATCTCTCAAACACCATCCATGGCTCAAATCTTAATTAAACAGTCTGTTTTATGATTTTATTTTATACACTCACTCGGTATTGTAATGTAAAACTGAATGATTAGAAATTATTATCTCAATACAGAAATCTACAAATATTTTTACAATAAAATTTATTAGTATTGACATATTTTTGAGTTTATTTTAAGTCCCAATAATTTCTGTTCAACAAAAGTCCTTATGAGTTAAAAAATGAGATCTGGTGACTTTGAAATGAGGATTGATGATATTCCCCATATAAAAATGATGATCTTCATTCCCATTCAATAACAAATATTTGCCATAATCTCTTAGCTCCCAAATAAAAGTATTCTCTGCTTGGACAGACTATAGCACAGTATCCAACGACTGTCTAGTTGACTTTTCAAAGCTAGTTGAGAATTTTTATTCAAAAGTTAAATGTCGTTTGTTAAAATCGTATGTTCTCTATAGCTAAACAAACGATATCGATTTCTAAATTTTAAAATATCTAAAATAATTTATATGTCAAGGGAGGGTGGTGAGAAATAAAACAAGACTGATGACTTAACTATTTATTATATTTATAATACATTTAAGAAAGACCAATATTTCATACAACAAAGGGTACGTTTCTTTTTTTCAATTTTATCCTGCATCTCGTCGCATCGACAGCATAATCTAAACGCTGCCATTTTACAAATAAGATAGAGGCCAAAATTCAAAAGTAAAACTATAAAGATTGGCATACGCAGCCTAAACACAATGTTTGAGATGCAAAACAAAGTTTGCAGACTGTTAGTAGAGAATTTCCTTTTCTTGAAAATCTAAGTCAACAAGAACCATTCTTAACAGAAATAAATTATAACCAGAGTGGTCTGAAAAGAAGTGGACGTGAAACACTCTGCTGAAAAATTAATTTAATCAATTTAATTGATTAAAAGTGTTTACTCTTTCATTATATTTAAGTTATTATAAAATAACACAGGTTAGTCCTAAATAATGCATAATTTAACTAATTTCTTTAAAAAATTTAGTGTATTTAGGGGACTCACCTGTCAGTATAGAGATATATTAGTATAACAACTTATTTATTATTTCTGATACAGATAACACAGACATGTATTTTTTTATTTATTTTTTTCTCAAATACGGCTACTGTAGCACCAGAGCCTGAAAATCTACCTCAGGAAACACGGTGGTTTAAGGTTTAAACATTGGGAAAGAAATTCATAAATACAATTCAAATTCTTTAGTTTTTTAACATATAATAGGAGAAATTGAAAAGATCTACTAATAAAACATCTACCTACAAACAGTTTATGTTGCTTTACACAAAGTTGGAAGCAAAGTTATGGATAAAAAGAATTCCAAATAATTGTTTTTTTTTCGGTCAATTGACTACTACATATTGTTTAAAAACAATTTTAAATATTTTATACCCATATAGTGTGCGTTTTATATACATTTTCCACTTTGAAAAAGGAAAATATTTTACAATACTATTTTCTTTTAGGGATAGAGCTTAATACTCCTAACTGTATTTAGCTATTAGATCAATTGGTCTACTTGTACCTATTCCCTTGCTTGCAATTAAATAACTATTTGCAGTGATAATTAATTTAAAACAGTTAACAAAGTTGAGTCTTTAAAGCTTACTGTGTCATAGTCAATCATACAAAATCTTACAAAATTATATCGTACAATCTATGACCATATAAAAATGCACATCATAGAAAGGCGTCTCAACTCAATTTAAAGGTTGCGCCCAATTTTTTTTGGTTTAATTTTTGATAAGAGTGTATGTTAATTCTGAAAAAATTACATTACAGGTCGACCCGATCGTATCAAATATATTTATAGTCAAGCAAGCTTTGATTTGACAATTAAAAAATTCTAATGTAAATAAATGTTCTGTCATCATACAAAGCATACTTGATCATTAAACTATTTGATTGTAATTTATAATGTACCGTTTATTTATTAAGCTCAGTCCCACCAATATATTTAGAAAAAATAAAACAAAAAAAAAATACCAACAAAATAAATTTATTCCAAAATAATGCTATTTATATAGTTAAATTAAAAAAATGTGTATTTTTTAGTTTTAACACATCTCCGAACTAAACCGCCATCTCGCGGGAGCTTTAACAACAACGATTATTTTGTCTCCATTTAGTTCGAAAATTAGCAAAATAAATAATAAAAAATATAACCTATCGCGCGCGAGAATTCCCAGAAAAAGTCCGGTTGTCTTTTATATTAGGTTATTTTTCTAAAAAAATTACATATTTATATATAATAAGGAAAACGTCCAATCTAGGCGGTCGAGATTAGAATCATCGGAATACTGGTGGGGAGGATAAAGTGTGAGAGGAGATGGTGGGATAAAGTTGCGCTGCTCTTCGTCCGCTTATCCGCTCTTAAATAACAGTATTGCCACCTGTAAAAAAAGAAACATCTACACTAGTACCAACTTCTTCAGCACCCCTTCACTACCTAGTAATAGATAGTCACGCATCTAAAGATGAACCCACCGCGTCATCAATGACACGATTGCATTGCGACCTCCTCTTGCTTGGGACTGGTGGTTTTTCTGACCGTTGAGCGTGAATTTAAATATACAGGGTGGTCCGAACTGTATTCCGGAAACTTCGGCTGCATATTCTGCAGATAAAAATAAGTAAAAAAGTTCCTGTAAAGGTATGTCCTAAAATGTTTAGTTTCGGAGATACAGGGTGTAGAAGTTTCATTTTTATTTCGATTTTTTCCAAATGATTTCTAAAGTAACGCCAATATTTGGACGAAAATTGGTATCTGGGAGTTTTTGGACATAAGAAATTTGATTTTGATGTCAATATGGCTCCTACTAGTAGAGGGCGCCACCTACATATTTTTTAACTGGTTTGAAGAGTAATAACTTTTCGTCCGTACCTGTATAAAACTACTGAGTAAAAAATATACATTTACGACGTTTTTTATGTAAAAAAGATCTCTTGGTAAAAATCGCTACGAATAATGGTTTTCGAGATATTTGGAATTGAAATCAATACCTGTTATCATTGACATAAATTAAACATGCTGACTAAATAGTTATTAGACTGAAATCATAAATTTGAAATGTTTTTGTGCCAAAAGTTCAACAGAAACTGTTTTTTATCATTTCTTGCAGAAAAATGTATGATTAATTTAAAAAAATAAAAATTTCCCAAATTTATTATTTCAGTGAAATAACTATCTACTCAACCTGTTTATTTTTCGTCAATAATGACATGTATTGACCATTTCCATTCTAAATATCTTAAGAACGGTTACTCGTAGCGATTTTTACAAAGAGATATTTTTTACGTAAAAAGTCACAGAGATGTGTATTTTTTCACTCAATAGTTTTATACAGGTACAGACAAAAAGTTATTACGCTTCAAAACAGTTAAAACACATGTAGGTGGCGCCCTCTACTAGTAGGAGTCATATTGACATCAAAATCAAATTCCTCATGTCAAAAAACTCCCAGATACCAATTTTCATTCAAATATTGGCATTTTCAGAAATTATTTAGACAAAATCGAAATAAAAATGAAATTTCTACACCCTGTATCTCCGAAACTAAGCATTTTAGGACCTACATTTATACGAACTTTTTTACCTATTTTTATCTGCAGAATATGCTGCCGAAGTTTCCGGAATACAATTCGGACCGCCCTGTATATGAGGCGTCAATTTGCAAAACCCGCCTTATCCCACAAACATTGTTTCGAGACAATGATAAGCAAAAACTGTTTTAGCAAATGCTTGAAGCGTTAATTTACAAAAAACGTGTCCATTGAGTGGAATCATTGTTTTGTATGTCGTTTTTCTAGAAATAAATATTAATATTTAAAACAGAAAAAACACAAAAATAATTCGGATCAGGCGGGTTTTGTTGCAGTATGATGCATATTGCAGGTTTGGATACAATTTGATCCAAGAAAAACGGCGTCGGCGACGACTATGGAATGAAGAACGATGTCATTTTATATGTAGCCAACTGAACGTCGTTTTTTTTTTCGATCATACAGTATTTGCATCCTAACTTGATTTAATAAATATACTATTTTATTAAATTTAAGTAAGGATTTGAAAAGACGTCAGAAGTAATATTATACTTGTGTAAAAAGCTTATGAAAAAATGCAGGATTTGTAACAATACAATAAAAAGCAAATCGTCCTATTGCTGCCAAAAGTCAAAAACTAACATTTTTCCGAACAACCAAATTCAATCACTATGTTTTGAAGCGAAGAATCGATTGCAAAAGTCATTAACTACGATTTCTGGCTATTTACGTTTTATTTTAATACCGAATAGTTACTAACTATAACATCTTTATGCAATGCAATTCATCTTTAGACGCATTTTTCTCGGAAGTGATAAAAAGTAAGTTAGTGACTTTTGGCAGCAATGGGACGAAATATAAGTGGATAAGACGAATTTTGCTGCACTACCGTAATTTGTAGTGAATTTTATATAGGAATAGGCGATCTTTACTGCAGTTTGGGATTGGGTTTATATAGATTTCAGGATCCACTATTAATATGTCATTAAGCCATTTTTTTTAAATGGATAAGGCGCGTTTTGCAACTTGACACCTCATTTATTCTAATGCTACGAGTATAGCTTAATATAATAACATATATAATCATAATGCGAAATTATTTCCAGCAGTAAAAAATTGATAACGCGCCTGTCCTCATCTTTAGATATGGTCACTCTATTTCATGAAAATGCCCCTACAAAATTATGTTTGTTAAAAACAAAAACCAAGGCTTATTCAGTACCAGCTGCACAACTTGGCCAGTTTTAGAAACTACTGCGCCTATTCTTTTACACGCGAGCAATCAAAACGAAAATGTTGATTTCAACTTTTTAAACAAAGTCATAGTAGAGCTCAGAATCTAACATGTTGAAAAGTTTATCAATTTAATAGTGAAACAATATAGAAGTTTATAAAGACAAACATGGAATGTACGTACCTGCCCAAGGTAAAAGTAGATGAAATGGCGAGTTTCGTGCGTCACGTAGGAGCCAAAGTTTCTTCCTACAATACAATGCCATGTAGGATTATATTTCTTATCAAACTCCTTCTTGATATACGCAGCTATGTCCTGTAACAAGAAATATTAATGATTAACACATTATACATCACATGAAAATATAAAAGCAACTTTACCTTTTCAATATTGTACTTCTCGATCGCCTGAGTGGCGCAGTCTACTGCATCCTGTTGCATGTCCTCAGACATATCAGCATTCTTGATTACTGCTTTCCTGTCTGTCATTTTGCTGGCTTTCTGAGTCGAACTAGACCTACAAACATATTTTATAACAAGACAATACAAGAAAAAATGCAGTTAACAAAAGTAATAATATAAAAATTGTATATTACGTAAAATGTTATATACAAAATTATTTGATTATAACATGCATCAATACTGCAGAAACAACACCATTTTATGTTAAATTATGATTTTGAAAAAGTGTGTCATGTCGTGAATAAAATGATTATATCAGAATAATTGTTGGATATTTTAGTAATATTTTATAAGAAACTATAGTTAAATGTATAGAAAACAGACTAAGTAAGCAAGAAATTTAATTTTGAATCAAGTAAAAAAAAAATTTTAAGAAAATACAATGGTGCCTGAAAAGCAAATGCATTTTTGAACTAACCCAAATTATTGCATGCAAGAGGATCAGGACAAGTAGAGCACTTTGATTTCGGCTTTTTTTCAAAAACAAGAGTACCTACTCAGCACTGATAAATATATATACAAGCAAATCTTAACACATACGTTCTGTACGGGCTGGTATCTTTAATGCAAACCTTGGCATGAGCAATAATTTCGCCCATATCTCAAAGATAACTGGTTAGATAAGTTTAGCATATTTATGTTTTATCAATATCGAGAAATATATCGGAAGTTCGCGTGCAACATACCAAAATAATTGATTACAACGTCTGTTGTGGAACGAAGTACCGTGATACGAGAATAAGAAAATTAACTCTGTACTTACGTGTAATTTTACAGTGTTTTCGTTGAAACCGGGTGAAAAATGCTTCCGGTAATGTTAGCAACTTTTAATTTATTTATTTTGTTGGATAAAACGTTTTTCAACTATTTCCCGGGGACGACTTCAGCTGCCTTTTCGCTCTTCTATGAAAATCTACTCGCTGAAAATACCGTAACTTATTGGTCGGCGTCAGAGGCTTCTGGCCGAGGCGTCTGGCAAAATGTACGCGATTGGTCGGACGTTTTACCAGTGCCGTACCATCGCGGGCTAGTTAAAATCCCATTTAATTTTCGGACATCTATCGATTTTATTTGAAATGAATGAAAATGAGACACTGACATGCATCAAAAGTGAACACTTTTCTAAATAAAGTTTTAACAAAAATAAAAAGGATCTTTTTACCAATTAATGCTTATGTTAACGTTCTCAGAAAATGTAGCTTTGACAGTGCTCCGCATTCGACGCTTCAACGTGCTCTAAAAGCAATAAAATGATGACAAAAGAAACAAACGTGGAGCTCCCGAAGGAGATGGAGATCAAACATGCATGCATTAGTATTTTTAGATGGAAAAACTAAGGGACCTACCGTTAAGGGAAGCGCTACGTAATCCTTAGAATTGTGGAAAATAAAATTCTACTTGGACTACGGTAAAATTTGGACCCGATTTAAGCAAACGTCAAAGAGGGGTCGTTTTCGGGGGGGAAATCGATGGAGAACAGGGCGCAGGATCTTGGGGAAGAAGTTCCCTATATCGACGTGTCTGCGCTTAAAAATAGTTTGGCAGAAGACACAGGGAGTTCGTTTTTTAGGACAAAAGGACAATTAATCAGACGGTGTACGAATAAACGACGAGCAAAAGTTGAAATCGTAACGACTTATTTGGGGTTTCATCGCTACTTTTCAGTATGTTTGTGTTCGTGTTCTTATTTATGGTCCGCAGAATACTTTGCCATGGCCGTAGCGTAGGAATTATTAATATTAAATTTCGTGATGGTATACAATAGTGATTTTGGCGACAATTAACTATTTTTAGACTTGAAATGGTGGGCTCAAATTCATTAAAATTCAAATATTTACTAAGAAAACATCAGAAATACAAATAATATCAAACAGTTTCGAAATACTATTTATTTTTATCCATGATACACAATTTATAACTTGTATTTTTTTTTAATTGAACCTAATATAATCTTTTTTAATTGCATCCACTTGTAAACTACGATAATGTTTCTAAAATATTTATACTTTCTTTTGATAATTTAGCATTAGTCATTTTAATTTCAAATTTACATATTATAAATAAGAATAATATAAAAATTGGTATTTTTTAAATAAATGTATAGTGATATGAATAAAAAACCAGTTTATATATCGTATGATCGAAAAAAATGGTGTCCAGTTGGCTTAAATGTCAAATAAAAAAGTTTTTCCTCTTATCCGGGGACATACTGTATATACTGGTTTGGCATTTGTGGCATTGGGTATCGATTTTCATGTGTATGAGTATACAGTCCAAAGGTACAGTCAATATAATACAATAAGATATATACGTAGTGAATAAAGAATGAAGAGTAAGTACCGTATGATCGAGAAAAACACGGCGTCCAAATGGCTTGGAAATGTACAGGGTGGGTCAAATTGGAGGCTTTTAAAGGGAAACACATCCCTTTTCTATAGGAGATAGACGAAAACTAATATCGGTGTCTGGAGCTCAATTTTTATCAAAAACATGATGGTAAATACTTATTCAAAGCGGGCGAATTTTTAAAAACTGTATATCTCGAAGAGGAATCGAGCAAAATATCAAAATTATGCTATATTTTTGGAAAGGTAATTTTAAATTCTTTTCAATAAATTAAAAATATACAGGGTCTACCAGATAAAAAATCAGACCCAAGACTACTCTTGCCGGGATGGTGTAATAGTGATTTGTTACCTGTAATTTTAATTTAAAATTATGTCGCGCTGGACAAATATCTACTTCGAAAATATTTTATAAACTTCTACAAAAATAGCTACTAAGCCTACTTTAGAGATTAATAATCGCAATATTTTAAATGTTATTTTCATACCAAGTATAACAACGACAAGTATAGTACTATTCTTTTAAAAGTTCCTCAATATGGCCGACCTAGTTACGAAAATTGGTAATTTTTTTTTAATGAAAAATAAGTTGGCGTTAGCGAATTCAGAAATTGATTTACTCTTTGGTTAACAATTATATTTTTCAGGATTGTCAAGTTGACGTTAAAGTTAGGTTATTAGGTGGATTAATCTTGAATACAGGTGATTAAACGATAGAACTATATATTGACTCTTTAATTTCAATAATTTAAATTCATTTTGGTGTCCCAAATTGGATCCTCACCTAGAGATACGAGATCAGTTAAAAGGTCGAAAAGTTGGGCAATTTGATGCTGATCAAAACGTCACTTTAAAAGTTTAAAAAATTCCGAATACTCCAAAGATTTATTTAAAAAACTCTTTGAATAAGAAGACTAAGGAAGGAGCATAATGCTATCCATGTATTCATGCATGGTGGGCGGAAAAGCCACTATAAAAGCTCTCTAGGGTGGGGATCCTTGACAGTTCTGTTTGACGATTCATTTGACACATTTGAATTTGATTTGAAATTTTGTGGATTTGTCAGTCTTTACGGAGCTTATTTTATGTTATTTATTATTTATTCTACTACTGATAGTTGTATAAAGGTAGTAAATCTAGATGGAAATTGTGGCAGAACTTAAATTAACAGTGACACTATCGCGATTTATCGAAAAAGACTCTAAAATAGTTGGTTGTGTAGCGTGCGGTAGATCTCGCCAAAAATTGAGTGAAATAATGGAACAGCTTTTCGCTAGTAAGTGACTATATAATATACATACGTGTAGTAAACCGATCATTTATGAAATTCACTTAAATTAACTAAATTATATATTTTTCTTGCATTTTAGCTTTTATTTATTACTTGTCAAAGATTAGATGTCAAAGAATTTAGATACGTTAATTTGACTTACCTGCTTCAGTAGCGTATCGGATGTTTGTGTTAATAAATACTTATTATAACTTATCTATTTTTATTAGAATTATATATTTTTATAACAATTTTAATAACTACCAACATTTATTCACAACGTAAAATAAAACAACAAATTATTGAGTCTACCCCACGTCTACCCTACATCATAGTTTTACATTTTTTAAATAAAATTAGAACGACACTGATAAACCGGAATTTAAGTCGGCCATATTTGAGGCCCATTGCGGTGTACCCACAGGGTGTACCTAAGATTTTTGATATGCTCCTTCCTTAGTCTTCTTATTCAAAGAAAAAACTAATAAGGGGTGTTCCATTTTCCGTGGACATGGAACTACTACGAATTTTTTGGATCAAAATAAGTTAATTGGACACAATTTACCTCTATACAACAGTGCTTCGTTTGTCGGTTAGGGGTTAGGGGGCATCAAATAAGAAAAAGTACGGTAATGGTGAAAACTACCCTCACCCCTACATAAATTTTAATAAAAAATATGTATGTAGAGATAACGTTATGCAAATTAAAGTTCTTAATATTATTTTTTCGAATTATTTAAGTTTTATGCGTTACTATTACGACGCCACTGTTTTCAATCGAATATTTAAGCACATTTTAGTGCCATTTAATTTTTTTTTAATATAAAAAAAAACGCCTTTCCTAAACTTTTGCATAGAATTTTATTTGTGAATATTTTACAGCGTACAAAAAGGAATGTTATAAAAAATAAACTAATCTTAAAAAAGTATAAATACATCTTATAATATTGTGACGAGAAAAATATAAAGAAAAATCATACGATTGACGCAATTGCACCGACCCTGTAAATATGCAAATCTTGAGCAACTTCTATAATTATTTAAATTATTAGATAAAGTGAATCTGAAAATAAATCAAACATACTTAAGCCTATTTAAATTGTCTAAGACCGAAAACGTATAGTTTACTTATGGCATGTATTACAATAACGATCTATTTTATTTGCTAATCGCAACAGCTTTTTTAGTCCTATACATAAAAATACTTATATTTATCACAGTAGTAAAATTAGTATAAATGATTTTATTAAGTTTTGCTTATTTTAGTACGTAAATACATCACTTCGACTCGACGATGGGTATGGTAATGTAAAATTTGAAACTACATACAAGGTGTGTAAATACAAATGTCGATAAGTTGATAAGATAATACATGTATATTGCATTGGATTACTATATAAGCAGGAAGTAGACGTCTTTATATTTATAAATTTAAAAAAACATTTTCTAGAATCATGATATATTTTAAATAATTTTAAAAATAAGATTTCTAAAAATACTCCAGGCAATATTAAGAATAATCCAAAATTACTTCATTTCACACACCCTTGACTAACCTTTATTAGAAATTCTAACCGATGAATAAGATTATGAAAAACGAACTTAGTTATTGAGTAAAAAAACTTTACAAGACATTATTAGTTTTAATATTTTAAACGCGTTGTTATTCTTAAAACCATTAAAACTTTCAAATGAAAAACGATTAGTTAATGATTTTTGAAAATTCATTAAAAATACTATTAAATTTGTAGTTGTATATAAAATACCTGAAACTAAAACTACCAATAACTTATTGATAATATGGAAATATATTTGATACCAATTAAATTTTTAGTTACGTAATCGAGGGCACGATTTTTAAATTCATTATTGCCAATGATCAACTGAAATTTATGTTTCCCGCTAGGGATTCAGGTGGTAGCTCAGTTGTAAAAATTGTCAAGCTGCCAAATTTATTTATTTTTTTCCTTACATCGTCATTTGTTTTGACAAATTTTTAGTTTAGTCTCGAGTTTAGTACCGTATGATCGAAAAAAAACGGCGTCCAGTTGGCTTGGAAATGAACATCGTTGACATTCCCCATATAATTTTACATATAAAATGACAGCGATCTTCATTTCATAGCCATGGCTGACGCCGTTTTTATTCGATCATACGGTATTAATACCACAGTATTACGAGTTTTTGGTTTAAATAAATAGTGTTGTGATACTTTAAGTTTGAAAATGTTTACTAGCCGACCTTGTAGTCGAACATTGTTTTTTTTTAGAACCTCCTTTAGTGCGAAGTGTACAAGATAGCTAAATGGCCGTAAAAAACTCATCGCAATTTTATGAGAATATTTTGAACGGGAAAGCGGTAGTAATGGCCCTTTATGTCCCTTAAGTGCTGTTAAGAAGGCGAGTTTTGTTGATGTAAATAATAACTGTTTATATATTTATAATTAATTTATTTTTGTTTCCCAAAATATTTTGATTATTAAAAGAAAATATATAAAAGTTGATAACGCTGTGCCGGTTAAGCTTAATCACGTTACTAAAAGTTTATTTGATATGAACATGCTTCATCACAATAAACACTTTAAACAAAGTGTATAATTTATAACAAAGCTAAATTGCTTTCCAACGCGTAAATGTAAGCTAACTAAAGCTTTCGATTGTCAATCAGAAATTAGAGGTAATAACTAATATGGAAGCTACTTTTACCACAAATATCATTTTTAATCGATTCAATCTCTGAACTGATGACATATACAGGGTGTTTCAAAACAAATGCGAAAAACTTCAGGGGGTGATTTCTTGTTCAAAATAAAGGGTAGTTTGCTTTATAAACGTTGGGTCAAAAGTCAACCATTAGGGAGATATCGCGGTACAAAGATGGCGGAAAAATAATGTTTTTATTTTTTATCTTGAAAACGAAAGATAGACTAATGAAATTTTATGGAAGCATTACTGTTATGAAAACATACTTTTCTGGTATTTTTTCACTTTTTAAAATGAGTGGAAGGGGTTGGAATAAACTACCCCTATCATTTTTGTTAACGAAATTGTAAAGAAAAATCTTATCAAACACATGCAAAAAAAAAATTTGGATAGTTTGGTTTGTTTAGAAACTTTTTATCTCTTGTATTTTTTTTATAAAACTCACCGATTTGAAATTAAAAATAAAATGTAAAGCATTACATGTCAGGACTAAAATATTTTTAGATTAAGAATCTAGTGATAATAATGATAATAATCATAATCTAGATAATAACGTATTGCAGTAGGATAATGTCAAATAAAACAATATTAGAAACATCCTAAAAAGTGACATGGGCCGACTAGATTTTTTCCTAAAAACAGCTGCCCACTAGATTCTTTATCTAAAAATGTTTTTGTCCTGACATGTAATGGTTTCTTGTTCATTTTAAGGGTAATTTCAAATCGGTGAGTTTTATCAAAAAAACACAAGAGATAAAAAAAGTTTCTAAATAAACAAAACTATCAAAATTATTTTTTGCATGTGTTTGATAAGATTTTTCTTTAAATTTCGTTAACAAGAATGATAGGGGTAGTTTATTTCAACCCCTTCCACTCATTTTAAAAAAGTGAAAAATTACCAGAAAGTGTGTTTTCATAACAGTAATGCTTCCATAAAATTTCATTAGTCTATCTCTTTTCGTTTTCAAGATAAAAAATAAGAACATTATTTTTCCGCCATCTTTGTACCGCGATATCTCCCTAATGGTTGACTTTTGACCCAACGTTTATGAAGCAAACTACCCTTTATTTTGAACAAGGAATCACCCCCTGAAGTTTTTCGCATTTGTTTTGAAACACCCTGTATATGTATATATCAGGGCTCAGTGGTACGTGACCTTATTTCTTTTACTCTACTTGAACCTAACAACGCAAGCTTAATAAAACATCACTTTGAAGCATATCCCAATATGAGCTTAAAATATTAAGCCAGACCTTAGTACATTGCCAGGAAAGACAATTGAATAAAATGACAAATACAAATAAATTCCACAAAGTAATAATTTTTTTTCTACTTTAACCCCATTAAGATCAACTTTGGAATTGCCTATAAATTTACGGGAATGTTCTAAGTAATGCTGATTTCGTTTCTATCAATTTTTTCGCTACCCACATCTGTAGGACCGTTTCTGTTGGTTTAAGTCTTCTATACAGATAGGCAAGTGATAGCTACTTTTTGTAGTGTTTTGTTAAAATAGTTATAGACAATTAAAAATATAAGGCTTCTTAAAACATACTTTCAACATTATAACTACCAAAATACCTGAAGTGGGCACTTTAGAGAACAATGGTATATCCTACAAGGCAGTAAATTCCGCGTCTCTACCTCTAACTACCCCTTTAAGGTTAACTTTGCGACTGCCCGTTACCCTTAGTGAATTTCTACCTTATTTGATTACCAATAGCCTTATTTGACTACCAAAACCAAACCCGCCGCCTCCTTTTCACTATGGTAAGGGTCGCAGGTTCAATTTTAGGTGTTTGCGAGAGTCTTCCAGTGGGAAGAATACAAGTATCCTCATCGTGAGAAGTTCAGTACGTCCTTGGTTCGAAAATCGGCGTTCTGTGGGGTATGTTTCCCAAAATACCAGAAGAATTTTCTGCGTTACTAGAATAAAACCTGAACAAGTTGCTGAACCTATGTTTCCCAGTCTGAAATTGATGACTTTGGATTTAGAAAAGTTTTAAGTGGTGTTTGGGTTTCTTCTGATTTTTCTTGCTTCAGACATTTTTAGGCACTTTTGTCTTACTTTTAACTCTTCTATACAGATAAACAAGCTTACAGTTGAGGGTTAACCAAACCAGCCACAACTATTTTTTGTTTAACTTTTCATTAATGTCTTGTTAAAATAGTTATAGGCAATTAAAAACATGAGTCTTCTAAAAACATATTTCCAAGCTTGAAGTTGGCACTTTAGAGAACAACGCATTCTACAAGGCAGTAAATTCCGCGTCTCTACCTCTAACTACCCCTTTAAGGTCAACTTTCGGACTACCTGTCACTTTCAATGAACTTCTACCGTAGCCCATTCGACTACCAAAACCAAACCCGCCGCCTCCTTTTCTGTTCAAACTATCTACTATACTGCGCACAACGCTGCTACTTCTACTGGTAGAGGGCGCAGGTTCAATCTTAGGAATTTGCGGGAGCCTTCCAGTGGAACGAATAGAGGTATCCTCATCGTGAGAAGGTCGGAAGGTTCTTCGTTCGAAAATTGGCGTTCTGCGCAGTACCTTAGCCAAAATACCAGAAGGTTCATCATGCGGTACTTCCGACGTCTTCTTCGGATTAAAAGTAGAAGAGATCAAATCGGGAACGTGTTTTCGTTCGGTAGTACGGCTCACAAATTTCTGCGTTACCGGAGTAGAAGCGGCCGAACCAATATTACCCAAGCTGAGATTGGTACCTTTGGGTGGTTCCTCTCTAACAAAACGGTTTCTCGTGAAATTCTTCGGAACTGTTCGGAGCCTGACGTTAAAACGATTGGACCTGCGATTGTTTTCAGTCTCGACAGGTTTAGGCACTTTTTCTGTAGGTTTTAAGTCTTGAATGCAGATAGGCTTCTCGGTGCTCTTGTGGTACATATTATCGTTTTTCAAAAAATCTATGTTTTCGTAGAGTGGTGGGGATGTTTCTGGCAGATTGTCTAGCGTATGAATTATTTTCTTAGGTCTAATATCACAGGACGACAGGTTATCTTGGAGCTCGTCAAACGATTTGACAAGCGGGGACTTAGGGGCCAAGTTGGCGGTTTTTCCTTCTTTGATTGGCTCCAGTGCGGGACTTCTATGTCCAGATGGAATACCTGAAAAAATCAAACTAATAAAATCTCTAAAAATAACTTTTCCAATTCACTTTTGAAGCTAAAGGAATGATTCTCGAAATTATTGATACACTAAAAATATTAAAATTTGAACTACAGGGTATTATTTATTATTACTTATTGATTTTCAATAACTAAATTCGGCAAACCATTATCGAAAAAAAAAATATTTTCTTACCAATATGCATTATTCTTTTATTTTGTATCTTTTCATAATGGTTAGATATACAGGTTGTTAATTTGTTTATTACTCGCAGCAAGAGCTTTATGGTTGAAATATTGCAACCTCGGCCCGCTCGTCGATAGACGACGCGACGGGACGAGTCGGCAGAAAACCCTATAAGTGCATGCGTTCTCAATAGGCAGTGTTGCCATTCTGGTCCCCTATAAGTATCTGTCGAGTTAACAACCTGTATATAAAAAACTATCAGCAGAAACATTTTTCAAATACATATATATTCGATACCAATTAAACTTTTAGTTACGTAATCGCGGGCGTAATTTTTAAATTCATTGTTGCCAACCATCGACATATTCAGCGCCGGGCTGACTAATCGGAATTTAAATGTCCCGCTGGAGATTCAGGTGGTAGCTCTGCTGTAAAAAATGTCAAGTTGCCACATTTATTTATTTCGTGACATTGTCATTCGTTTTGACATTTTAGTCTTGTATTACATTACGAGTTTTTGGTTTAAATGAATTGTGTTTTGAATATTTTAAGCTTAAACATTTTTGCTAGCAGACCTTGCAGTTATACATTGTTCTTTTTAAAACCTTAATAGCCGTAAAACTCATCGCAACTTTATTAGAATATTTTGAACGGGAAAGCGGTAGTAATGACCCTCTTTAAGTGCTGTTAGAGAGGTGAGTTTTCTTGATGTAAATATAACTGTTTATATATTTATAATTTATTTATTTTTGTTTCCTAAAAAATGTTGATTAAAAGATTATATGTAAAAGTGGGCAACGCTGTGCCGGTCAAGCTTAAACACGCGACTAAAAGTTTATTTGGTATGAACTATATATAAAATTATTGCTTAAATAAAAATAATACATAAAGAAAATACGCTACGCCACTGAATAAAATCATAAGCAAACCAGTGGTGTATAATTTTTTTTCTTAAAAAAAGTTTTGTTTATACAAAATAATAAAATAAAATTTGATATAGTTCAGTGTAGATCAAAGCAAATCAGGTCAAACGAGCAAAATATTTACATACTTAAAATTAACCTTTATAAGTAAAACCTACCTTCAGGAGTTGTGCTCCCAGAACTACTGGGACTCAAACCACGATAATGTTGAATGTCAAACAATAAATCTGGAGGTAGAGGCATGCCCACTGCCAAATGCATTGACAGAGATTCTAACCAGACTTCCATCACCTCAAACGGAGGTCTAAAACCAGGAATCAAAATTATAAAAACAAACAATTTACAATAATGTTAATATCACAGTACCTTCGATCGGGATTCAAATCGGTACCCAAAAAAGCGATCTTATAAAAAGGTTCAGGACAGGATTGACAGAACTTTTCTTTAAAAGCCATTTGGTTCAAACCAAAATCGTTTGATCTGGGCAGAAAATCTGGATCAGCTTGAACTCGTCCAATTATCTGAATAAATAAATTGATAGTACCTTAAGATTTTTAGTTTGAAATAAAATTAATTTACTTCACAGAGAATTATCCCAAAACTGAAAACGTCGACTTTTTCGTCATATTTATTGCCTTTCATCATTTCTGGAGCCATCCAGTATGGATTTCCTACGACAGTGTATCGCTTTTTACGCTCCTGACGAGTCCTTGAACCAGGTGTTCCTGTACAAGTAAACATAACACTCAACAATAATTATGTTAAATACATATAGTAAACGCCACGAATGTTTGGGAGTGATTCATCGCTTGATGAAGTTAGAATCGACACGCGCGCTATCATTTTTACATTAAAAACGTAAATTTTTACCGCAGACGTAGGTTTTTAAAGGCCCGGTCCAATCATCTGCCTGCGCTCCTCCTACTTATTCTAAAATGTTAGCGTGATTGGCAAAGATGATACTATATCGCGTTTCTTTGATTGATTCGTTTTTGTGCGTCAGTCCATTGGTGTGCTTCCAATGCGACCAATGGGGCATTCCAGTTTATATTTATAACCAAATATATGTTTTGACAAGACTTTGACAGTTAAAACAACAAATTACAACAGATTATATATTGATTATTATATGACTGGAAATACCACGGCACTGGAATTAAGTTTTATGTGACCTTGAACAGATTATTTCACATGGTAGAGACCTTTGAATAAGAAGACTAAGGAAGGAGCATAATGCTATCCATGTATTCATGCATGGTGGGCGGAAAAAGCACCATAAAAGCACTCTAGGGTGGGGATCCTTGACAGTTCTGTTTGACGATTCATTTGACACATTTGAATTTGATTTGAAATTTTGTGGATTTGTCAGTCTTTACGGAGCTTATATTATGTTATTTATTATTTATTCTACTACTGATAGTTGTATAAAGGTAGTAAATCTAGATGGAAATTGTGGCAGCACTTAAATTAACAGTGACACTATCGCGATTTATCGAAAAAGACTCTAAAATAGTTGGTTGAATAGCGTGCGGTAGATCTCGGCAAAAATCGAGTGAAATAATGGAACAACTTTTCGCTAGTAAGTGACTATACATATAATATACATACGTGTAGTAAACCGATCGTTTATGAAATTCACTTAAATTAACTAAATTATATATTTTTCTTGCATTTTAGCTTTTATTTATTACTTGTCAAAGATTAGATGTCAAAGAATTTAGATACGTTAATTTGACTTACCTGCTTCAGTAGCGTATCGGATGTTTGTGGTAATAAATACTTATTATAACTTATCTATTTTATTAGAATTATATATTTTTATAACAATTTTAATAACTACCAACATTTATTCACAACGTAAAATAAAACAACAAATTATTGAGTCTACCCCACGTCTACCCTACATCATAGTTTTACATTTTTTAAATAAAATTAGAACGACACTGATAAACCGGAATTTAAGTCGGCCATATTTGAGGCCCATCGCGGTGTACCTAAGATTTTTGATATGCTCCTTCCTTAGTCTTATTCAAAGGTAGCGACCGATGAATCACTCCCAAACATTCGTGGCGTTTACTATACTAATATCATGTTAAGTCAGTACAAATACGGTATTCACAAAACATTTTCCGATGCACGTCATCAATCATATCGAAATTGACATTAAAGCCTAAAAACCCGACTAAATGAAATTTTTGCAAAAATGTTTAAATTTGTTGTATAATTTAAGATACCGAGCAGCTCTTCATTTTACTTTATAGAGCAAACGAATGTAACAGATATTTTATTTAGATTAAAGGTGCAAAAATTAGTTTAAACCAAATTTTATTATCGCTATGTTGGTCGCATTGTGCCGTGTTCTGCAACGTTGTCGTTTATTGTTTGACAATTATCATCATGTCAATCATTCTTTTGTATAATATCTTGTTGAATCTTTGTGGATAATTCTCATTTGTTGCCCATGTTCTTTTTTAAAAATTGTACTTTTAAGCACAAACAGTTTTTTCAAGAACTAAATTTTCGAGTTTTTGTATGGCATTTCTTGAAATTGTGTGTTGAAAATATGCCGAAGCATTTAAACGGTCGAAGTAAAGAGCTTGCAGCTTCTCTGTTTTCTGATAAACTATTTTGAACGAAAATGTGACAATAAAGGTCTTTTGCTCACTAGCATCTTACTTAGGACAAAAATGATAAATTCTTTGCTATATTGATTCCTTACCAATTTTTACCACAGTTTAAAGAATATAAATATATCAGTTGACCCACTCTTCGTCCGTATCAAAATTCCTCCCGCCGTCCCCGCCTGTCTTGTAGACTTGGGACAGTCTACATCCGTTGCTCGACGTGTACACAGCGTTCCAAGTTTATTTTAGTTTTGTTTTCGGTTTGGTTTGGGTGCATAGGGTGAAGCAAAAATAGTGTTTTAGTTGTTTTGTTCGAATTGTGAATAAAATGTCTACTAGAAATATTTGTGCAGTGGATGGTTGTGAAAGTAGAATGACAGACAATATATCGTGCCCAAAAGATGAAGGAAGGTATGAGTGTATATAGTATAGGATATTAAGTATATAATAATTAAAGTATTAGACATATTAAGTATATTATAATTATGGAAACCTAACTATGAATAAATTGTTTTAAAAATATACACATATAAATCAATAAAAGATTTTACTCGAAATATGCACAAAATATTTATTTTTAACAATTAGTTTATTATATTAGTAGATATTTTAGAGTAGTAGTAGATACTTTACTATTATGTTTTGGATTTTGCAGTATTTACCGGTTTGCAATGTGCATATTAAATTATTTTTTAAGATATTTGCATTTTTTTAAATAGCATGTTTTACTTTTTAGATGGTTGTATTTAACTTATATTAATTAGATTATGGTAAATACCTACCTGGAAAGTCCAAATTTTATCGTCAGGTAATAAAAATACGTGCATACAACTTGTTCTGCTATTGACAAGTTTTTTAGAGTTTTTACTAAATTTTATGTAACAGTAAATATAAAAATTGACGAGCACATGGGAAAAACGATGAGTATCCAGAAATGATAAATGTTCAGGAAACCGTTTTTTTAATTCAAATTACGCATGTACTTTTATATCCGAGTTTATATCGTTTTTCCCATTTTTAAATGCCTGTTTCTATGTGGCCGTTATCGATATTCCCGTTTACTTAGGTACCAAAAGGTGTAGCCCCCCCCTTTTTTGGTACTCTCATTATTTTTCCAGTGTGCTCTTCAATTAGTAGTAAATACTGTAATAAATTATATTTGCATATTTCTTAAGTTATAGCATGTTCTGCTTTTTAGCTGTTTGCATTTAACTTGAATTTTTCTTTATCAAAAGGTAATAAAGAGTACTAACTAAATTTTATCGAACAGTAAAATTTATTACACAATTAACTACTAACAGTCATAATTACTGTTCATGATAATCATAAAATTTAGAAAAAATTCCAAAAAAATTGACAATGGCAACACAAGTTGTATGCAAAGGTACTTTTATTATCTTACGATAAAATTTGGCCTTCCCAGGTATGTAATTAAGATAAAATACAAACATCTATAAAGCAAAGCATGCTATAATTAAAGAAATATGCAAATTATTATTATATATATTAAAAAAATTAACTTATTATATTTATTTAGTATAATTTTTCATATGGGGTTTCCATATTAATTATTGATAATAATTACCCTATTAATTCCATATTCCAAAGAATTAGGATAGAATAATATATGTAAATTATTTTGTTGTAAAATTAACATGAATAAATTAGTATTATAAGATAATGTACTTAACTAAAATCCGTTTTTTATTTCACATTTCAATTCATATCGTATTTATATTTGTAAACAATGAGATATGTTATTAAATAATAATAAGAAGAAAGTAAATAAATATTGATCAATTATTAAAGACGCCTAAAACTGTTAATCAATAAAACTAGTACTGTATTTTTATTTTTCTACTTGCTATATTAAAATTTCTTAGTATTTTTAGTTGATCCCTCGTATACGGCCAGCGTTCTGACTGATAAAATAGCACTTCCGCTGCACCCGGTAAACGTACAAATTTTTTGTCACCTCGAAGGGTCACGGGCCGCCTTTGAATTCAAAATAACAATAGAATTCCTTAGAGTGGGCCAACTGGTATGTATTCTTTAAACTGTGTTGTTACTATGAATAAAATTAAACATAGCAGTTTCTTTACTTTCGTTTGTTTACCTTTTGGGGATCTTCTTACACTATTTGTTGCATGGGATATAATCCTAGCTAAACCAAAATCGGCCACAATCACTGTTTTGTCATCCCTTACAAGACAGTTGTGTGAATTCAAGTCCCTAAAAAATTGTGAAATAATAACAGTAAATTTAAAAAAAAAGTATATAGATTACCTATGAATTATGTTCATGGAATGCAAATATGCCATTCCAGACGCAATATCTTTGGCAAACGACACCCTTTGTTCCCAAGGAAGTGGCTGTGCAGAATCCTGAAGAAGTTCTGTTAAGGTCCCACCTAAATTCATGAAATTAATAAAAACCATAGATATAAAAATTATTTTAAAAGTACCTGAAATATACTCGGTAACTAAATTAAGTTTTTGCTCTTTGTAAAGAACGCCAATAAAGCGTAAAACGTTGCTGTGATGTAAAGATCTTAATACCGCTACCTGAAATATATTATGTTCACAAAAGTTAAGTGATTTAATTAAAAAAAAAGTCAATTACCTCTTTTAAAAAGTTTTTCTGGGCTTCTTCATCCACCCGGTACAATTCTTTTAACACCATTACTTCTGAGGTATCTTTTGTAGTTACCTACATAAGTATTTTGCATCAGAAAAAAATTAAAACAGTAACGCAACTAAACTAGAACTTATATCTGTAAAAATCATTACAAATGATTTGATATCTTTAATTTTTTGAGTAAAATATTAAAATTATGTACTGTGAACTTATAGATGTACAAATATTTGGGTATATTTATTTTGTAAGGTAGGAGGTGGCAACTTTATAAAACTTGATGCATTCTCCAAAAATTTCATGAGAATGAACCTGACGTACTAAAAAGTTTTTTTTTAAATTACTGAAAAACATTACAAGGCTTAGTGTGAGTTTACATGCATCCGTCATACGTCGTCCGTTATTGATTTTATTAAATTTTATTGGTGTATTTAAGTTGTGTTTCTGGGGTCGAAATATACTTGACCCTGTGTAGCGTAAAATAATAATAAAATTTTACTAACCATACTTTACAAATTTCAAATTTTTAAACAGAATTACTGAGATTTCAAAAATATTGTTAGTCTTGCATGTAGAGATACTTCGTTTCTGTAACATAATAATATATATACAGGGTGTCCCAGAAATGAGTGCAGATATTTTAAGGGGTGGTAGATCTGGTCAAAATAAACATATTTTCTCTTTACCATTTTTAAAATAAATTGAAAATAACCGAGTTATTTAACTTTGAAAATTTAAAAAAATAATCGCAACATTTTGAGAACCGCCGGCAGATATCGCCAACTGCATCCAATTACTCGGATCAAGCCCGGATTTCAGTTAATTCGACGCACTGTGTTGCCATAGGGACAAGAAAGTATATGTTAAAAGTAAGTCATAAAATCACAACACCTGAGGAGTTTGCAGAGATGCATTACATTTTTAAGTTTGTGATATTATTACATAAAATAAATTAAAAGTTAAATGTTTAATAATGTGTTAAAAAAGTTAAGTTAAAAAAACTTACCCAACATTAAAAATGATACTTATGACAGATCGATGTAACTGTGACAGTTCTCTTTTTCGATATACACTTAACTAAAATACACTTCACTGTGCTGCTTTACTTGTACATGCTATTATAATAACTACTAAAATAACAGTCCCCATTTTTAACACATTATTTTCATATAGGCCTCATCACAATTTGAACCCCTGATTTACAAAACACCTTGAAAAGCACACATTACTTTGAATACCTTTCTGAATGAATAAATGTTGAGAATTATTGTCTCTTACCGCCACTTTCCGAACTACTTTCAATCTAAGAAAATACATGTTTCACTCAACAATTTTAAATAGGTATTTTGTTTTTTCGCTATTTTTTCTATGTATTTCGAGATTTCCATCAACAGCCCAACCGTCGCGTCGGCCAAGAGACCCGCGCATCACTGGTAACTCCTCCTTTGTCGCGCCGCCGTGCCGAGCTTGCGTCATGCGAGGTTGCCGTAGTTTCAACAATTTCAAATTCAAGACACTCGAAGAAATCAAATTCTTATTAAATTTTATAAATAAAACAGAAAAACATGAAAGGAAATAAACAAAACACAAATGAATTGGTTATTGATAAGGTCACAAAAAAGAAATTTCTAAAATGTTTATCGTAATTCAGAATTCAATACATCGAAAACAGCCAGACGAATAATCAATTCATTTTTGTTTTGTTTGTTTCCTCTCATGTTTCTCTGTTTTATTTTTAAAATTTAATATGAATTTGATTGCTTCGAATGTCTTGAATTTGAAAATGTTGTAACTACGGCAACGTTGCTTAACATCGTCGTCTGACGCAAGCCCGCCACGACGGCGCGGCGATCGGCGACTCAAAGCTCAAAGGACCAGTTCACACGCGGCGCTCTTGGCTGACGGTTAGGTTGTCGATGGAATTGTCGAAATACATCGAAAAAATAAAATACCTATTTAAAATTGTTGAGTGAAACATGTATTTTCTTAGATTGAAAGTAGTTCGTAAAGTGGCGATAAGAGACAATAATTCTCAATATTTATTCATTCAGAAAGGTATTCAAAGTAATGTGCGCTTTTCAAGGTGTTTTGTAAAACAGTGGTTCAAATAAAACAGAGAAACATGAAAGAAAACAAACAAAACTAAAATGAATCGATTATTCGTTGGGCTGTTTTCTAAATTTCTTGAACTGAATTCTAAATTATGATAAACATTTTAGGAATTTCTTTTTTGTGACCTGATTGTGAATAATATGAATCATTTTATTAAATTTATTCCAAAATAAAGTTATTTTGCAGCATAACAAAGATTTTCGTAAACGTCATAAACGTAATGTTTTAGTTAATTTTCCGTGGTTTTTGTTAAGTTTTCATTGAAAGGGTAAGTACTAGAAATAATTAATGTGTTTTTTTTTCTATAATTGTTAATAATGAGCACTGATAAAAGATTAAATTTACCATTCCTAATTTTTTGAGTAGAAATTTGTCTATGAATTTATAAATGTAGAACTATGTTCCGCGGAACTATGTAGAATGTCGATAACATAGGAGGTAGCAACACTGCAAGGTTTAGATACACCGTAGGGAAATCTCAGGTGAATAAACAAGTGGCACTAAAAAGTTTTTTCAAATTTCCCAGAAAATGCCAAGAAAAATTTTAAATTTTCAACATTTTTTTTTGCAAAAAAAACCTCATAGGCGTGTTTCTGGGGTTGAACTATACTACCACTTAAAATATTTGCACTTATTTCTGGGACACCCTGTATAATATGTTGTATTTTTTATATTTTCAACTCATAAACTCAACATAATACAAAAAATGTTCATTTTTTCAAATAATATACAGAGTGTTGCATTTAAAAAAATTGAGATATAGCATTTTAAATATTTTAAATATTGCAATGTTGGCGACACCATAAAAACTACCCTGTATAAGGTAATGTAAATTTTCCTTCACGGGTATACAAGATACTACAAATTCGAGGTACGAGCACTGGTATCTCGGAAACCGTAATAGATACGAAGATGGTTAAATTGGGGTAAAGTTGCGCTTTAGGATGTTCAACAAGATGCCATCAAAAAAGCTTTAAAAATTTCAAGGATTGCTGAGTTTTTTTGGAAAAAAACGGAGCTTTTGGAAATGTTATTTTTTCCTGTCGTTAATTTTTGGAAAATCAAAAAACTAATTGCACATTTTCATAGTCACATTATTAAGGCTACCTGATAGTATTTTTAGATTTTCAAATTAGCTGATAATTTGTGAGATACAGAGGCCAACTTATTTTTTTTAAATACGGACCTGCATTTTTTATTTCAAGTTTTGAAAGAACTCGGTCTCCTGAGTACAATGATATGCCATACTTGATATTTTTTTTTGTTTTGGATACCTTAATAATACCAAAACTATTTAATTATTATTTAAAATAATGTCAAGTCCGACTCTGGTTTTTTAAATTACTTTAATCTGATTACATATATTCATTGCAACAATATTGATCATCGCTAATTAACATTGAATAAGAAAAATCGAGCCAATTGAGAGATTCAAATAAATAATATGCAGGTCAGAAATTTAATGAAATTATTTTAAACTTTTTTTTATTGTTAATTTGAAATCTCAGTATACAATTTATAACATGCATAATTTTAATCATAGTTATTATAAATAAATCAACTTTTAAAAACTAGTTTCTAATGCTCTACAAGTTCGAAAGGATTACCACCCTCCCTAATGCACAAATTTATTTTTCGTTCGATCTTATTTATAGCTCATTGAACATATCTTCTTCTTATACTTCCGAATGCATTTTGTACTCTTTATTGTAAATGTTGAAATGTATTGATTTAATTTTTACAAATGGTGTCAAGTAATTCCGATCCGCTCCCGCCCCTTGGCGACGGGGACCTGGCTGGCCATTTTACTGCACTACCATTTCCAATTCATCTTCCGTGGAAATTATTTGATTGTTTATATTATATTTATATTATTTTTTATTATTACATATATTGCATTTGATTTTCCATTTTAAATGTTTTACCCCACGCCATTGTTGAGTTTGAAAGTTAATTAATTGTAATGATAAGTAGATTAAATATTAAAAAAAAAACAGAGCCGGACTTAAAATTATTTTAAATAAATTGTGTTCAAATGTCCAAAACAAAAAAAAAATATTAAGTGTAGCACATCATTTTACTCAGGAGACCGAGTTCTTTCAAAACCTAGAATAAAAAATGTAGGCCCGTATTTAAAAAAATTAAGTTGGCCTATGTATCTCACAAATTATCAGCTAATTTGAAAATCTAAAAATACTATCAGATAGCTCTAATAAAGTGGTTATGAGCATGTGCAATTAGTTTTTTGATTTTCTAAGAAGTAACGACAGGAAAAAATAAAATTTGTTTTCAAAAAAATCCGTTTTTTCCAAAAAACTCAGCAATCCTTGAAATTTTTAAAACTTTTTTGAGGACATCTTGGGGAACATCCTAAAGCGCAACTTTGCCCCAATTTAACCATCTTCGTATCTATTACGGTTTCCGAGATACCAATGCTCGTACCTCGAATTTGTAGCACCCTGTATACTGTTATACTTGGTGTTTAGGAAAATATCGCTAACTATTAATTAAGTTAAATTCACTCCAGGTTTGAACCACTTTTCGAATATAGCGTTTTTAATCAAAGTTTTAGTAAATAAGAAATGGCAACACCGCATAGAGCTTCAAATAAAAATAGTACTACATGCAGAATTTTATACTGAATCCAATTATCTACAGAAAAATGGAGGGTAGATTTAAAAAAAACACTTATAACTTTATCATATCAAACTTCCTCGCACTAATGGGCCACCTTTATAGAGTATTCAGAAAGAATTCTTTGGGTAAGTAAATGTCATGATATTTAAAGTTTTCAAGAGATATTTTTTATATATATTTAAATGTTATTCTTACCTTAAAATTATGCTATTATGCTATTATTACCTTAAAAACTTGTCCAAAAAAACCTTGACCCAGTAATTCCCCCTTCACCAGATCTGATGCCCTAAACACCCTTTGAGGAGGTCGCGATTCCAAAAACGAATAAGCTCTCGATAATTCGAGGCATCTTTTGGAATTTGGAGCCCTAAAATATTAAAAAATTGACACTCAATTTACTTTAGGTCACGCGATTACGCCTACAAGTATTTACTTACTCATCCAACAATCTACTCATAGATGAACTTCTTTCTTTATCCAAAGTTTGATTCTTCTCAGCTAAATGATTCTTTCTCCTCAACTGCCTCGATCTAGTACCGCTCATATAACCTTCGTCTCTCCTTTTATATATTCTCTCTTTATTATCACCTCGATTTTGATTTTTGCGAAGATCGCCTTGCGATAAGCCATCACTTATCTTAGCGTTTGGATATGGTTCAGCGCATAAAGATTCACTAGAACCACATGATCTGAGATCTACAGGAATGTTTTGCTTTATTGGAATGTTAGTATCACTTTTTGTTGTTGCTAGCGGTGAAATAACAGGAGATAGCTGGTGTACTGGAGTGTATTTATGACATATTGATTCTGGATCGTGTTCTATTGTTAACTGAAAACAATATTTTAAACGTTATTAATTATATTATACATTACTTAAAAAATTATATAAAGTTTGCTTAAATACCTGCAACACAGTGTCTGAATATCTCAATAAATTTTCTACATTTTCCAAAGGAGTGTCTTTCACAGGAATCCCATTAATTTCCAATATTTTATCGCCAATGTGTAGAGACATTAAATCATTATTAACTTCTAACCTGAAAAAATGGGTCCATAAAACTTCATATTATTAATACATTATGTAGCCAATAAAAAAACTTAAATAAATCTAATGTTAATGTTCATGTTAATAAACCTACCTATACAAAGGAATGTTAAAGCAGCAAATGTTAAAAGCTGAAGTTAATAAAGCAAATGCCACCTCTAGAAGTTTCCCATGTATCTTCCACAGTAACCTATAGAATAGCAAATGGTATTATGCAATTAATATTTTTAGATTAATCAATAGAATTTTACTGCCCCACAAGAAAATTTGGCAATTTGTTATTAAAGGTTTCTGAAATAAAGCTTACTCTGAAATGGTGAGGGATTGACTATTTTCTGAAGCCATAACATCTTTAGACAGCTTTATGCCTTTTTGTCTTCCTGGCACTTCAACTAGACGAATGGAATGAGGTTTTCGAGCAAAAGGGAATTTTGCAGTTTTTTGTAAGGGTTGCATTTGTCGTTTGTAGCATTGCCCACTAAATATATTACAAATATATCAACAACTCATGAAGACAAATGATTAAAAACCTTACCAGTATAATTTTGACCTTTCTACTAAGGCATATGAATCTCCATCTCCTATAAAAGACCCACAGGACCCACAACAAAAACATTCTGGGTGAAATTTATGCTCTCCTGCCACCATAACTGGTCCAGTAATGATCTATCATAGAAATTTATTATTAAGTTCAAACTATTCATTCTAGACTAGTAGTAGAATTTACCTGGCTACACTGCTGGCAGGCTTCTCCGTATCTTGTCCAGTAATCATCTTTACAAAACAGGAGTCCATCTTTCTCAAAATACCAACTGGATAAGGCCGCATCGCAAGCTGAACATCTAAAGCAGTCTGTATGCCACTCCTGGCCCAGTGCTGAAATGACTTCTTCATCATCGAGTAAATTAAGACAACCAGAACAAATATTTCCATTTGATGCATGAGAAGCTGTATCATCAAAATCTACAATTACAGATAGAATTAGTTCTCCGGTCAATTTCATGTCCTTTATGCATATTTAAGAAAAAACTAAGCCCTATTTATTTAAACAATAACAGAATATAACAATAATTACTAATGAAGCCACAATTACACCACACAAAACTAAAATATAAACAAACCAAACAAAATGTTTAAGGAAGGATAACTAAAGAACAAAAACATTTATGGCAATATAAAATTTCGTTAACAATAAAATTTATTTTTAAGATAAAATTAAGTTACAATAATTTAAACATATCAATCTGGGCAAAATAAATACCATGTTTTTCATCCACATTTCCTTGTCATCCCACGCAAATAAAAGTTTTTTTTAATTCCTGAATTGAAAAGAAAAGTAAAGGAATGTAAATAGAATAAACGGAAAATATTAAAATATTCACATATATAAAATGTAATGTTTAAACTTACCATTTTCCGGATCTTCTTGCATCTTCTTTTTAATTTTCTACATTTAATTTTCTTCTCTTGGAACAATCACTGATCACTGACATTTTGTAAAACCAAATTTACACTAGGTAAACAGGGTTGCCCATCATCATTGCTCACATAGAATAACTAACTGAATTGCTCAATTCAATTCAAAAAAAGAATTGGTAAAGGTGTGGATCCGGTGGCTGACCTTGAAGCCCATATTTGCTGCTTTTGATCATCGATACTACGCAAGCGCACATCGTCGAGGTTGCCAAATTGCAGTTTATTTTCGAATTATTTGCAGTTGAAAATTTTTTTTTGAGTGTTGATCAATAATAATACAAATTCTATAATTAATTTTATAATTTCAGATTTATCTTGATATCCAAATTTGACAAATTAAGGAATGATATATAAAATGGAATGATATATAAAATTGTAATAATAATAAAACATTTATTTATATATTTACATTAAAATTAAAAATTATCATTTACTGATTTTTTCTTAATGGTTTTAAACTTATTAGAATTATTTTATTTCTAGTTATTTACAGGCAACAATAGTTTTGATTATATATATTGATGTATTGAAGTACTACCAACGTACTACCATGACGAGTCTTATAGAACAATATACGTCAATGGGAGATAGAGGTAACATTTTACCTATAATGTTACTAATATAATATACTTTGATTATAATGTTGGTATCATAATTTCTTAAAAATATCAAGTTAGTGGATTAATAGCAATTTTAGACATATATTTTATCGAAGAGTTGTGGTGATAAGACTAAAATAAGCTTTATGTTTTATCTTTTTCTCTTTAGAAGGGAGATGGTTTGTGTCGTAGAATACTTTACAGTATTTAATATCGTATACTTTGATATTCTTTTCTAAATTTACTGTAATTTCTTGTTTCCTATAATGCCAAATCTTGAAAACATGGTAAAGGTTGAGTTTTCATCTTATTAGTTTTATACCTGTGTTTATACAAGACCAAATTAAGACTTAGTTTGTGATTTATATTAAGATCTTTCTTATATTTGTTATGTCTTAATCTTAATACTATATTATGCTTTGTCTGGAAAATAATTGTTAAAATATCTTAATTTTGCATATCCTATTCCATCCTTCCATTAGGAAAAAAATGGTTTATAAATCATATATCACAGATGCTAAGAAAATCACATAAATTAGGTGTAAGAATAGAGAAATCTTAAGGTAGCAGAAAAATTAATGCAATATATGTATAAGCAGATTAAACAAGGTAACTATTAATGTTGCTGAAGCTGATTCTACCATTTTAATTACGGAGACTAAAAGGCCACCGTAGTTTTGATGGAATGTTAAAAAAAACTATTATGAACATGACATGGAGCTACAGCATTTAAAAATTAAAAAAAGAAAAAACTTGGACACATCCCTTTTAATTTCCCGAATTTTTAATAAAGCCCTTTTTAAACGTAGCATAATAATCTAGAGCAATTAGATTAATTATAGGAATCTAGAGTTTTATTTCTATTTAATTTTATTGATTATGAAAATACATAATAAACGCTCACGTGTTGTGCGAAATATTAAAATAATAACATAAATAATATACCGCGTACTATGATTGAAAAAAAATAGCGTCAGTGATGACTATGAAATGAAGATCGCTGTCATTTTATATGGGAAATGTCCTTAATCGTCATTTCCCAGCCAACTGGACGCCGTTTTTTCTATCATACGGTATATTATAGGTCTGTTCTCAGAAGAATCCCTGACTAGTCAGCGCGTTTCTTATTGGTTGAAATGTGTAGAAACCAGACTAACAATCAGGTTTCTACACATTTTAACCAATAAAAAACGTGCTGACTAGTCAAGGATTCTTCTGAGAACAGATCTTATATTGACAAAAAAACACTGAAAAGCACATATTTGTTTTCTACTGAAAATAATTCCAAAATAACTTGCAATCTGGCAACATCCAAGATGTGCGCATGCGTAGTGTCTGTGACTATATGCAGCAAAAACTCGTTTCAAGGTCAGCCACCGGATCCACACCATTACCAAAGAATTTGTTCTTTTTATATAAAACATCTAACCAAAGGTCATTCCTTATGTATTTAAAAAAAATAATCATTAATTGGTTTAATTTACAGTGTTTTAATGGTAATATTTTAAAGTTTTATAATATTAGTTATATAGTATTAGAGATTTTTATTTTTTTCATATTGTCGCCTTGTTTATTGAAATTGAAAGTTATCAGCTGCTGTCAGCTGTTTTTATAGCCAAATTTGACAAAATGCCAGAGTTTATGAGTCGTGTTTGAATTGAAATTATAAAAAGTACCGATCATTTTCTAGAGAAATGCATAAATCTTCTGCAATTTAATTTATTTCTTTTATTATGTGACGGATATTAGAATAAGTTACCATCTTCGTCCTATACAAAGATTTGTAATAGAGTTTGTAGATTCAAATTTTGATCATAAAAATGGTTAGAGGTAAGTAAAATAATAATTGTATAGTTTATTAAGATAGAATAAAAAAAGTAAATTTACGTTAAAGGGCCGATGTTCTTTAATTATATGGTCATTTTAATTGTTCAATAAACGCCCATAACCTCAAATCATATTAATATTTGTACTATGAGAAGGTTAAATTAAACCACAAGCTAATTTCTAAATATATTTATAGCTTTAATTAGATACATTTAAACAATAATTTAGATCACAGAAAACATTAAATTATTTTTTTATATCAGTATAGAACATAATTATGTATTTTCTGGTTATTTTAAATGTTGAGGGGTTTAAACAATCTTGTTTAAATTAAAATTCTCTAAAAATTGAACTCTTTCCAGATTTAGGTCTATCATCCAATTCTCTCTCTTTCATTTCATCTAGAAATAATATATGATAAAAATACTAATATATTATACATAAATATAACACTTATAACAGCTAATATAAAATAAAAACAGAAGAATATCAATACGATTTACGTAATAAATATCAAAAATTATATACAATTACAATGTACACTATTATTTTTTGTATCTACCTATCTGGAATAATTTTTTAAGTGTATTTTATTGGTTAGTCAAATTTGTATTGAAGTCGAAAATTTTTAAATTTACATCACTGCTATGCACCATACAAGTATAAATACCTACTATCTTTTAACTCTCAACTACTGGTATTACCGGTATAGTCTGTAAGCCGGTCCAACAAGTTAGGAAGGATTTCGACAGACGAAATCCAAAAAATGACAGAAAATAAAATTTATCTGTGAATTAAAATGAGTGACACAATTATCACTGTCGGGGATCTTTAAAATCTTCTTGGTCTGTCACCGTTGGACAGACCATAGGTATGCTATTGTATGCTCATGCTCATTAAAATGAATAACAATTATTCAGTAAAATGTGTATGTTATTATATTATATTATTAGTCCAACGTCCAACACTAATTGCAGTATAAAAAATCCGGCAATTTCGCAAGGAAGAAATGGATCAACCCAGTCTTTGTCTCTTTAACATGTTTCCATTGATGCGTGTAATGCGTCGCATCCCCTCAAAATATTCTAATACGTTTTTATTTAAAAAAGTCACTGAGATCTCCTATCATATATTAAAATTCTCAGTAAATGTATTCAATTAATTAAAGTCAATTTCAGTTATTTAATGTGTGTATTGGTCGAGCTTTATAGATAACGTTAAAACCTACCCTAAACGCTAAAAATAAAAATATCTCGACAGCGCCATGCTGCGACTGTCCTCGTTACATCTTGAACGCTCTCGAACGCTAGCCGAGGTTAGTGAACTTTCCGCCCGCAATTACGTCTCCTGTTCGCTGTTTTAATCGGTGGGTGATGCAACCGCAAAAACACATCTTGTTCGCGGTATAAAATAAAAAATATCGTCGCGCGTCGCGATGACCGATTCTGAAATGCGGCTGTAAAGAAATAATTTTGCAATCATTCTTCAGTTCTATCAAAGTTTACATATTTTGTTCTGTTAACTTTGGTTCTATGGTGTATTGAGAAAAAATCAAAACTCTTGAAGAAGGACCTCTAATGCATATTTTGAATATTAATACTAAATTAAAATTGTGTATTTGTCATTTTAGTGGAAATGTTTATAAAAGTGAACACTGGTAATCTGTGAACTATGTGGTTGTATAGTGATGTAAACTTTAGTTACTTTTATGGACTCGTAACTACTAGTTAGGTACTTTTGGTAATAGGACTCGTTACTTTAGTTACTCGTTACTTTGGTACTTAGTATCGTTACTTTATAATCGTTGTTTTGTGTAGAGGTTGGAAGACTTGGGCTGACGTGGAACTTCGTTACTTATTGTGCGCGGCGATCTTCGTTGCATGCTCGGTTTAACCTATAAGGGGTTTCTACTTTCTTCTAGTGTAAGGGCTTAATAGGATAATTTAAGTATATAAGTATTTTTTTACTCTCTCTCTCTCTCTCTCTCTCTCTCTCTCTCTCTCTCTCTCTCTCTCGGCGGATTCATCTCTTCAGAAAAGTCCTTTGGATTAACGCAGCGGTGTTTACTAAAAATTACTATTTTTATTTTGTAGATTTTCTTACAGTGTAAGTGGCGAAATATCTATTCTCTTTTGAAGAAGAAAAATATTTGCTCTGCTTTTTCAGATGTTAACATTTTTGTGACTAACGTGAATCCATTTTTAATTAATATCTAAGACATGCTAATCTAAATAAACAATTCTATTCTATAAATAAAAAGCGACAACTAACGGCAAAGGGAGGGACAGACCGCCTCCGGGTCGGCATGAGCCAATCATAATAATTGTAATAAAAATATCACACATTTGCCATCTAAAACACCGGCCGGCGTCAAGTCAACACTTTAAACATAAACATATTGAAACAAGGATTCCAGGGATTACGATTACTGCCGGCGCAAAAGTAACGAATTAGCTTAGTAACGAGTAACGAGTCCTAAATTCAAATAGTAAGCGTTACTTCGAGTCCTCGTAAAGTAACTGTTACTTTGTAACGATTACTTAGAATTTTTACCATCACTAGGTTGTAAGGCACTCAATAAATAGATGCGTTCACAGCTTTGTTTTTTTACCTAAATTTAGTTCTTTTTTAAATTGGCTCGGTTGTTTTTTAACCAGTGACATTGACTTTTATATATTTTTTTGTAAATTCAAAATTAAAGACTTTAATAAAAAAAGAAAAATACTTTATTGTGTTGGTAAAATGTTATTTGCAGTTACTTATTACATCCCCTTGTATTAACGCCACGCCACGCCGCTGATAATAAGGATATCTCTAACATTATCTTAAGGTATGTTCCCACAAACATCCAAACTGGTGAGAAGCTTGTCAAATGTAGTTATCACACCAAGTCATAGATATGTCGTAAACAAAATAGATTAAAACTAATTCGGTTGACTGTTCACTATTTTAGACGGTTTTCTGGTGCTGTGGTAATGAACCTTTAAACTTTAAAATTCAGACCACATATAGTTGGATTAAACCATTCGATTAACGATAGAAAAAAGAAACGGCGTCAGAGCGGGCTTGGAAATGATGATCGCAGTCATTTTATGTGTAAAATTATAGGGACTGTCATCGATTGTCATTTGCAGCCCAATCATATGACGCCGATTCTTATCGATCATTATAATATAGCAGAAACAAAACGATGTACTTAAGTTAACTTACTTAATTTTGACATCGCCGATGCTCCAGTCACAGTTGATAATATGTCATCCACAGATTGACCTGTACAAGTTGTAGACGATTGTTGACCGTTTTGAGAAGATGCTGCACGCATTGCTGATCCTTGTTCTACATTATAGAAATAGAATATTGGATTGGAAAGGAGTAAAATAAGTAGGTATAGTATTTTGAATCTGCAGTTGTTACTTAGCCCAATTTCAGGAGGATGGATATTCTTTGAGAGATTTCAAAATGGAAAGTTTACATAAAGATAGGTCTAGGAATGTTTCGGCATGTTTCCATTTGAATATGTTAGATATTTTTGTTGAAATTTGACATTGGTATTTATTGTAGAGAGGGACTTATTTAACCCTGATTTGATTTAAATTATTAAGACCAGTAGCGTTCCTCTTTTGAAAAACTGATGATCATCACAAGAAAAAAGAAAATGCGACGGGTCGTGTTCATGCTCGGTACAGGGTGTCCCATTTTCGTGTGTTTTATGGGATTTTTCGATTATGAGTAGAGATGCAAAGATGCGGTTTTCACCATACAATTGTAGCTTTTTTGGGTAATGTTTAGTTATGTTACTTTTATTCTCTTATCTATGGTTACTTTTCATTTTTTAGATTTATGCGTCATTAGCGCCACTGTGGTCATTTGGTGAACGTTCTTACATTTTTGTGACCACTTTTTCCAATAAAGTCCCATAAGAGATATTTCTCCTCATTTCTACACACCATACTTATAACTTATCGAAAAGGTGAAAACTGAGTCCCGTAGAGTATTTTACCAGAGTAAGTAGTCGCCGGGTAGCGACAGAAACCGTCGGTTCTTTTGATGTGGTGGGACCTTTGAATAAAAAGACTAAGGAAGGAGCATAATGTTATCCATGTATTCATGCATGGTGGGCGGAAAAAGGACTCTAGGGTGGGGATCCTTGACAGTTCTGTTTGACGATTCATTTGACACATTTGAATTTGATTTGAAATTTTGTGGATTTGTCAGTCTTTACGGAGCTTATTTTATGTCATTTATTATTTATTCTACTACTGATAGTTGTATAAAGGTAGTAAATCTAGATGGAAATTGTGGCAGAACTTAAATTAACAGTGACACTATCGCGATTTATCGAAACAGACTCTAAAATAGTTGGATGTGTAGCGTGCGGTAGATCTCGGCAAAAATCGAGTGAAATAATGGAACAACTTTTCGCTAGTAAGTGACTATATAATATACATACCTGTAGTAAACCGATCATTTATGAAATTCACTTAAATTAACTAATTATATATTTTTTCTTGCATTTTTGCTTTTATTTACTACTTGTCAAAGATTAGATGTCAAAGAATTTAGATACGTCAATTTTACTTACCTGCTTCAGTAGCGTATCGGATGTTTGTGTTAATAAATAATTATTAAAACTTATCTATTTTTATTATAATAATATGTTTTTATAACAATTTTAATAACTACCAACATTTATTCACAACGTAAAATAAAAAAAAAATATTGAGTCTACTCCACGTCTACCCTACATCATAGTTTTATATTTTTTAAATAAAATTAGAACGGCACTGATAAACCGGAATTTAAGTCGGCCATATTTGAATCCCATTGCGGTGGACCTAAGATTTTTGATATGCTCCTTCTTTAGTCTTCTTATTCAAAGGGTGGGACCAAATTTTCTTTCTGTCTCTTTTGACGTGTTTGACAGATAGACTATGTATTTAACTGCTCAACTTATGAAGTGGTCCTATAAACATGGTATACACTGCTCATAATTTGAAGTGGAATTAATTATAAAGTTTTATACATATTTTTTTTGTTTTGTTTGATCCTTATTTTTAAATTTGAATGTATAAAATATCTTACAGCTAATAAATAATTAAAAAAATGATTCGTTGCCTGAGGCATACTTGAAATAAAGTATATAGAGATATTTGATAAATGGCAACAGTGGCAACTTCGCTTCTTCAAATGACAGATAACCTTAAAGAGATAGAGATAACCTTAAAAGATAACCTAAATTTCCGGTGAAACAGGAAGTGACCAAAAACAATTGAATACGTCAATCAATTTGCTGGTATTTTAATTGTAGCTCTGGCTAGGCCGTATTATAAATTTTACTAATTTGATGGTAGGTTTTTCAAATAACTTTTAAATGCCGATTCCAAATAAAACGAAATTCTGAACAAAAGTACAACTTTAACGCCTCTTCGAAAAAGTCTAATACAACTTTTGTATGAAATCATCTGGGGAGATAATATTTGACCTTTTCAAAATTTACATGGGATTTACGCGTGACAATTTGTTTTTTTTTCAGTGTTGTGCAAAAATATATTTCAGTGCAAAAATATAGCTATTGTTATTTGTTATGATTACCCAGGCCTCTGGATTGGCTTCTTTTAGGATCTTCTAATTCGGTTTTTAAATCAGCTTTGTCTGTAGAATTGGCCGCAGACACGTAAGAGCTGGTGAAGTTAGAAGTGACGCTGTGAGTGGAATAAGCAATCGGGGTAGTTGCGGAAGAGGAACCAGGTGGCATCTGTGTTTTGATTAACCTGGTTGGTTCTTCTGGTGTGTTATCGCAAGGGCATTCAGTGGGGTCAGTTAGAGGGGTCAGTCTAAAAAAGAGTGATTTTTTAAACTTTTATAAGTTTAACTGTATCCTATCTCAGGTCACAGTCACCCATACTGGGTCCGACAAAATGTGTCAGGTATCTGTAGCTTCTATAATAAAAAAGTTAGGAATTTTGTTTAAGTGCAAACCTAAAGTACGTACTAGGATGTATTTCAGGAAAATATTTTAACTTCTGCAGGATAACTCAAAAAAGTGAGTGGATCGGGATAATTTTTTTTAAATGGAACACCATGTATATTATTACATTTTTGACTTCCTTTATGATCACTTTACATAATCCTACGATTATTAAATATGTTTTGACAGTTCCAGAGATATTAATAAATAAATAAAAACACTTTACATAATCCTAAGATATTATTAAATATGTTTTGACAGTTCCAGAGATATTAATAAATAAATAAAAAAAATATGAGCATTTTAAAAAAAATATATTAAAAATACAATAAAGATCCTGAGATCAAAAATATACTGGGTATTTACTATAGTTGGTCTGTACTTACTTTCCTATAAATATTGTAATCTTAAACCAAACAGGGTGTTCATTTTTTAACTGGAACACCCTGTATATTATTTCTTTGTTGTTTGACAATTAAAAAACGAACATTTTTTTGTATAAAGTAGGTACAAATTATTTCAAAAATTTTAACGGTTTTGCTAATATTTGTAATATTACATTACATATGGGTTTTTCTACAGTAATTTTTTAACAAAGTTACCTAATGGTTTTTGTCTGGTATTTTACAGTTGAAAGAGCCATAGTAATAAAAACGCGAATATTAGCGAAACCACTAAAAAATTTAAAACACTTTAAATACAAAAAATGTTAATTTTTTAATTCTCCGTCTAACAAAGGAATAATATACAATGTTCCATTTAAAAGAAATTAATAAAATTATATTTTATATTTTAGAAAGTTTGGCATATAATTGTGAACACCCTGTATGGTTTAAGATTACGATATTTATAGGAAAGTAAGTACAGACCAACTATAGTAAATACCTAGTATAGTTTTCATTTCAGGACATTTCTTGTATTTTTAATATTTTTTTTTAAAAATAATATATCTTAAATACAGGGTGAGTTTCCTACGATGTTCTCTATGGGCATCTCGAAAACTACTGGAGATAGAGAGTCGGTTAAATGGGAAAAGAATTGCCGTTTTGTGGGGTCATAAATATGTGCCTTTCAGATTTTTGAAAAAGTTCATGGCTTACTAGATATTTCGAAAAAAACAAATTTTGGCTATTTTAAAAATTGTCCCTAATTCCATTACAATTTATTTTAGACAAAAAGTGTTCAGATAAAAGTTGTAGATAATCACATTCCTAATGAGTTTGTGTTCTCCGATTTTTCATAAAACCTGTCATTTTTGACATATGACACAAACATATGTTTTTTTAAATGGAAATCATAGTTGGCCATGACTTCATAAAAAGCGCCATTTTTTAAGCTTTTATGAAGTGAAAGTTTTATGAAAATGTTTAAAAAATCCGCAATTATTTTGAGTACATAAATGCATCTTTTTAAAACTGAATTTCTAGCTATTGTCACAGAACGACCGGTCGACTTAATTAAACTTCTCCTGTTCCGCCTCTTCGAGTGCCTCTCTTAATTCATAAGTTTTTTTGTAAACCTTGTTGTTAACCATACCGCATAAAAAAATCTAAAATGGATAGGTCAGGTGACCGAGGAGACCCATGCAATTGGTCCACCTCCCTGAGTCTATATAATTATGATATAAATAATTTTTTAAATAACATTTCTTTCATTGTGGGGATGTTGGTGCGTCATAATGAAAGTCATGTTGGAACCACTGTATTAATGCGCGAGTATCTAAATTTAACTTTTCTAACATGTCTTGAAAACCGTTTTCTAAAAAACGTAACGTTCACCGGTCAACGTATCCTCGAAACTGTATGGCCAAGAAAAGTTGAACCAATAATTCTACACGCTGTTCTTTATTTAAAAAACTCTTATTTACAATTTTTGTTTATGTTAATTTACAAAGATTGGATGTGACAATTTCACATTTCTGAGAGCAACGACGATTAAACTTGTTTCCATGGCTAACTAAGTGAAATTAGTCAAGAAAGATAAGAATTGGTTATAACTCAGTAATTTTGTGAAAGAAACATAGTATAGCTTATATCGTTGAAAAGCTTAAAAAAGGGCGCTTTTTATGAAGTCATGGCCAACTAAGGTTTCCATTTAGAAAAACATATGTTTGTGTCATATGTCAAAAATGACAGGCTTTAGAAAAAATCGGTGAACACAATCTCATTAGGGATATCTACAACTTTTATTTGAAAACTTTTTGTCTAAAATAGATTATAATGGAATTAGGGATAATTTTTAAAATAGCCAAAATTTGTTTTTTTCGAAATATCTAGTAAGCTATGAACTTTTTCGAAAATCTGAAAAGCGCATATTTATGACCCCACAAAACTGCAATTCTTTTCTCATTTAACTGACTCTCTATCTCCAGTAGTTTCCGAGATACCCATAGAGAACATCGTAGGAAACTCACCCTGTATAAATATCTATAAAAAAAAATTTAAAATATCTCTTTGTAAAAAGGCTGATTTTTTTTATTTATATATTAATATCTCTGAAATTATCAAAATATAGTTCATAATATCTTAGGATTATGTATAAAGTGATTAGAAAGTTAGAAAGGAAGCCAAAAATCATCCCGATCCACTCACACTTTTTTGAACCACCCTGTAGAAGTTAAATATTTTTCTGAAATACATCCTAAATGCGTACTTTAGGTTCACACTACAAAGGAAAGTTTTCGAAATCTGTATTTTGATCAACAATATGCTAATAATTTAGTTAATATTCACTCTTACCCTGGCGGAATATTTTCTCCGGTACCAGTACCAATTTTTTTGTTCATGATGTCGTCAAGATCCGCTTGAGTTTTTTCTACAAGGTTCCTCAGCTTGTTAGAACTGTCTACCAGCACGCTGTAATGTGACTGGATCTCTTCGATGGTCTTATCATAATTGTTCTTCGCCTTGATGCGCATCGAAAGACTCTTGTTAATCTTAGAAATATTAGAAAACATTATACAGGGTGAGTTTACGATGTTCTTTATGGGTATCTCGGAAATTACTAAAGCTAGAGAGTCGGTCAAATGGGGAAAGATTTGTGAGGACAGATACCGAGTGTGTTTCAAAAGTGACTCACACCTATAATTTTTAGTGTTCCGTACCCAAAGGGTAAAAACATGAACCCTATTACTAAGACTTCGCTGTCCGTCCTCCGTCCTTCACAAAGGCCTATTTTATGAACCGTTATACCTAGACAGTTGAAATTGTCACAGATAATGTACCTATGTTGCCGCTCTAAGAACAAATACTAAAAACAGAATTAAATAAATGTTTATAAATAAAAAAGTACTTTCACTAAACATTATCTTTTAAGTAAGAATTTTACATAGAATCTTTCATGTGCCGCGTGGTTAAAGCGTTAGGACTTTACGGTGCTATATGACGTTGGAGCCGTAATAAGACAGGTTCGAATCCTAGTCAAGACGACTTTTTTTAATGTTAATTTTTACATATTTTTACATATTTATTATTGATTAATACAATTTTTAGTAATGTGTTTCCTCATTTTTTTTAAATTACTTATACGCGCAATCAAAATTTCAGCTAAATCGGAAAAAAGGTTTATAATAATATAGCGCCTAATATTGTATAGATAATGAATGGTACGGAACCCTTCGTGCGCGAGTCCGACTGGCACTTGACCAATTTTTTTATCTTTTCAGATAAAAAAAACGAGTTTTGTTATGTTACTATACGACATAAATTAGGATCGATTGACGTATTCAATTGTTTTTGGTCACTTCCTATTTCACCAGAAATGACTACAACTTTTGATTTTTGAATGCCACCTTCGGTATTTTTTTACTTTATTCGATAGAAAATGGCATTCTGAATAGAATGCCATATTATATGTCAATTTTTTACATTTTTGCTTAATAAAAAATCGTATTTTAAATTTCAATCTAGAGTGCCATGGCTATGTTAAAAACACTAATTTTTAATCAAGGAGCTTTGGAAAAATAGATTTGATCGTCTAACGTTATTCGTGTCTTATCCTGGCCGGTTAAAAGATGCCCAAATCGTATTTTTAGTCATATCTCAATTTTTTCAAATGGACCGAGGGTGGCTCATTAGCATATTTGGAAAAAGACGATTTTTTTACGAATAATTTGATACCCCACACTTCGTATTTCGAGTCAAATTGTCGCTATGAAACTAATTTCAAATAAACCATATGCGAAAATGTCAAAAGTTGACATATTATATGCCATTCTATTTATAGTGTCATTTTCTATCGAATAAAGTAAAAAAATACCGAGGGTGCCATTTAAAAATCAAAAGTTGAAGTCATTTCCGGTGAAACAGGAAGTGACTAAAAACAATTGAATACGTCAATCAATTTTAACTTATGTCGTATACTAACATACCAAATCTCGTTTTTTTACCTGAAAAAAATTAAAACGTTATAGGGGTGAGCCACTTTTGAGGCGCACTAATATTTTTAAACCAAATTCGTCTTTGTCTTACCAAACAGAGCTTATACGTTAATTTTTCTATTTCTATCTCTATTCTCTTTCGCTCTTGATATTGTTTTTGAATTATATCTTCCAAAGTTTGTCTTTCATTTTCGATACCGCACAAATACCGCACAATATCCTCGTTATTACTGGATAGTTTGTGTCCGGTCTCTTCTATACACTTTTGAGACATCACTGGTCATTTATACACTACTAGATGTGTATTGCACTATCTAATTTTGCTTACAACAATTTAGCTTTGTGTTTGTAAATAAATACTGTCAATAATCAAACTGATTGATCGATTGTCAAGTTAGAAATATACAGAATCATAATAAATTCATTCTGATATACAGAATTTCCAGAATATTAGCAGACGCCTGGAAAAAGTTAGTTATAAAATATGATTTGTTTAATTAAATTCAACAGATAATAATAGTACAATAAGGATTGGAAGAACTATTTCGCATTTTTCACACTCCTACTTACAAGATCGCCATAGTGATTTACTTTTACACATGTAAATACCGATCCTTCGACGACTTCTTTTGCCGATATGGTATAGTTTGTCCAGTGTAAGAATATACGACAGTGGCAGCTGTTTTAAAGGGGAAATTGATTTTCTGTCGTTTTTGTATGTCGTCTGTGGATATCATAAGATGTTCTTCTAGCTGGATATAAACACAATACAGGGAGGTCCGAATTGTATTTCGGAAACTTATAAAAATTATTAAAAAAGTTCGTATAAATGTATGTCCTAAAATGAAGATTTTTTCCAAATCAATTTTTAAGCTACGTCAATATTTGTATGAAAATTGGTGTCTGGGAGTTTGTTGAAAAGAAAAAAAATATTTTGAAGTAAATATGACACCTACTTGTAGAGGGCGCCACCTACATATTTTTAACTGGTTTGAAGAGTAATAAGTTTTCGTCCGTATCTGTATAAAACTACTGAGTTAAAAAATATATATTTACGAGGTTTTTTACGCAAAAAAGGTTTCTTTGCAAACCGGTACGAGTAATGGTTTTCGAGATTTTTGGAATCTAAATTATCAATACCTGTCATCATTGACATACATAAATTAAAAATGTTGACAAAATAGTTATTAGGCTGAAATCTTAAATTTGAAATGTTTTTGGGCCAAAAGTTCAACAGAAACTGTTTTATCATCATTTTTTCGAAGAGAGATTTATGATTAATTTAAAAAAATAAAAAGTTCCCAAATTTATCATTTCAGTCAAACAGCTATCTATTCAACATGTTTATTTTTTTTATCAATAATGACATGTATTGCCTATTACCATTCTAAATATCTTGAGAACGGTTGCTCGTAGCGATTTTTACCAAGAGACATTTCTTACGTAAAAAATCATGGAAATGTATATTTTCTCACTCGGTAGTTTTATACAGCTACGGACGAAAAGTTATTCTTTAAAACAGTTAAAATACCTGTAGGTATAGCCCCCTACAAATAGAGGAGCCATCTTGACATCAAAATCAAATTTCTCATGTCAAAAAACTCCCACACACAAATCTTCATCCAAATATTGACGTGACTTCAGAAATTATTGGGAAAAAATCGAAATAAAAATGAAATTTGTACACCCTGTATCTCCGAAACTAAGCATTTTAGGACATAAATTTATACGAACTATTTTTACTTATTTTTATCTGCTGAATATGCTGCCGAAGTTTCCGGAATACAGTTCAGACCATCCTGTATATAGTATTAATATTTCAATACTTAATACATGTTTTTCTCTCAATTCACAGCTGCTAGCGTGGTAACTACACCTCTGCAAATACAGACGCGTCGGCAGAAGCTGCTAGGGGGGGTAAATTCACCCCCTACACCTCACAGGATCGAGCTACGCAGCGAAAGCAACGAAGACATAGCCTCCAAGGAACCTCTTATTATATGTCAACCTCCTGCGCCAAAAGCACGAAAAAAGTAAGTTTTTTCTTCATATGTTGTCTGGCTCGATATTATTCGTATTCACTAATATTAGTTTTACCCACCCCCCTCCACTTTGGCCGCGTGGGTCTATTGTGGCTCAGTTTCTACAAGCTTTTTAATAGAAAAAGAGTGTTAAAGTTCACCCTCAAGACCCAACCTTTTAACATAGGCTGTTATGTCCGAGGGGCTGATATGTCTCCTAAGTCTAGCGTGGTTTTGCCAAACATCTCAAACCTGGTCTTACTTCCAGCGGGACAGGTACAATAACGTGCCTTCATTGTTTCGTCATCTTCCATACAGAGTCCATACAGAGTCGGCCTAACCTAACCTAACCAGCCTTTAAGAGTTCTCCTGTTCTACGCTTGGATGGCTCTGCTAGGATTTTCTTGTCATTCCGGGACTGTCATTCCAGTCCCGAAACGTCGCACAGTGGTTCCAAATGGTGAAAAAGTGCCGCATGTGATTTTATTGACTTAATTTTTTGGTTAAGGGATACATTTTGTAATTGATTTTGTGGAGCACAAAGTTAAGGTTTCAAGGTATTAAAAAACGTCAATTGTGAAGTCCTTAACATCCGCAAGACCAGGACGACTGCTCTACATCCACGCGTCAGCTGCACTCTTTTATTTATAACTGCCCTCTCTAGGCCACAGCCGCCGGCATTTATACCTACAGCTAAAGATTTCTAGAATAGTCCATAGATCGTTAGGTGCATAGAGAAGGTTTCGAATGTTCTCGTATGTACTACTCCATTCCAGTGGGACTCGATTCTTCTCGAATCTTCGAATGAATCATTACGGTGTCTTTCTTTAATGCGATGTTAAGGTCATCCGAGGGCGGGTCATATAGTTAGGTTAGGTCGAGTCCACACCGGTCCGCAACAATATGAATCGCTAGTTAAAAAACGCCATCTTCAAACTCATTAGTAATTTCGTCATCTTCATCATTACTTGTAGAATTGTCCTCGTCAGAACTCATATCGTACCCCACACCCATCATGGCATTGTTAACAGAAGTTTCCTCATTGAGAAAATCTAGAGGTAGGTGTACATTTTCATCCTTTTTTGTTGTCTTTGATGACAACTGAAATTTCTTGAATAAGAAAAAAAATAGAGGATCAGATGTTAACATAAATCTGTTAAAAATATCTTCTAAAGTGTCTTTCCGAGAAATCTTTCTTGAGAAGTCTGTACGATATCTTTTAAAATCTTTGTTGCGGGCTTCTTGTGGTTCTTCACTCAATGCTCCTAAATTAAAAAAATAATTATTGTTTGGTATTAAAGTTTTATAAGAAATATTACCTACTGGAATGAAAGGAAATTGTTTCATGTACTCATGTCCATGGTAAAGAATTTTATGAACTGTTGGTGAAAACGTGAATTGAGGGTAGGTTTTGTGAAAAAGTTCAGCAGTTTCACGTGCATAATTTTCATAAGACTCAGGTGAAATAATTCTGTTGCATGATATCGCAGCTAGGACATTCGAGAACCTTTCAATAATAGGTAACTCTATCCCTATAATTTCAGATGTAACTTTCGAGTTCTGAAAAAATCTCCTAGCTGTATTTCCGTCATGGGAAATACCAAACCCTGGTTTTGGTTTACCTATGTTTAAACCAGTTTTCTCTTTAAACTGCTTTTGTATTATTTTCTTTTTAGTTTCTTGTTCTTCCTTCGTAGAGGCCAGTCTAAAAATAAATTAAATATAGATGGATAATGCTTGCTGACATGACAGCAACTTCTCATCTAACTAACAATGTTTAATTCTCTCATCTAATATACATACTTGTATGAACATCTCAGTAAAAATTCCATGGAGTTAATTTTTGCATGCAAAGGGGATATTCCAAATTTCAAAACATCTGCATTGGTTTGGCTCGGCAAATTATTCAAAGTTTTTGGTCCAGCTAGACAAACAGGGCATCTCTAAAAGTACAATAGGTTTAAACATTATGCAGAACGTTTAAAATATTATATTTAACAAAAACTCATTTACCGAAGTTGCAGCATTTTTGCACACCGCATTTATTATTTTTCCATCTACCATTGTACAGTAGAATCTATGTCTTACAATGACTTCTACGCTATTATTAATTTTTATTTTACTGTCCTGTATTTCCACAATTTCCTTCATCACTCTAGAATACTCTGTTAGAATTGTATTACAGTCTTCCTTGCAGAAAGCCATTCTCATTGGTCGACATAAGCTAAAATTTGAAAATGTAATTTATCAAAAATATAGATTAGGCTCCTCCAAATTCTAGTCTAAGTCTAATAACTCGACGAAATTTAGATAAAATTTGATATGTAGTAACATATTGATGTAGTTGGTAGGAAAAAAGGCTCATAAATTTCAGGTTTCCAATCTTCATACCCTTTTTCTTCAGTATTTTTAATCATACCTTGAAGAATTTGGATTTTCATTTCTCCAAATAACATCTTTCTGAGAATCATCTCTATATGTTAATGAAATAGGCACCAAGTTAGTACAAAATACAGTAGAATCGGAATTTTTTGGATCCATAAATCGTTGCTTAAATTCCGAATGACCACTGCTTCCATCCATACCCCATTTATGTGTGGCAATAATATCACATGTACTATTCAGATCAGCAATATTAATTAAAATTCGTTCTACTGTGGTATCAACTAAATTCTGAAGAGTCACTTTGGCTTCAGTTTCAGTAAAATCATCAGGATTTAAAACAGGATAGCTCAACTTTTTATATTTAAGTATCTCCTGGTATGAAGGGTACAGATCCGTACCTGATGAAAAACATAATGAAAAAAAAATATTTATACAAATTGCGAATTAATGAAATTACCTTTCCAAAGTGTAGCTGACCGCATGTTTTGGTACTGTGCCTTTGTTTGCTTGCTGTTGATTATAAATAAAGCGATGGCTTCATTAGGCGTAAATTTTTTGGGAATATTTTGTTTCAAAGCAGCCAACATTCATCCGGAGAAGAAATAGCGGCTGAAACTGCTTTAGCAACATCATGTTTATGTTCCTTTTTAAGAACAGAAACGGTTGCGTAAGCAAGGATGTCTGAAGTATAATTATCTCTGACGTCTATAATGAAGTAATTAATATATGGTAAATACAGTGCACAAAATTGAAATAAAAAAATCACCTTTCGTAGTTCTGTCTTTTTGAGATTTGGATAAATCGGAAAAACATTTTCTTTTTGATGGACCGGGTTCCGATTCCCCAGTGCATTGCGAATTTTCGTCTATAGCTACGTCACTGAATACATTTTTTTCTAACCAATCAGCATTTTTCAAACTAAATTTTTGCCAAGAATAAGATGAATCTCTCCATCTTTTGGTCCATTTTTGAATGAATGATTTGAGTATTTTCTTAGCGGATTCTTGCTCCGTGTTGTAAATATCACAATAATTGGTTAGATATAGGGTAATTTCTTCCAAAATTTCAGCTTCCGATTTTCCATTGAATCCATTCTTAAGAAAACGTTTACATAAATTCATACGACTGATGTTACCTAAAATGTCAGGTGTTTTTCAATTGATGAATAGACGCCAGAAGAAATCACCAAATGGTTTTTTTTTCTATCTGGCATCAAAAAAATTAGTTTAGTGTAAATTGGGAGTCGCCAGTTCGTATTTTTTTTAAAACGAAAACAATATTAGGTAAAAATTCTATTTCGGCGGGTCATGGCGGGTCTAGATATTGAACTAAAAAGTAGGAGGGGTTCTACAAAGACTTTAAAAATAAAAACTAGCGTGGTGTTCGGTGGTGCTTTTAAGATATTTGAACTCAAAAGACAAATACAGATTATTACGCGTCGCACTCCTAACCCATTCACAGAGCCTGTCTCTTGCGAGATTTTTTGGAACGTTAAGTGTCGGTTCTGGACCCACGAATGACGAACCTGCACTAGCTTTGGCTAGCGATGTAAATATTTCAGAAATTTTTGATTGTTGCAGGAAATTTTCGAAACTTCCGGAAACTTTCAGAAATTTATGAAATTTTACAATTTTACATATTTTTTGTTGATACAGTATAGGAATAAATTAGATAGACATTTGACCAATATGTAAGTGGAAAAAGAAATAATAAACATAATATTAGTTGTTATATTTTTAATAAACAATACATAACTCATAAAAGTCATAAACATAACACATAACAAAAATCATTTGGTAACATTTGTACTTCGTACATAAACCATGAACTATGACTATGAACTTAAAAAAAAGAAAAAAGCACGAAATATAAATTTAAAAAACGTAAAACACAAATAACTGAATTATTCTAATCCGGAATACTTTCAGGCGCCGAGCTGGTCCCATCTTCATAGGGTATTATAGTAGTAGTAGTACTGTCTTCGTCAGTTTCTATTTCCAAATCAGATATATTTGATGTATCATCTGCTTCTGATTCTGAAGAATGGACTCTGGAACTCTACCTCTACGGGTTTTAGTGGTTCTGGAAGTGTTTCATGTTGTTGAATATCATGCTCCATATCTACTTTTTGTTTTTGTAGTATTAATTTATCGTTATGAGCTACGAACATTATTTTGCCGGCTCTTTGTGCAGTTAAACGATTCCTTTTATTTTAGTATGGATAAAACTGTAAGTAAAACTTCTCTCAGTGGCTGCAGATGACGTTGGTAAAGACAGCAGAGCAACAGCTAAATATTTCAACTGAGTATTTTTACACATTGATTGCCACCAACTTAGACAGTCTACATTTTTAACTGAAATCCAAACGTAGTCGAGAGCCCATAAACCCGATTTGGCGCAATAATTTGTTACATCTGTAAAAATGGCTTCTTTATCATTGACAAACTGAGGATGATATTGTTGATAAATTCCATAGCGGCTATGTGTTCTTCATTGTTAAGGTGCTCTCCCAGGAAACAGAGGGGTCCAAGAGATTCGCGGCAAAATGCATTGGTTTAAGAGCCATACGTTTTCTATTTTGTAAGGCGAAGAAACATTCTTTTTCTTCTGATTTAACAATAGGCATACTTGATACACTTTCGTTAAATTTTTGCTCAATGTCTTGAATTTGGAAAAGAAATTTCTTGCAAAATTCGGATTTTTGCGAATATTCGCGATTTTGGGACCGAATATTTCAGAAATTTCTGAAATTTCCTGCAAAATTCGAATGGAAATATTCCCTACCAACATCACTAGTTTTGGCGAGGGAATTAGCACGTTCGTTTCCATCTAGGCCGACATGTCCCGGTATCCATATTAGCGACACTTTGTAATATATTGAGTAACTACTCAATATATTAGGACACCTAATATATTGAGTAGCTTCCTACAATAAAGAATCGTCATAGACGTGATTTTCGTTGCTTCAAGTGCTTTCAACGCGACTTGACTATCCGAAAATATGCTTGTTGTTTTCCCAGTGTATTGCTGTTCCACCAGCAGTTGCAGACATGTTTCAATAGCAAATAGCTCAGCTTGGAAAATTGTGGTGTATTTTCCAAGACCCAGTCTTTGGACGGATACAGTAAATTTCTGCTCCAGATCTTTTTTCGTTCATGGATCCGTCCAATTATTAATTTATGTTGTAGTTTTCAAATAATATTATAACAAATTGTTTCCTGTACTTGCTATGTAAGAATGCACCAAGCCTATAGAAACTGTTATGTTTATATACAGACATCCAAAATACTAAGCTGTACAAGGTTATGTTTTTATTTTTGATGTAAATTCCATAAATCATACACTTTATAAGTTCCTTAGCACAGAATTTGCTTTTACTTTGAACTTTGATTGAAAGATAGTCTCACAACGTCCAAGCATACATTTTGTCACATAAAAAATACTAACTAATCTTTGACAAAAATTGACAAGATACAATATGATTGAAAAAAAAACGGCGTCAGCGATGGCTACGAAATGAAGAAAATTATATGTAGAATATTGTTCATAATTTTCAAGCCAACTAGACACCGTTTTTTTTCAATGATACGGTATCTGTAGTGTTTATAAAATCGAAATTTGAAACTGGGCGCATATGAAGATTTTCACTTCTGACAGCATGAATGATTAGAAAAACTTGTTTGAAACTTTTTAAGAAACTTATGAAAAAATCTTTATAATTTTTGTATATGAATTTTATCTAGGCTTCTAAACAGTCAACCAGTTAACGGGATCAAACAAAATGGCACTTGTCAAATTCAAGAACCGCCTCGAAATAATGCCAAGGTCAACAATCAACAGAAGCTAACAGGTCTTAAGATTGTTTGTTAGTTATTTATCTTATTAACTAACAGCATGTATCTTTAGAGTTTTTTCCTGTCAGAAGATCAGTGCGCAAGACGAAAACAACTGTTTTGGAAGAGAAGCAGTTGGCTTTGGAACAATCGGTACGAAGCGAAGTGGAAGAAGGGCTGGAAGTCTGTTATTTCGAAGGTAAAGGGAGGGGCGTGGTAGCCGCTAAGGAATTCAGGAAGGGCGACTTTGTGGTGGAGTACAGCGGGGATCTGGTGGATACAGTGGAGGCGAAAATTAGGGAAGAAGCCTATGCCCAAAATGAAAATGCAGGATGCTATATGTATTATTTTAAACATAACGGTATTCAGTATTGGTAAGTTTATATTTTAGTGTAATAAAAATGGTTTAGTCTCTTTATTTCGCATGTTTTATGGATATAGACCATGATGCAAAGAAAATAAGGTATGATCGATAGCGGCTCCAATTTCGTTCAGTTTGCGCATATCACCTGTGACGTCATACGTCATACAAAATAATATCTATATATTTTAAATTGCCACTAATAATACCTAAAATGGGAAAGAATTAGGACATAACCTCAAAAGATATGTCAAATCATTGAGCTTGACATTTGAAAAGTAATTTTCATATTATTATGTGTCATCAGTTTGACGATTTGAAATTGGCGCTCGGAGCTTGCCGACCAGTGCACTATGGTTTCTGGTAGGGCATTCAATCCCGAAAGAAATTTTTAATCCCGGGATTTCGGGATTATAATTTTTCGATCCCTGGATCCCGGGATTGGTCCCGGGATTCACGAAAAAATTAATTACGTTGGAATTATATTATATTTTCTTTCTTTACAAAATTTTATTGAACAAAAAAAACATTAACATAAATTAAACGTCATCCCCATTACAAAACAACATAACATATAAGTTTATTTAACAAAAAAAACATAAAAGGAACTAAAATATACATTTTTTATTTAATTTACATAACCAATCGAATACAGCATAACACAGGATTACTAAGAGATACTAAAATAACAACTTATGCAGTAACAAAGATGAGGATCTAAACTTGGTTTTTTTGGTTTTTGAAAAAATTTCTTAAAAAAATCAAGCCGATCAAGAGTATTATCACTCAAACTAGATCTTCATCATCTTCAAACTTGATCAAACATTCAGGGTTGTTTATAAGCGCATATTGTACTATCATGAAAGACTTGTGTACGATTTAAATTAAGGAAAAAATGTAATGATGAATCCCGAAAATCCCGGGATTAAAGGAAAGACAATCCCGGGATTTCGGGATTGGAAAAATGTCCGGGATCCCGGGATTGAATGCCCTAGTTTCTAGAAGCTAATTTTTTGGCCAAAATACATATTTTAGACTCACTGTATATGGACTTTTTTTGTAAGTATAATGCAAGCAGATATACAAATGAAGAAGACCACATGCATATATTTTTGTTTAGTTTTCATTTTTATTCCTTATCAGCATTTATATTTAGACGTTCTAGTGAAGTATTTGTGCCTATTCAGTTGTTGTTTATTTTTGGAAGAGTTTTGGTGAATATTAAGTGATATATTTCAGCGGGATATAAAAACGGATTACTGTTATTTTTAAGAAATCACTAACAATTGCACATAAGAATCAGCGTCCATTATTTTTTAATTAATTAAAAATAATGAGTTTAAGACAGAACATAAATAAAAAGTTAAAAGTTTAGTTTGACTTATAAAAAATTCTCCATGTTTCTCCATGCTAGATGTTATTGTAAAATTTGAAACAATCCTTTCTGAACATATCAAAGAAAAAATTGGCTGCTACTAGCTGCAACTTTTTTTTTAAAGAATTTTTTTTTCGGCTATGTATCGATTGAAAAAAATAGATCTTTTGGAAAAATGGCTACAAGGGGCCGATAAAGTTGAGAGAAACGTTTTTTTTTCAAATTTTGTAAGACAGAAATTTCAGAATAATGAACAAGAACTATCAGGCACACTGGAAAAAAAGATAAATCGCCTTTGTATAAATTTTGAAAGATGGCAGGCGGTTTCGTGGCTTAAAGATTTATTTTTAAAACAAAATGATGACTGGTTAAAGGACGATTTTATCCTAGAGTTAACAGAACCCCTTCCATCCACATCATCTGCCGGCCGCCCACGATTACCTTTTTCGGAGCAATCTTCCAGAACTCAGAGAAGAACGGCCTCAAAAGTTTCCGAGGAACATAAGCAGGCAGTTTCCGAGGAACACTTGTGCAGGCTGCAAAATACTTTACTTGTGCAGGCTGCTTTGTAAATTTAGTTATCCTGCCGATGTACTTAACCTACTTCGTGTACTTGACTTTATCGAAAAGAAGTTAAATGAAGAACAATTTGAAGAGAAGCATGGAAAAGAAGAGGAATACGAGGAGGAAGAGCAAGAAGAAGAAGAGCAAGAAGATATTTCTAAAGAAGATTGTTTTTTTGGATAGCAGTAATTCGATAATTGATCAAGTTTCTTTTTTGGAACTAGATAAAGAAGATGCTTCATGGGTAAAAGTTAATCACACGTTGAATAAGATGATTAAAAATAACTTCATTTTATTAGTCTTTTATTATTTTATTAAAAACACAAATTTACAGTCAATATTTTCCATTAAATGTAAGTTGTTTAATTTTGGCCAAAAAAGTAGCTTCTAGAAACTATAGTGCAGTGGTGCTAAAATGTGACGTATATAGTGACCAAAACCTGCGCAATATCGTACCTTGTTTTCGTTTGACGTTTGTATCATAGATATAGACAGATATGACAAATGACAATTACTCTTTATAATTACCCAACTTAAAAAAAACTATACAGGGTGTGAAAAAAAGATGTATCTAACTTTGGTGGGTGATTCTACAGATAAAAATAAAACAAAAAGTTCATATGAATGTATATCCTAAAATACCCGAAGAAGTTACAGTTCTTGAAAGGTTAAATAAAAATAATATATTTTGTTTATTTTTAAGAACATTGGTAAACCGTTTTTCCTGAAATTTGGTACTCTTACACAAATTTTGATGTCAAAGCGAATGACGATTGTAAAAAATTCTGTAACAACCCTGAAAAGGTACTTTTCATTAGGGTAGAGAGTACTACTTCTGGTACTTCTTTCATCCTTATTGATACAGTAATTTCAACAAATTAACTAGAACTAGAACTTTTTTTATATAAAAAATGTGTTCTTCATTTAGATTGAAACAGTAAACCGTTTTAAAGATATTTACGTTTAAAAATTGTACTGCATTGAATTTACTAGAATATACAGAACAGGTACAAAAGTTCTTTCTACCTGTAAATAAAATATATTATTTTTATTTCACCTTTCTAGGACCGTAACTTCTTCGGGAAGCATTTTAGGACATTTTAGGACATTGTTTTATTCTTATCTGGAGAATCACCCACCGAAGTTAAATACACCATTTTTTTGGCACCCTGTATATGTTCCAGACACGAATCAGTTTTTAAGATATGATTTTTACTGTATAAAAAAATATGATGGCATTTTTTGTTTATATTTTAGTATAGACGCTACGGCAGAAACCGGAAGATTAGGTAGACTGGTAAATCATTCTCGAAATGGTAACTTGATGACAAAAACTATTATTATTGATAAAAAACCGAGACTAGTGCTTATCGCCAAAGAGGACATCAGTAAGGGAGAAGAGGTAAATTTATAATATTACTTCATAACGGTCCTTTTTTATATTAAATAATAATTTTGGTTGGTTACTATCCTATAATTTATCTATATCATTAAAAAAGAACATATCGGTATAATAACAAGTAAGTCAAATGACAAAATATTAACAGTAAACCTAGAAATTATTCTAATTTTAATGTCGAGCTATAGGGACCTGAATTATTTTCACAACACATGGTTTTGTATGCTAGAGTTCCTAGATAATATTATAGAGTGCTGTAATTCGTTTGTTCACTACTTTTGGTGTCAAAGATATTTATATCTACCAAGTCCGTAGGTATCTAGCCATCATCTGCTCTTGAATACTAGCACAGAAAAAAGTCTGTTTTCTATTAATCGCTGTTGTTAAAATTGTATTTATTCTTTTATATTTGATCTTTGTATTGACATTATATCTTATATTTTGTGTAGAAATAAAAATGTGTGCCAAAGAAAGTATAGGTTGGAAAGCAATAGAAATGCTGTTTCTTATTTTATTGCTTTATTTTTCCCCATTTTTTCATGTATTTGTATTCATTACAACAAAATATAAAAAACGCTGAATAAAGGAGAGACAGTTATTTAACTCTCCTTCCTTTATTTGCTCATCCCTGGTTTATTTGCCCATCCCTGGTTTATGTTTCGCCTGTTATATTATCGGTTATAATTTTTTTTTTGAATTTGTATTTACTAATAAAATGTCGCAATAAAACTAACATCTACAGCTATAATTTATTTATATTAGTGCTACGAAAAGGGTGATAATAGTTCATCAAAATTAATAATAAACATCTATCAAAGAATGAAGTCGAAATTGTATTACCGTAGAAACAGCATTTTATTTTTAACAAAAATAAATTAATTTTATTTTATTTTTAATTTTTTTATAAAGAATGCATTTTTCTCAAAATGTCAATAATAAAAAAGTTTGTCCTCTTGTAAAGACAATCCGGGGACATACTGTATAATGGAACCAGTGTATTTCAAAATTTCTTTCAATAGAATTCTAGAAATTTTTTCCAGTTTTCCAGAAAAATGAAAATGGGGCCGATTCTTCAAAGGAGCCGATGCTTTTATGTCGCTTCTATACAGGGTGTCCCAGAAATTAGTGCAAGTATTTTAACTGGTGGTATAGTTCAACCCCAGAAACACGCCTATGAGGTTTTTTTCGCGAAAAAAAAAATGTTGAAAATTCGGATTTTTTGAAATTTTTTTGGAATTTTTTTAGGTTTTATTTAAAAAAAATATTTTTTGATAATATGGCAACATAGGAAGTAGATTAAATTTACAAGAAAGAAAATCCAGAAAAGATCCACTGGTTCTCAAAATTTTAGCAAAAAATCTTTTTTTTTAATTTTCAAAGTAAAATAACTCCGTTATTTTGGACCTATTTGAAAAACGATAAAGAGAAAATATGTTTCTTTTATCGAGATCTACAACCTCTTAAAATACTTGCACTTATTTCTGGGACACCCTGTATAGCTGGAACATTCTGTGATTAAAGGTTGTTGAATAATATACACAATCGACAACGCCTGGCTTTGGGTGCCGACTTTCGCGTGTACGAAGAGTACAGTAATATCTACTGTACTCTAGTACAATAAGATGTACTAAATGAAGAGAGAAGAGCAAGTATTTTCCCAAGTTAATGAAATAAAGCGCCGGATTTAGTAGTTATGTAATAAACCCTTCTCTGTCTGAGTTACAAGATCGCCATGGGGATTCACTCCTAATCATTAAATATCGACTCAAGATTGTTGCCGACAGGGTATTTAGGTATCAGGCCCTTTATTGTACTGCTATTAAAACTTTTTTTTGCATGAATGATCTTAATGTTGGCGATAATGATTTCTGTTCTCTGTCTTAAATGATGTTTTATTTCAGGTGCTGTACGATTATGGGGACAGGTCTAAAGAATCTTTAAAACACCATCCTTGGCTAGCATACTGATACGGAAATTTGAATTACTTGAACAGTTCAACATGTCCTCGAATGTCATTTTTTAAACAAAAATTTTGACTCAAATCATGTACACTTGTATTGTCTAAAAATTAGTTTTTTCCTCTATATCTTAAAACTGTACAATTAGATTTAGATTTTAAATTGACAATGTATGAGTATTGACAATTGATCAGTACAGTATGTTTCCGTTCTTCGTCAGTACAATCTTTTCGAACTGCAACTAGATATTTAGTTTTATTTATTTTATTTTAGTAGTACAAATTTTCCTGGGGTACTTACGTTTTGGACTGTACTTTGTTTTATCCTATAATTTAAGAAAAAAGAATCTTTGATACATTTTCTGGAACGTTATAGGTGCCTTTTTTATTTCAGAAAACGATGTCATAGCAGGCATAGAAATAACGTTTCAGATCAAACTTTATCATCTTGACTACTTAAGTTTTTGACAATGACAGTAGCATTTGTTTGAACATTGTGACAAGAATTTTATTTTAAATTAGATTACACGTTGCTGTCGACGTTAAAAATTTCGTCAGTAGTCAGAAAGTGACGTTATTTGTGTCACTTTATGCAGATTATACAGTTATATTAATTTTCAGTAGTATTATTTATTATAGTATTTTTTAGATCTTGATGGCTAAATGAAATATCAACGCTACCCCTTAAATTTTTAATACTTTAGTGTATTATTTTATTTAAATGATTTTGCACTGCCCGTAAAAAAAGTTCTCAACACATTAAAAACAGACTTCATATTATATTTCTATAGCTTAACTAAAATCATTTTTTTTGTTCTAGTAAAGGTACTGTTTTTTTGTCATGTTACATGTGTCAATTGTCACACGACCAGAGTATCAATTGTAACTTAACAAAAGTTATTTGTAACATGGCATGTATCAAATGTTATATGACATGTCAAAAGTGATTTTCCCTATCACTGGGTATGCTGAATTGATTCCCCTAACTGAATTATACATACAAACATCTCTTTTGTTTGGAAACGTGCGGCGGTCACTGGGTATTTATTACTTCTACTTAATAAAAATCTTAGAATTAAATAGTAACTGCCTTATAATGTAATTATTTGTCAATAATTTGTATATCAGTAGGAGTCAGAATGGTAGAAAATGTTTCTGTAATTTTTTAAAACAGTTTTTTTGGTATATTAGTTTACAAAGCAAATTTTGAACCTGCCAATCAATGTCAAACTTACTGATGGCTTATCCTAGTTATAGTCTAAGAGCTAGCAACGTTTTCGAGAAAGTATTTTAAGACGTCTGGCTCTTTGATATATCTTTTACTATGCTCTCTGGAACAGCATGAGGCCCGTCTGGCTGCCGATACCCGTTGCGTTCACTACTACGCATGGGAAGAAGATCCTATATTTTTTATTAATTTAGTCCTATAAATTATAGTATTGAATATAAATCGAACATGTTTCCATAGCGCAGTGCGTAGAGTTTCCGACCACGAACCGAAGATTCAGTGTTCAAATCCGGGTCAGATCAAAGACTTTTTTTATTTTATTTTCGTTTATATTCTGATAGTAAAGTATTAAATAATTCTGGTAATTAAAAAAAACAAATATTTAATACTTTACTATCAGAATGTAAACGAAAATAAAAATAAAAAAGTCTGTGACCTGACCCGGATTTGAACTCTGAATCTTCGGTTCGTGGTCGGAAACTCTACGCACTGCGCTATGGAGACATGTTCGATTTATATTCAATACTAGAATTTAAACGACTAATAAAAATATAGGATCTTCTTTCAATGCGCAGTAGGGAACGCAACGTTTACCGGCAGCCAGACATTTACAGCATGCTGTTCTAGAGAGCATAGTAAAAGATGTATCAAAGAGCCAGACGTCTTAAAAAACTTGTTTTTCCGACGTTGCTAGCTCTCGTACTATTAGTCATGTATGTTTCCTATAAATTTGTCTAATTCATAAAGTTATACAATTACATTATTATTATACAAAGTTTTATTATATCGGTCTACTTAAACTTCATTTAGAATTACAGTGTTATATAATATTACAAAAATATAGTACGAATATCAGTAGGAGTTAGGAAGTTACGGATTTATATGTAATTTTTTAATTAAGATCAAAACTACACTAAAATACAACAATAACACTTTCAATGCATGACACCACACAGCGCTTAATCTAAAAGACGAAGAAAGAAGTCTTTCTATTCAAAGTCAAATTACATGCCCTAATTTTGAGTTAGATATTTTACTGTATATTTTTATTTTTGACATCCGGTAAAAAATAATTACTTCAGTTTCCTAAAAAAACTGCATGCATGTAGAAGTTTTACTTATTTCCTTATTTTAGAATTAATGTTAACCTCAAAACTTATCGTTATCTAAGTGTTTCCATGAATTTGTAGTAATAATGATATGAATATGACTGACAAAATCAGACTCAGATTAAATTAAATTATTGTATCCGAAGTATTGAGTCTGATTTTTTTAAATTTTTAGGCTGTTTATTAAATTAATGTAAAACAATGCTTATAGAAATGTTAATTTTAGGTATCTTCAAACATATAGGTAGGCATTAGATATTAGCATTTGAATGTTGAACTTAATTTTTTTTTTGATGTAATAAAAATAGGTTGTATCTAATTGAAAATATCGAATCTGATTAAAAAGTAATATAAATTGTCAGCATTGTGTACTGTAGATAGAATTGTTTTTTTATCATTTTTTTGTCACTTATTTGACATTTTAGCTTAGCTGTCGTTTAATAAAAATATTTTTACCCTAAAAAATATTGTTTAATTTCCTACAACTTGCTTAATATAGAAGAACAAGATTTATTCTCTCTCAATCAAAATGAATAATCTACTATCGTTATAGTGAAGTATACTCTATCCGGTAAAAAAGTATATTTGACATAAGGTTTGATAAACTGGGGTGCGCCTCATAACTGGCTCATCTTTATAACTTTATTTTTTCAGATAATAAAAACAAGATTTAGTATGTTGGTATATGACATCAATTAGGATTGATTGACGTATTTCTGTTTCACCGGAAATGACTACAACTTTTGATTTTTAAATAGCACACTCGTTTTTTTTTACTTTATTCGATAGAAAATGACACTTTGATAGAATGGCATATCATATGTCAACTTTTAAGGCTCATTGATTCAAAATTAGTATTTTTAACAAAGCCATTGCACTCTAGATTGAAATTAAAATACGATCTTTTTTACGAAGCGAAAATTTCAAAAGTTGACATATGATATATACCGAGGCACCATTTAAAAATCAAAAGTTGTAGTCATGAAAGGTCATGTAGGTCAGAAAGTGACCAAAAACAATTAAATACGTCAATCAATCCTAATTTATGTCATAAACTAACATTCAAAATCTCGTTTTTTATCTAAAAAAATAAAAAAGTTATAAGGGTGAGCCACTTCTGAGACACTCCCAGTATAACCTTCTAAAAATATCAAAAATAATCTGTTAAAATGACAGACAATTGTCAACAAAAGAATCTACTAAGAAAGTAAAGAGTTCTTGATATTAGTGCGGGCGCTAGCCCATGTCTCGTGTGCAGTTATATGTCCCCTAAGTTTTTGTGCGGCGTTTTATTAAATATGTATAAGAGCTTAAAAACTTATTGTTAATCTAAGTTAAAAACCAACTGATCACATGCTCCAGATCGTGGTTGTTTAGTCGCCATATTTAAAAATGGCGGACATGTTACTAATTTCTTATATATTTTAATATCTTCCTAACAAACGGTCGGGATTTTAGTTTTAAAGGTTATTATAGTTATTTTTTGACCGCAAACAAATTTTGTGAATACATATTTTTTAACTGTAGTTCTTTTGAGGAAAGTATAATTTAAAAATATGGAACCATGGCGCGTTTTTAAACACCAATAAAAATTCGTTTTAAAATAATAAAAGTATATTTAAATGAAGAGAGAAGAAAGAAAGAAAGGAATTGAATTCGCAAAAAAAACGCGAAACAAGTATAACTTTTCAAATGCAAAAAATTAAGATGTTTAAGCAGAAAACTTACTAACTTAGGTATGAGGGTTCTTGCATTGGTCTAAAACACTACTTTTACATTTACAAAAATCGCAACACATTATTTTTAATTTTCTACAGGGACATACAGTTTCTCTGAAGCACATCTAGCAACTACATGGGCTAGGAAAGTCTTCAGGGTTCTTTGGGTCGTTTGTTACTTGTGGAATCAAAATACCATCTTTTTCTATGTAACCATAGTTCAACGGATTAAGTTTTTCACATGGTTCCAAAGCATGAATCCATTTGTAGCATTGCAAGTAGCTCCGTTTTATGGGAAGACGGATTGATCCTGAAGTAGGGGCCAAATTTTGAAAGTTTCGTAATTTTTTATGATGGAACTGATGGAAACGCTTCTGTTTGAAAAAAAAATCTTCTGCTTGTTTTTCCATTTCTTCATTTAATGGCTCTTTACCAAATTCTAACAAGAGCTTTTCAGCATACGATTTTGCTACTTCCAGAGCTGCTAATTTTGTACTAACCTTGCTTTTAGTATCGCAACCGGTTAAAGAATGAATAGCAGGTAAAGCTGTTAAAAACATTAAGTGGTAATCTGCCATCAAACGAGTGAAGAGGAATATACCGCAACGTTTTTCCCTACTCCAAAAAGCAACATAAAGCTCTTTAAGGCCTGCACTGTTCAACTTCTGCAAGTAGTGGTAAAGTGCACTAACAAAAACATCAGTATCGGTAGAACAAATAACTACTTTCTTTACGTTTGTAGTCAGTGTCATGTGAGAAATATGGTTTAGCATTCTGTCATCTGCTTCTTCATGATCAGATTCCAACTTACGTTTTTCTTCAATTCGGCCATTCTTTATACTGAAACACCTTGGCTGACCATCTTTAACAACGCCACCCAGGTAAATGGGAATAGATGCAGTGACAGAATCTTTTTTCCGGGATACCCATCTTTTTTCCGGGATACCCAATCGACAAAGTATGACTGCAATAATTCTTTGTTTTGACAGGAGGCCCAGTAAGCGTCAAAATCCACAGGAAGGGGTGTGTTGTAATCGCCTGAAATTACTCACAAGAATGTGTAATTTCAATCAAATTAATGAAAATATTCCAAATTCCTCCGCTATGTGGAAATGTTATTAAATACTACTACTACTAATTTATTAGTTATTGGGAAAATATCCCAATAACTAATAAATTTGTCAGTAAATTAATTACAATTTTTTTCTTCATAAGAGGAGTAAGTTGATCTTTAAAAATGCAAAATTGGAGCACTTTTTACGAAAATATAGTAAAAAAATTTTTTTTAGAATTTAACAACCATTTTTAAATATGGCGACCAAATGACCATGTTCTGAACCATGTGACCAATTTTGTCAATTACTCCTAGAGGTGCTTAACAAATCCCCGCAACAAAATTTAGGGGACATACAACGGCACACGTAACATAGGCTAGACTATATTTTAAATAGTTTTCTTCTTTATCTTTTTTTGGTTCTGACGATGGGGGGAGGATATACCTCCTGAAACATTAAGCATTTTTGTTACTTTTTGTTCTTCTTTGTGCTGCATCATGTTGTTCTTCTTTCTTTAGTCAGTACTGATCATATTGATCGTACTCTTCGTACACACAAGAATCGGCACCCAAGAGCAGAAATGCCAATCCGGTATAGCACATCTGTACTGTCTAGAAGAACAAATTATGTTTTTGTATTTATTTTTATACTATTTTATTCCAAGGACTTTGCATAACGGAGCTTTTATAAGGCGATCCGTCCAAGTTTTCGCTTCTCTCAAAGTGGGATATTGATCGTACGAATCAGTACGATCGTACGATACGTGTACGTCGAAATATCTTTTCCTGCATCGTTCGACGTACTAATTATAGTATTTTATACAGTTTATGTTTTTGCTACACCTATTATGACATAGTTTTCATTCGATCACACGGTATACGAAAACCAAAGCTCCCCTCGACGTTTCCGCGTTCAAATTCCCGCCTGCCGCCTCTTTATTAATGGAAACTGACCTATACCGTGCGCGACAGCGGCGCAGAGCGGCTGCGCGAAACGCCAGCGTGACGTCACCCACGTCGATATTCCACTGCCTACTTCCTATCGCTGTTTTGGCCGAAAAGAGCGACCGTGTCCCCATTTCGACTGTTTTTCAGCGGTATCGCGATCCCAATTTTCACCTTTAGAATTGTACCATGTGAGTAACTAACGTATTAGTGTACAATTCCGACATTTCTAACGGTGTTGGGAATGATCATCCCTTAAAAACTCGTATTCCGATGCGGGGGTGAATAATTTTAGGGCGGTCTATCCAGGGTGCATTTATTTCTGTGCCGTGACACCGTATTCGAGTTTCTGGGATGAAAAATTAATTATATTAGTGTAAATATGTTTTTGGAAGTGTATAAAATCAGTTTATTCTCTTTTTTTTTCGTAATTTAATCAGTTTACGTGGGAGTTATCTTTATCGATTGAAAGTATTTGAAAGGAATCGCATTGAAAATATCGCAATTTCCGACCAAATAAAACCCATTTTCTCAAACTATTGTAAGTTTAATATAAAATCAGTGCAAAATTTATTTAAATAAATTAATAATCTGAAAGAGTAAGTAGAAATAATAGGAAAAATAACTGATTAATTCGAAAAATACACTGATGTGTAGAAAATAATCAGATATGTCTCAAATATAATTAGGTATTTGTTTTTCGTGATGGATTGGAAGAAAATTGATTTTGAAATGTTTTTGCAGTGAGCGCTTGCGCATTTGATGTGTCCCCCGCCTCGATACATTTTTTAAACCATCGAATGTGTGATTTTACGATTTTAAATGTCACATTGTATGTATTTTAGTTGAGTTTTTAATTTTACAATATCTGGTAGCGTATTTTTCTTTTAAAGTTACGATCATATCTTCATAAGTTATGAAAAGACTTTTTACAATACATTTATCCTAAAATATTGTAGATGTATATGTATAAAAATATTAAGTTAAAAATATAACAAGACCATAAAAAAAGTTTATTTATATTAATTCGACATTAAAATATATCTTTAAATAAAAGTATTTACCCTATGATTGAAAAAAACGGCGTCATCGATGGCTATGAAATGAAGATTGCTGTCAGTTTATGTGTAAATTATTATGGGATATATCATCGATCGTCATTTCCTAGCCAATAGACGCCTTTTTTTACCATAACGGCATTATGTTTTGGAAATTTAAAATATTATAATTTTTATAATTATTGTAATTAAAGAAAAAATACACTTTTTATGTATGAAAACTTGCGTTATATAGTAAACAGTAGTTGACAGATTATTTGAAAGGCTTATTCAAATTTTTTTAAAGAAATGATCAACATGTATTGGTAAATTATGATAAGAATTTAAATATTCCAGAGGTATTGTAAAAATACTACCTACTTCATATTTATCATCTTTATTTGAAAATTGATTTTTATATTTCTACATAGTCTTCTTCTAAAGGTAATTCCACCTCATTAATCCGTATAAATATTAGTTAGATCCTTTGTCAACAAAATAGTTGGTTACAAAGGTGATGACCTCCTGCTTGAAGATAAGCTTTGTCCGCAGAACGCAACTTTCAGCTTGAGGTGTAAATATAGAAGTCCCTGGGAGGTAAATCTGCTGAATAAGAGGGCTGGACTAGCAGATCAAATTGTAACTCATTAATTTTAGTGTGTTGAAGTGTATCGCATTGATGAAAGACAATTTTTTTCTTCTATATGCAGATGATTAATTTATTTGAAAGAAAATTACATTCTGAATAGAATGACATATCATACGTCAACTTTTGACATACATATCATTGTCTAATGTTTTGTGACAATTTATTGTGTGTTTATTTTTTTAATTTGTGATTTTTCCTGGCCGGTTAAAGGTTGATTCTCAATATACCTTCCGTTTCCATTCCATATCCATTCCATATTCGTTCCGTATTTTTTTATTGTATTGACGCTATACGTAACCTTCCGTTCCGAAAATTTTATTTTAAAAATTTGTATCTTTTGAAAAAGGTAATAGATTTAATTAAGAGGCGAAAGAATAAATAAATAATAAATATCAGCAAAATGTTAACAGAGCTGGTACAAATGTAAGAACGTGACAACGATGTTTCCGATACGCTTCACTCCGTCCGCTAAAAAAATGTATGGAAGGAAAAGATATGGAATGGAAGGGAAACGGAACGGATAGTGTGCATTGTCCTATTCATTTACATGATATGGTATTTTATGTAAACGGAAAGGAAACGGAAGGGAGCTGATATGGAAAGTATAGTGAGAATCAACCTTAAAAAGGGCCTAAATTGAATATTTAATCATATCTCAATTTTTTCAAATGGAATGAGGGTAGCTCATTTCCTCATTAGCATATTTAGAATAAGCATTTTACAAATAATTTGGTACCACATACTTGGTGTTTAAGAATAATTCTCAGTTGCTGTTATAATGACAGCCATGTAACATGACACTCCATATTGAAATTTTAAAAGCTATTTTTAAACGAAAATATCAAAGGTTGACCTATGTCACTCTATTCAGAATGTCATTTCCTATGGAATAAAGTAAAAAATACCGAGGGTACTATTTGAAAATCAAAAGTTGTAGTCATTTCCGGTGGAACAGGAAGTGACAGAAAATAACTGAATACGTCAACATACCACCGTTTTTTCTCTGAAGTAATATAAAAACTTATAGGAGTGACTCACTTTTTTTAACCATATTTTAATACATTAAGCATTATGTTTATATTTTTGTCGGTTTTAGGTCTGCGGGCGACACTTTAGGCGCGGGCGGTGGCGATGATGGCATCGTGGGGGGTCCACGGACGCCACAACAGATCGCCGCACAGAAAAGACTGCAGCAGACGCAGGCGCAGGTCGACGAAGTCGTCGACATCATGAAGACCAACGTGGAAAAAGTACTGGAAAGGGATCAGAAATTATCAGAGCTCGATGACAGAGCGGGTAAGAATAAATCCCTTATTTTTCTTTCTTATATTGGAGTGGATTGTCTGTCATTTTTCTTAATGTCAACCTTGACTTCTAGATCTAATAGTAACTTGTCGCGTAGGTTCTATCTTTTCTATTGATGATCTGAATATCCTATCCCAATGACTAAAGAATACAAGGACATATACCACCCGAGACCAAATTGTTACCATGGCTCCAAACAGTGCCGTGGCCATATATTTTTCTTAACTTAGCTGCTTGAAGGGATATTTATATTTTTGATAAATGTTTTGACTACGCCTATGGTGTAGGCGGTGGTATTATACTGATTAAATACGAAAAAAACGTATTAAAATGTTAACAAAAGGTACAAAACTAGTATCGACGTATAGCACATATCAAGTACATATAGTATCAGAAAAATAATTACCAAATTCAATAAGAAAACGCTAAAAAGGTGGAGTGGACTGTTTATTTACTTATGAAACGCAACTCCTGTCTCTTTCTTATCGTTGCGGCTTTTACTCTTGAAAGCTGAACACATCATCATTGTAATAAAGTTTATACAAAGTTCACTACAAACAACAAATTATTGAAAATCGCTAAAATTGTCGTTGTTGACGAGGTGGTGACTCATCCGTAGGCTCAAAGTGATGGCGTCTAACGTAACAAACTCTGCTGCAGCCCGTATATGGGCGTTACATGTCCATGGATTTTTTAGTCATTGTCCTATCCCCCTTTTCTTTGCATTCACTGATATTTTTCGTCTGGAAAAAAAATCATCCTAAACTGTCACTTCCATCTAAGGTCCGACCGAACCTGGATTTTTAGTCTCGGCCGAGAGAAAAAGAAATTCTCGACCGAGAACGAGACCGAGACACGATGCAATATTTATTCAATAGCTTATTATATGAAAAAAAAATCTGATAATAATGTAATAAAAATGTTATTATTACCATGCAGAAACTGTTTATTGGGATTTAATACTATAAAATTAGTAATACTAATAAAATTACTTTTTTAGTCTATATTATAGGTTAAAAAAGTTATTTTATTAGTATTTTTAAGTTTAGTTAATGTTATAGGCCTTTCAAATTATGCAGTGTTTCATTATATTCTTTCTAAATAGTTGTTTGAGAGAAACGCTTGTTGGTGGTGCAGACTAGAAATGTATAAATTGCTGGTTTTATTCTGTTAAATTTATAACTTACATTCATAAGACATCTAACTTTTCGTTCATTGTTTACGCATAGAAATACGAAGGCGATTCTTCAGCTGTCCGGGAAATCCCCTTCGTGATTCGATCAGATCATATACGGATATATGATCCATCCTTTTTTTTCTACTTCGGACGAGCATTTCATTCATCCACGCATCGATAGGCGGAATACACTCAAAAATAAGACAATTTGACGATCGTGAGCAGTTTCGGCTGTGGCCGATAATCTCTGCCTTTTTATGCCGAAAACGAGACCGAGATCTCGGCCGAGAATGACTGTAACCGAGACCGAGACTGAGATCTCGGTCGGATCTTACTTCCATCTCTGTTTAGAATGTAGTATGTTTGGGAGGGGGATTAATCACCGCGACCTTACAAATTTATTGTATGACCCCCTTTCTTGAGTTATACCGAGTTGTAACTCATCATACAGTTTCAAGGCTTTGACAGAAGCTAGTATCTGAGACGGCTTCACAGAGACTAGTTCTCCGTCTCCGATATCAGTCGTACAAAAGTTTATGGCAAAAGTTTATGGTTTGTGGTTGTCGTCTCGGCGCACTCAGTGATGAGGTGTTCTGGTGTTTCCCCATTTTCCTCACAGAATCTGCATTTGCAATTGTTTCCTAGCTTCAATCTACTGACGTGTTTATTGAGGAGAAAGGAGTCTTCCTGGTTCTTAAGTTCCGCTTTAAGTTGGTTTCCACTTGGGAAGCAGAACGGTTCCCAAGTGGTCCAGTTAGTGGAGTGATGTTTCTTACCTTCAATCTACTGAGGCGCTCATTGAGGAGACAGTGTCCTGTTAAAAACCCCTTGACAATCCGAAGATTGTTCTCGCTTAAATCAAGGAAAATCTTTGATCGCGGTCGTAAGTCCTGAGAAATTTCTTAGAGTGTCTGAGACCATTGGAAAGCAGAACGGTTCAGTTAATGGAGTGTTCGCTCCTTTTGTAGCTAGATCGTTTGCTTTTTTATTGCCTTCTATCCTTTGGTGAGCTAGCACCCAGAGTAGGAGGACTTTACATTTTTCCCTTATTTGTTCAGCTTCTCTATGCATTCTTTAACCAAGTTCGAATTGATGGTTGGTGAGTTGATCGCTTTTAGTGCTGCTTTACTATCGGATAAGATGGCTATTTCCTGTTTCCGATGGTTCCTATCTAAGATAAGTTGCACGCATCTGTCGATAGCGTAGATTTCTGCTTGAATGATGCTGGGGTAAGTACCCATTGGTTCGAAGTATTTAGTTTTGGGGTCAAATACTCCTACCTCTGTCCCTGCTTTGGTTTTGGAAGTATCAATACACCACGTTATGGGTATGGTCTTTTACCTGCTGAGCAAAACGTTGTTCTTCTCCAATCCTGTTTAAGAGAGTTCTTCCAGCCAGTATAGTTCCTAAATAATCAAGGTCACAAGACAGGTCGAAGTCATCGACAGCGAGGCTGAATGTTACGAAGGGTTCTCAAGTTTTAGTCAAACTAAAGCAGTCTGACTGATTTACGGCTAATAGCCACATAAGATAATAAATGCCACAATAATAGCCACAACAAAAAGACGTTTCCTAATTTTTATATCTTTCAGATGCCCTGCAACAAGGAGCTTCCCAGTTTGAACAACAAGCAGGAAAACTAAAACGAAAATTTTGGCTGCAAAATTTAAAGGTAAAGTAAAAAATGTCATGTTTTCAACTAAATTAGAATTTAGTTTACTAGTTTTACCATAGCTGATTGAAAAGCAACATAATGCGCACGTCAGATTTCTTTTAATATATATTAATACGCATAATTTTTCTAATACTATTTTATTTTTTTCTATCTTATAGATGATGATCATAATGGGAGTCATTGGTTTGGTGATTTTAATCATTATTATCAGTAAGTAAAATTTTGATTTAGTTAATTTCTGTTCAGGTATAAGAAAATAAATCCATAAAATATAAATTATCATTTATAATATTTCATTAATATATTACAATAAATGGAATTGAAAAGTTTTATTCATTTCTCATTATCATATTACATATTTATATAGATATAATAAAAATCAAAGAAATTATTAAAAGAATTAAAAAAAAATATATTAACTGGTTAATAAAAAAATTACAACTATATTATCTAGAAACAGGAATTTAAAGAAATAAAAACAAAGATCTAATAAAGATACCTATTATTATTGAAAGAAGTGACACACAATAGGTATGATCAAAAAATTAATGATCCAGGGGGCATTACTGTATGAAGAGAGATAAACAATTCTTACGGCAAATTATAGGATTTTTAACTGTCAAGGTAAAAATAAAACATTTTTATCGTACATAAATCTGCATAAAATTGATTCTTTGAATAAACAGATTAAGGAAGGAATGCATCAACAAAATAAGGTGGAACGCTATGGGAGATTTGTATGGCCGAGGCTGACTTAAATTTCGGTTTATCAGTGCTGTTCTAATTTTATTTAAAACCTGTAAAAATGTAATGTGGGGTAGACTCAATAATTTGTTGGTTCTCTTTTACGTTGTCAATAAATCTCATTAGTTATTAAAATTGTTATATAAATATATTTGTATTTGTAATAAAAATAGAGAAGTTAAAATAATTATTTAACTGCAAAGATATAAGGTACGTACGCTACTGAAACACTTAAGTCAAATTGACATATCCTAATTATTTTTGACAATTTGAAAAATATGCAATTAGTTAATTTTAAGTGAATTTCATAACTGATTATCAAATTGCAGTTATACAGGGTGGGTCTTAAGTGCAAATATTTTTAGAGGTAGTATATTTTGACCTCAGAGATCCCACCTCTTTAAACTTTTTATTTAAAGCTTATGGCAAATTAGAAACGTCTTAACTGTCAAAGTAAAAGCCTGCTTGATTATAAAAAACTATGATCTTACGGTATTATCTAGTATTTCTGTTTTATCAATATAAAATGGCAAGCAAATTATTTTTTTTCTTAATTTGACCCTAACTCAATAATAAAAAAATACTTATTTACAATGGTACTAATTTTTATTGGATCTTTGTAACTGGATGAACTTAAAAACTTTCGAACAAAACTAATCATGGTAATGTTTCTTCCCCAGTGAACTTCATGTAACTGTCATTAGCGCAAACGAGCCAACAAATCGGTAACTTCATTTCCCTTCTCTTATGTGTCTTTTTATTTAATTTGGTGTATATTCCTGGCTATATACAGGTCAACTCAAAACTAACCTACAAACGATTTTGAGTCGACTTCTCATATAGCTTTTCTGTCTGTCTTTCTGTCTGTAGAAATCCTTCCATAATTAAATCCATTGTGTGCATCACCCCTTTTTATTTTCTGTGTTTATATCCATCACTCTGCCATTTCATATCCCATTTTATTATTTAAAAATAATTATATTAAACATAAATAATCTCTGTTAGCATAGTTATGGATTGTAAACATAGTGGGCTCATACAGAGGTTCCTTTATTTATTAATTTCTTTAAAAACTACTGTTTTTTAGTTCTGTGGTAAAAACTATAAACAGCCACGCTGAAAATAAATACATCATTTGATAAACTACGATTCACCTGTTTTTTAAATGTAATTTTTTTTATATACAGAGTATCCAACGCCTTCAATTAGTATCAAAGAAAAATTTGACAGGCAACATCCAGTGTGTGACAATGACAATAATTGTCTACAAGTTTAATTAGTAAATTGTTTTTCTGTCAACATTTAAATGTTGTCTGTCAAAATTGTATATCTTTTTGCTGAACAGACAGATACTTTAATTAAATTAATTTGTGTAAAATGTAAGTTTCATCTAATGCAAGAGTTTATTAAGTTTCAGTTGTGATCGTATTTTTGGAATTGGATAAATTACACAATTCGCTATTCTATGATACGCACTCTATAAAAATTTACAAATATAAAAGATGTGATTTTGAAAATCTAGAAAACTAATGGTTTTTAAAGAAACTTAAATTACCTACGGTGTATTTCAGTCAAAATGGTGGTAAAAAAACTAGTCCCACTAACATTTCATATAAAATAATTTTGACTAAAACACACTAAACATCGTGTATCATTTGCATGCTTTCAAATTTTATGTCAGTGATTTTGTTTTTATTCTGATATGAGCATGTTAGGTTTTCGAATTTGAAAATGTAAGAAAATTTGAAAGAAATAGCAATAATAAATATGGAACATCTATATGCATAATTATGCTTCTTTTTTGATGAGTATATACGGTTATATTAGTTTTTTAGCTTGTTTATATTATGTTGCTACTATAATAGATGGTGGCAACATTGTATCATAGAATTAAACTAGAATAAAATAAATTTTTGAAATTCATCCTGATTGCAAATTTATGTGCTCACTTGTGGTCAAAAAATACTAAGATAAATAATGATATGTTTTACAACTATTTTAGGTGAAATATACTTAATCTTTTTAATTGTATTTATTGATCACAATATTTGAAATTCGACGTCATAAATTCAAGAGTAAAATCCAATTTTCAATGCGTTTCATCAACAGTTAACACAATTAATTACATTTTGTATAAAATTATTTTCATATTTTGACTATCTGTCAACACTGTCAAAAAATATCTACATTTGTAACCAGTGACGTGTATTGAAAATTGTTTTGAGTTTGCTATATGCATATTTTGCTTTTTTACAGAAAAATTAAAATGAGATCAACTACTGACGAGTTATAAACGATGTTCAAATAAATTTTATCTCAGCTTATGCTAGCATGTCATATTTTACGCTTTTTGCAGTGCAAACGACTGTTTTGCCTGAATTTTAATAGTACTACTTGAATTAATTGGCATACTTATTCTAAAAAATTCTTTAAAATTATTCTTATTACTAAAATAATAACAATATAGCTACAGGAATTCTGACAAGGATACCGAAGGTAAATGTTTCCTATAATCTTACAATTTCTATACTAATTTCAGCATGCACTTTACCAGTTTACTCATTTTAAAAGCCAAACATTGCTGAAAAAAATTAAATGTTTTTTCGGCGTATGTTTGGTAAACACATTCAGGGATGGGTAGAGTTAAAAAATATTTTGTTACGTATGTTATGTACGGCATGCAACAGTTAAATAAATCAATTATTATTGGACTAAGAGCCAGTATTATAATTGTAGAATTTACTATTACGTAGAAAATTATACAGTTAACAAATATATTTCTTATGTAAAACAACAATATAACAATTTGTTACAGATCCATCCCTGGACACATTTCTTTTTTGCTTGCATCATAAAACTTTTAACATCCGTTACATACATTTTCCTACACATAGATTGACAGACAGAGATACACCTGCTAATAATATATTAAAACATACAATTTATACTATAATACAGAAAACAAACTGTAGATTTTTTTATTTCATTGATTAAACATGAAATACTAATTTATACTTGAGATATATCTTATATGGATAGGTATGTTGCTATATTGAAGTTTTAATCAAAAAGAAAGTCCAAACGAGTCATTTTTTTAAATCAAGAGAAATTCAGCTAGGTAAGATTTCGACAGACGATATAAAAAAAGACAGAAACTACAATTTACCTGTGAATTAAAATGAGAAACACAACTGTCACTGTCATGGATTCTCTAGTTGGACAACTATATATTGAATATACTTAAAAAGAGTCAAATACATTTCCAACTAACGTAATTACTTTTTTATTATTATTTAATTTAATTATTTGATATATCGGGTGCGTCTCAAAAGGGGCTCACCCATATAACTTTTTTATTTTTTCAGTTAAAAGAAGGGGATTTGGTGTGTTAGTATATAACATAAATTAGAATTGATTGACGTATTCAATTGTTTTCGGTCACTTTCTGTTTCACCGGAAATGACCACAACTTTTAATTATAAATGGCCTCAGTATTTTTTTACTTTATTCGATAGAAAATAACACTCTGAATAGAATGATATATCATATGTCAACTTTTGACATTTTCCCATATGTTTTACTTGAAATTATAACTTGCGGTTCGTAACGAAATTTTGACTCGAAATACCTAGTGTGTGGTATCAAATTATTTGTAAAAAAATGCTTTTTCCAAATATGCTAAAGAGCCATCCTCGTTCCATTTGAAAAAATTGAGATATGATTAAAAATACTATTTGGACATTTTTTAACCGGTCAGGACAAGACACTAAAAACATTAGACGATCAAATCTATTTTTCCAAGGCTTCTTGAATAAGATTTAGTGTTTTTAACATAGCCATCGCACTCTAGATTGAAATTTAAAATACAATTTTTTATTAAGCGAGAATGTCAAAAGTTGACATATGATACGTCATTCTATTCAGAATATCATTTTCTATCGAATAAAGTAAAAATACACCGGGGGTGCCATTTAAAAATCAACAGTTGTAGTCATTTCCGGTGAAACAGGAAGTGACCAAAAACAATTGAATGCGTCAATCAATCCCAATTTATGTCATATACTTGATAAGAATGATACTCTATGTTATTATTACTCTATACTCTATGTATTCTGTGGCTAATCAGCTGAGATATAATTTAGAGGTTATGAGAATAATTATGTCTTGTTTAGAAAATTATGCGCATTTAATAATGTAAAAGGTTTTTCTGTCAAGTTGATCAATATAAAGTTTTTCCTAAACTATAGCGTCTATTTTCCACAAAGATCCCACAAACATAACAGGTTATGGGCCCAGATGTTTAAGATAAATAGTTGGAAAAAGTAAGAAAAAGTTCCGCTGCAGTCAGCTAAAGAAAATTGAAGTTCAAGTTAAGGTCAACTGACAGTAAAATGGGCTCACTAGCTGTACCGATTTTAGAAGCCAATAATTTTAACAACTGGTTGTTTAGAATAAAGATGATATGT